TGAAGAAAATATTTCAATGTCATAACGAGCGCCAGGGCTGTCACGTCATGGTGATTACTGACTCACTGTTAAGTGGGCATAGCGCCACCAGGTGAAGGTGGGGAACAAATGTCTCTGGACATTGATCTTGGTCGGGGAGTTTTGGCACAAGACCACACAGAAGCAGACTTCTAATCTAGACCTCTTCCTGCATCCCTGCCCAGCCTGGCGGAAGCTGAAACTCCCAGGAGACAGTTCCTTGATGACCTACCGGGGCCATGGGGTACTGCACACCCTCATCCGCTGCCGATTCTCCCCCATCCATAGCACCGGCCAGCAGTTCATCTACAGTGGCTGTTCCACTGGCAAAGTGGTTGGTAAGCACTGTAGGCAAACAGTCCCTTTCCACCCAGAGCCACCAACAACCCCCCTGACAGAGCACAGTGACCACTTTACAAGTGTGATGTCACTTAGCTTAAAGCAGGGCAGGCTAAGAGAGGGACATAAAAAAACATCTTGTTGATCAGCATTTCTAAACCAAGAAAAGGAACATAGAATTCTAACCCATCTGGGAAGAGGCTTTCAGAAGAAAGGTACGCAAGGAAGCAAAACAAGAAGTGGGACCTGGAGGAAAACAGCCAGTGGTAAGAGGCGTGCAGTCAATCAAGTGGGAGGAAGGCACAGAAAGAAATGAGTGTGGCTGCAGACCTAAGACGCTGGCTGAGAGCCGTGCTGGCCATCAGGCGCTCAGCAGGAAAGAAAACTGCACCTGTGCAGACCAGAAGGAGCAGGTATGCCCACCTACAGGCAGGCCAGTGCTGATTTCTGGGTGCGCCCCCCCACACTTTGCCACGTTGAAGTTACCATGTTCTCTTGACCTACCGTAGCCCTGTGACCTTCAGCTCAGGGCCAAAGAGCCACTTTTCCCCAGACTGTAGCATCAGGCCAGGGAAGGGAAAGAATCAGAAACCACACAGTCCTTTTGGCTGAGCTGGGCTGGGCCCCCACGGCAAAGCAGAAAGTTCTCCAGGAAGCATTTGGAAGGCCCTGTGGCCATCCCTTCATTCTGCCCCTCCCCGGCCAGTGTACGACCTCCTGAGCGGCCACATCGTGAAGAAGCTCACCAACCACAAAGCCTGCGTGCGAGACGTCAGCTGGCACCCCTTCGAAGAGAAGATCGTCAGCAGTTCGGTGAGGCTGCCACAGGCTAGGGCCAGGCACCTGCTGGGGCTTGGGCCTTGGTGAGGACGGTCACACTAATGCATGGTCATTTCTGCCCTGCAGTGGGACGGGAACCTGCGTATGTGGGAGTATTGCCAGGCTGAGTACTACGAGGATGACATGCCGGAGGCCAGCGGGGGCCCCAGCATGCCCTCCCCAGAGCGCTGCCCCACCACACCCTTTTCTTCACCCCAGTAGAACCTACCCCAGGCCCCAGCAGGGTGGAGTTTGCAGCCAGCTCTTTGCTGCCTCCTCCTTGTCTCCTGTCTGGGGAACAGGAGGAGGAGTCACTGATATTGGGTGGGAAGGGACAGAAGCCCAGGCCATGGGCCTCAGCTGTGTCTCGGAATAGCCTACCAGTAGGCCGTGCCATCTCCTTATTCACTCATGTCCAGGTGGTTTGGGTCTCTGGCTCTGGCCATGGTCGGCCAAGACTGCTGTTATCTGGGCTGTGACCTCTGCCAGTGAGAACTGTCTTGAATATTTTTAATCATGTTTGGATGTTAGCTTTTGGATCCTAGAGTAGATGCCTGGGGCCAGGCCCATTGCCCTGGCCATCACGTTGAGAATTGGACCAGCCAGTCAGAAGGCCAGGCATCCTGGTCTTTCTTCTGAGGGCTTTTCCTCAGCACCCTCCTGGCGTGGGGAGTGGGTTTCCTCTCATGTCTGGATTCCCAGGGTGAGAGACCGGAGTCTCCCGGAGTTCCCTGTGGCTCCACTGCGATCAGGCCCTGCCTTCCCAGGGGCTGCTGCCAGCATGGAGGCTGACAGCTCTAAAGAGAAAGGTTGCAATGGAACTGCATAGTCCTGTCACTGGCAGGGACTCCCTCAATAAACTCGCTGTGGGAACCTGTTTCCGCATCTGCCTCTGCCTCTTTTTCTCTGAGATCTTCCATCACACTTTTTCCCTTTAAGAAGAATTTCAGCAGAGCCTTAGAAAATGCTCCTCCAGCAGAAAGCACCTCTGTGATTCTCTAAGATGAAGGGGCATCTAGCTTTGCCCAGGCCCTGCTCGCCTGCGTGAGAGAGCAGCCAGCCAGTGGCCCGGAACATACCAGGCCTAATCCACATTTGCTGCAGATACGACCAAGAACCCCGAAACTGACTCTGCTTTGGGGTGTCCTCAAGCCTGTCCAACCCTCAGAAGATGGTGGCCCATAGATACAAGGCCACAGAGAGCCCAGCCAGCACTGGCACCAGCCACAGCCAGGAACTTTATGCAAATCCCCAGGCCCCAGAGCAACTGATGCATCAGGGATGACAGGGGTCCACATCCCGCTGACTGGGTTCCCCCCCCCCATGGCATTTCACACTCCCCAAGGTTCCCCAGAACTTTCCCAGCACAGAGTGACAGGGGTCCGTCCTTCATGGTGCTCTGAGAAGTTTTAAAGAACAAACTGTCCAGCATCCAGGTGTTCTCCCTCAAGTTCATCTGCCAAATGTGAAGAGACCTTGCTACATCGTCCTTCCCACCTGTCCTTAGAGTCCTCCCTGCCTCCTCGCCCAGAGATGCCATCTCATCACAGCCAGAATTGTTATTTCCAAGGTGCCAAGTTAAGGAGCAGAGGAGTGCTCGTATGCTTCAAGCCTCGTGTGGTGGTGAATCCTGTGCATTATCTGCTCAAGCAGAGGAGCATTTCCAGTGCAGTGGGAAATACTTGTGGGGCTAATATATTCTGTATTACTAACAATTTTTTTAACTTTATTTATGGGCCCAGCATGGTAGCCTAGTAGCTAAAGTCCTCACCTTGCATGTGCCAAGACCCCATACAGACACTGGTTCATATCCAAGCTGCTTCATTTCCCATCCAACTCCCTGCTTGTGGCCTGGGAAAGCAGTAGAGGATGTCCCAAAGTCTTGGAACTTTGCACCCTTGTGGGAGACCCAGAAGAAGAAGCTCCTAGCTTCGGATTGGCTTAGCTCTAGCCTTTGCAGCCACCTGGGGAGTGAACCAGTGGACAGAAGATCTTTCTCTCCTCTCTGTAAATCTAAAAAGGCAAATTTACAGAAGAGGCAGAGATCTTTCAAACACACTGGCTCACTCCACAAACAGTTGCAACAGCCACAACTGAGCTAATCTAAGACTAGGCGCTTCTTTTGGGTCTCCCACGCGGTGCAGGGGCCCAAGGTCTTGAGCCATCTTCCACTGCTCTCTCAGGCCATGAGCAGAGAGCTGGATGGGAAATGGAGCAACCAGGACACAAACTGACACCCATATGGGATGTTAGTACCACAGAAGGAAGATTAGCCTACTACCTCAACTGCACCAGCCCCCAAAATTCCTTTGTTGGATCCATGAGCAATAAGACTGGAGTGCCATTATGCCAAGTTAGAGCTTTAGGATTTAGAAGCTCAGGTGGTGAATCCCAATTAATCTATAGCTGAGAGCACTGAGGACAAAGGAAGGGTTGATGGATGGTCCCACAGGCATGGAGCCATCCCAGGACCCCATGCCCTTCTAACTCCTTAAACTGCTTCCTGGGCCTCCACTGGGGCCTGAAATCCCACCCCTGATTTTAGAAATGAGGAAGGAAATCGAAAAATGATGTGGAAAGTTACTGAAGCACAGGGACTTCTGAGGCAGGTAGCTCTGTAGCCCGAGTGTGATCAGGCTGCAAGGTCTGGGCTTGTGTGGGCCCATCCCAAGGTCAGGGGCAACTGCGTGAAGGACAGACCTAAGCTTTTTTTTTTTTTTAAGATTTATTTTATTTTCATTACAAAGTCAGATATACAGAAAGGAGGAGAGAGAGAGGAAGATCTTCCGTCCGATGATTCACTCCCCAAGTGAGCACAATGGCCAGTGTTGCGCCGATCCGAAGCCAGGAACCAGAAACCTCTTCCAGATTTCCCGCACAGGTGAAGGGTCCCAAAGCATTGGGCCGTCCTCAACTGCTTTCCGAGGCCACAAGCAGGGAGCTAGATGGGAAGTGGAGCTGCTGGGATTAGAACCGGCGCCCATATGGGATCCTGGCGCGTTCAAGGTGAGGACTTTAGCTGCTAGGCCACACTGCCGGGCCTAGACCTAAGCTTTTGATGCACTCCAAATGGGATGTTCCTTCTAGCATATCCCAAAGCCTGTCCCCAAGAGTAAGCCTGATCTGCAAGGACTCTGGGGGGCGGAGTTTTAGCCTGGACCACTATGATCCAATGATAATTTTCTGAGAACATCTGCCTCTCCTGTCTTGACCACTGTGATCAACAAGCAAATAAACAGTGCCCCCCTTGGATGTGAGGTCTTGCCCATTGGACAGCTACTGACATCTGCTGAAGCACTGCCCCCCTGTGGTGCCCCTTAGCCCATACAGGAGCTGGAGCTAACTCTGCCCATGGGTCCAAGGTGGGCAGTGCCACTGTTGCCACATCCTGCAGTGGTGGGCCCCTGTGTTCAGGGCCCCGAGGGAAACATCAGGCCACACTAAGGAGAAAGACAGCTTTTTTTTTTTTTAACGAGTTCTAATGTTCGGTTAGTTTTCTCTTCATGACTTCCAATTTCCCTATAGAACAGAGTAAACTGTTGGGACACTTGGCTGACCAAACACAGACTGACAGATGCACATAGGCATGTAGACAAGCAGAGCTGTGGACGGCAGGCCTGTCCCTGAGATATGAACTGGAACATGGCTGCAGCTGAGGACAACAGAGCCAAATGGCAGATATGCAAGAGGCTGTCAGGCCACGCCACGGCACACCAGACGCCAGGACCCTGCTGACGTGACAACCCTGCACCCTGGCCCCTTACCGCCCCCCGCCCCTTGCCGCCACCGCCAGCCAGCTGCCAGCCAGGCTCTGCCCTGTGTCTGCCACACCTGTCACTGCCTGTCTTTGTCCCCCGGGGGGGGGGTCATCAGCCCCTCCTCAGCCACCCAGCAGAGCAAGCAGTTAGCGAGGAGGGGAGGGAATCATGGAGCGGGGGCCGGTGGTGGGGGCAGGGCCGAGCTCTGCAGGGACCCGAGCCCGGGCAGTGCTGGGCTGCCTGGTCAGGGTGCTCCTCTGGGTGGCTTCGGCCTTGCTGTATTTCGGCAGTGAGCAGGCTGCCCGCCTACTGGGCAGCCCCTGCTTACGGCGCCTCTACCATGCCTGGTTGGCAGCTGTGGTCATCTTCGGGCCCCTCCTGCAGTTTCATGTCAACCCTCGGACCATCTTTGCAAGCCATGGTAACTTCTTCAACATGTGAGTGTGTTGGAGGGCCATGCAGGGCAGCTGGGGGTGCCCTGCTCAACTCGGGATCCTGGTTCCCTGCTCCAGGCTTCTGTTCTTCTGCCAGTCTGGACACTAAAAATAGCCCAGAAGGTTGAGGGAGAAGGTGGGGGGAGGGCAGGCCAATGGCGCCTGGCTACCAGTAAGGAGATGTGGACCCTGGGGGGTTGCTGAAGGGGAGGGCAGAGTTGAAAACAGCTGGCAATTGTGAAGGGCATGGGAAAGAAAGCCTGGGAGGGCACTGGCAGAGAACAGGCCAGTGCCATGAATTCTACGTACAGTGGGGAGATGGGGATGGGGGAGGGTCTCAGAAGCTCTCCCCTCATCTCTACCCACAGAAAATTTGTGAATTCTGCTTGGGGCTGGACATGCACCTTTCTGGGAGGCTTCGTGCTGCTGGTGGTGTTCCTGGCTACCCGGCGTGTGGCGGTGACTGCCAGGCACCTGAGCCGGCTGGTGGTGGGCGCAGCCGTGTGGCGCGGGGCCGGCAGGGCCTTCCTTCTCATTGAGGACCTGACAGGCTCCTGCTTTGAGCCTCTGCCCCAGGGCCTGCTACTGCACGAACTGCCGGATCGCCGCAGCTGCCTGGCGGCAGGCCACCAGTGGCGGGGCTACACCGTATCCTCCCACACCTTCCTGCTCACCTTCTGCTGCCTGCTCATGGCTGAGGAAGCCGCCGTGTTTGCCAAGTACCTGGCGCATGGGCTGCCAGCGGGAGCACCCCTGCGCCTAGTCTTCCTGCTCAACGTGCTGCTGCTGGGCCTCTGGAACTTCTTGCTGCTCTGCACTGTCATTTACTTCCATCAGTACACGCACAAGGTGGTGGGCGCCGCTGTGGGCACATTTGCCTGGTACCTTACCTATGGCAGCTGGTACCATCAGCCCTGGTCACCAGGGAGCCCGGGCCACGGGCTCTTCCCCCGCCCCCGTGCCAGTCGCAAGCATAACTGAAGGAAATAAACGGCACTCCAGCAGGTCTGCCTCTTGCTTCTTTCTGTCATTTGGGAGGGTGAGGGGAGGAGAAAGAGGGGCTAGGAAAGGGTAGCAAGAGTAAAGCATCATTGACCTTTCCTAGCTGGGATTGACCTTGAACGTCCTTCCTTGGACTTGACCTCCATGTTCCCTGTTCTCCAACCAGCCACTGTTGCAGACCGTGAGCTATCTGGGGCTGCGATACTGAGACAAGTCAGAAAAGGCTATTCATTCCCAGTGTCCCTGGGGGAGTGGACACTATTCCTGCCAAGGACAGCCTGGATACTTTGCTTGTCCTACCTCTCCACTAAAAAGGGCCCCCATATTGCGCCTCCATTCCAGCACCCCTTCTTACTCTGAGTTCCCCCATGGAGGTAGCGGTCTGTGTGTGCTCATTTATTCAACAAACACACACAGTTCTGTGCCATGTGAGTAAAAAAAACAAGGTTTTGCTGTTTGGGGGTTTAACAAGCTTCCAAGGAGAGGTAGGGGACAGGCACCCCAATAATAGTAGTGAGCACCTGCTGGCTCTGTGCTAAGGCACTGTTCTGAGACCATAATAAATGAAGTGATTTAGTCCTCTTAACAGTCATACTAGGAGGCAGGTGTGTCGGTGTCCCCATTGTGCAATCATGAAAACAAAGGCACAGAGGTTAATCTGTTCACAACTAGCAAATCAGAGAAACCAGGATTACAAACCCTAAGGGATAGAGGATTGCTCTGAGTCTAAATGGGAGATGGGCAAAGCACTGCCCTCCTGTGGCCAGTTTTTGTACAGCCAGTAAGCTAAGAATGGTTTTCCCCTTTTCAGTAGGTGAGAACATCAAGGAATAATATATGTGAGGGTAACTCAAAAGGTCCATGGGAAAATGGAATTAAAATATGGTTATTTTGTATGCAAACTTTTTAAAATCCAGGCAGTCAAGGATCTTCATAGGAAGCAGCATTTTCTGAAAAACTTAAAGGAGCTTCAAAGTTTTTGCACTCGTCTTTTGATTTCATGTTTCCAGAGAGCATTTGAAGTGTCTTTGTATTTCATGACATGTGAAAATTATACAAATTCACATTGCTGCGCCCATACATAGAGCTGTGTGGGAACCCAGCCACATGAATTCAGTTACATAGCCCAGTTGAGTAGCTGTCCCAGATGTTATAATATGTTATAATATATAAAATACATACACTAACCATCCTTTTGTCAGAAAAAGCTTGTGCAATTCTGGCTTAACCACCGGATTATCTGGTCTCAAAAACCAACACTCAACTAACATGAGAAGTACTGTATGGAAGTGCTCAGGCCGACTGATGCGGGTTAGGCAAATTAGAAGGTGGATACTTTACAAAGGACAATGGGAAAAGTTCTCAGGGTGGGAATCATGAAGCAACAGGTTCAGCTGCCACCTGTGATGATGCCAGCATCCCAAACAGCATTGTTTGGAGTCCCGGTTGCTCTACTACTGACTCAGCTCCCTGCTCCTGCACTTAGAAAAGCAGCAGAAGATAGCCCAAGTACTTGGACTCCTGTGGCCTGTGGAAGACCGGGATGGAGTTTCATGCTTCCAGCTTTGGCCTGGCCCAGTCCTGGCATTTGGGAAGTGAACCAGCCGACAGAGCATGTCTCTCTCTCTCTGTCTGTCTTCATTTCAAATAATTTTAAATGAGAGAGAAAATTCCCTCAGAGAAGTTAGATTTGAGCTGAGTGACCACATCTGTGACAAAGATCTGTGACAGAGACTGGTAAGGCCAAGGCCAAAGTCGAGGGGCAGGCATGACAATGACACATTTGAGGAACAAAGAGAAAGCCCGGGCAGGTGCAGGCGGAGAGGAAGCAGCAGAATACCAGTTTGGGGGTGAGACAGGTGGAGCATCACCAGAACGCTGGAACAGGCTTAAAGCCAGAGGGGTATGCACCCACGGCTCTTGCTCTCAGTGTGGCTCAAGGGAGAGGGGGCTACACCTCAGCATCAGGGTAGCAATGTCTGAGCATGGGGCCACAGGATGCGGGGAGCCGAAGTTCTCGCTCCCACAAGGAAAGCAGGCAAAGAAGGCCAGCAAGGACTCCTTCCAGCGAAGGAAGATTCATAACCGAGCCAGCCGCGCCGGCGGAAGAAGGAAGAGAGACCAATGGAGGAGTCGATAGAGAGGCAAGAAGGGCAAGATGGGGCGTGGACAGGCAGCACCAGCGGGAGGCGGGCACCAGGAACAGGCGGGGCGGGGACAGGGGGTGGTGGGAGGGGATGGGAGTGGGAGGGGGTTGGACTCGCCTCCTTCTGACTGTAGGGGGAGCCCCGCTGCGCTGCCCGCCCCTGCGGCCGTGTACTGTGTCTGGGCTGTCCCCGCCTTCTCCTCCAGTCCCTCCACTCCCCGCTACCCAGGAAGGCTGTGCGGGTTGCCAGCGCTGCTTTCGCTTTCTCTTCCCGGTGCCCACTCCTCGTTCCTCGTGCGGCACTAGGACCCCCGGCCCCGTCCCTGCCATGGCCACGCTCAGGGTCCAGCCTGAAGCCCAAGCCAAGGTGAGAGCCGTGGGATCGAGGCCCGGGCCATGAGGGAGGAGGCGTGGTCCCGAGAAGCCAGAGAAGGGAGCCCCTGACGCAGCACCCCCTCTCCAGCTCTTACTTTGAGTAGGGGGTCAGTCAGCCAGGCCTCGGTGCCGTGCACACAGCACCTGAGCCCCGGGAAGGTGCGATCTTCCTCACCCCGGGAGTAGAGGCCAGGCGGCCATGCTCCAGCGAGGCGAGGTGAAGCAGAGAGCAGAGAGGGGAAGCCCGCTGGCCCGCAGCCCCTAGGCAGGCAGACGGGTGGGGAACCTCCCCCTGCTACCTCACTGGCAGAGGCTGTCTCAGCCCCCTCCTCACACACAGCCCACAGGACACTCCCACTTCTGTGAACTTGAACTCCTTACCTTTACCTCCTGGAGTGTTTCTCAACCTTCCACTGCAGCCCCCACCCCCCGGGGGGAGGCGGAACGGGAGGACCCACTCCACAATTCCCCAGATGAGACCTCCATGACCCTGAGGGAACCCTTCTCAAAGGAACTTGGCCTTCGGGGTTTCTGAAGGGTTGCCTGTGCCCCCATAGGTGGATGTGTTTCGGGAAGACCTGTGTGCCAAGGTAAGGCTGGCTCCACCAGCACCTCTCCCCAGTTTCCCCATGCCCGTGGCTGGGCCTAGAAGGGGCGTTTGAGTGTGACCCCAGACTCCTCTGCTCCTCTCCCCTGTCTCTGCACACAGGCCGAGACCCTGCTGGGGAGCTATTTCCCCAAGAAGATTTCAGAGTTAGATGCATTTTTAAAGGTACTGGGGCTGGCCTGGGGACTAGAAGGCAGGGGGCCCAGGGTGGGAGTCTGAAGTTGAAGGGAGGGTCCAGGAGTGAGGAGGTAAAACAGACTGCATTGCCTCTTGCTTCCCCGCCCCCTCCCCCCCCCCCCCAGGAGCCAGCTCTCAATGAAGCCAACCTGAGTGATCTAAAGGCGCCCCTGGACATCCCCGTGCCTGACCCAGTCAAAGAGAAAGAAAAGGAGGAACGGAAGAAGCAGCAGGAGGCAAGTTGGGTGACACCCAGAGAGAGGGGCCCAATCCAGCCTTGGTGCTGACCCCAGGAACCCCTGTCTCCCCGCAGAAGGAAGACAAAGATGAAAAGAAGAAAGGAGATGATGAAGAGAAAGGTGGTTCAGTCCCCCGTGCTGGGAAGGGACTTGGCAGGCCACTGTGCAGGGGCTACAGTCCTGGGCTTTCTGCCATGCTCTCCCCTGCCCCACCCCAGCACAGGTGCAGGCTGGGTGAGTGACCCCCTGCCCACTCTCTAGGCCCTCCCTGTGGCCCTGTGAGCTGCAATGAGAAGATCGTGGCCCTTCTGCAGCGCCTGAAGCCAGAGATAAAGGATGTGATTGAGCAACTTAACCTGGTAAACTCTCCTGCTCCTACTTTCCCCTGGCTTGCAGCCACACCCTTTGGCCTCTTGGTTCCTGCCATTTGACAGTCACCTGCGCAGCCGCAGGAGAGGGCATAGCCAGGGACATCAGCTATCTAGGCCCTGAGGCACAAGGTAGATCTGGCAGACCTCTCCCTAATATGGGCAGTAAGACCAGGAGGAGGGAATCTAGAGGGGACTTTGATGCCATTCCTTGCTCCACCCCTGTCCCTCTGCAGGTCACCACCTGGTTGCAGCTGCAGATTCCCCGGATTGAGGATGGCAACAATTTTGGAGTGGCTGTGCAGGTAAAAGAACTGTCCTGCTGTCCCCACTCTCACTTCTAGCACACGCTTCCTCCCACTTTGGCCCTCACTTCCTATCCCCAGGAGAAGGTGTTTGAGCTGATGACTGGCCTTCACACCAAGCTGGAAGGCTTTCACACTCAGATCTCCAAGTGAGTGGCCCCCTGCCCATACCTGAAACCTTTGCTTGAGGACCCAGGCCCATTCCCTCTTCCTTGTCCCACTCCATGCATGCTTCAATCCCCACAGGTATTTCTCTGAGCGTGGGGATGCAGTGACCAAAGCAGCCAAGCAACCCCACGTGGTAGGTGCGGCTCAGGTCAGGGTGCCCGGGAAGAGGCCCATCAGGACCCAGCCTGACTGCTGTTTCCATAGGGCGATTACCGGCAGCTGGTGCACGAGCTAGATGAGGCCGAATACCGGGACATCCGGCTGATGGTCATGGAGATTCGCAATGCTTATGTGAGGGGGCAGGGCAGGAGTACCTTTCCCCAGACTTCCATAGGCATATAGTGCTGGTGGCCTATGGCTGACCCCTGCTCCCCCTGGCTCTTTAGGCTGTGCTGTATGACATCATCCTGAAGAACTTTGAGAAACTCAAGAAGCCCAGGGGAGAAACTAAAGGAATGATCTACTAAGAGCCGCCTGTCTTGTTCTCTGATGATGACAGCAGACACCTTCTTGTTTTGTGCCAGAAATTCTGGCCCTGCCCCACCGTCCTTCCTATTGAGGTATCCCCTTCCCTTTGCCCCCTTGGGCAAAGTAAAAATCTTCAAACTGTCACCCCAGTAGCCCAAGTCTCTTTATTGGATGCTGACCCCCTGGCTCAGGCATTTCCACTGGTAGCACCAGCCCATTGCGTTATCTGGGTGTTGAGCTGTTGGTTGGTCCAGTCCTGCCGGATGTCATCCAGGTGGCAGTCGAAGTCCACGAGGTGCTGATGGGCCCGGCTCTCCAGGAGTGCTCCCACCATCTGCCGTGACTCCTCCCAGTTTCTCCACATCACTCTGAAACAATGACACTTGTGAAGGTCCAACTGGGTGGATGATGGGGTCAGACACAATCTTTATGGAGGCTGGGGACTAGGAAAGGACCCTTGGGGGTAGGACCAAGGGCAGAGGACAGCCCAGGAGTCTTGAGCTTCCAAGAAGAGGTTGAGGAAGTAGGGATACTCACAGGTTTTTGTCCTTGGGGCCCCAGCGGAGACCTTGGTTCTCCAGGACGATGATGGGGGGCACGCGAGGCTGAGGCACAAGTTTCTGATTATCCAACTGTGTGGACAGAGAAAGGCAGGTGAGAAAGTTTCAAGGATCTGCTGCCCTGCCTGTATGCTACCTCCCCAACCCCACAATGGAAGCCTCACCATAATAAGTACTGCCTCAGGGACCAATTCTGCAATTCGCCCAGCGATTTTCAAGGCCAGGGGCCCAGGGCTGTGTAGAGGGAAGATCAGAGGGGTGAGGAGCCGACTGTGGTGGGCAGACCCTCTCCATCCGAGCTGTGCCTCCCTGTCTCATGGATGTGGGTGCGGCTGTGGCCGTTCCCTCGAGCTGGTCTGGGGGCGTCGAGCCTGCTTGCTGCTGGAATCACTTGATGCTTGAGTGCTGTAGGGAACAGGGGCTCAGAGACCGCTGGAGAAGAGTGGCTGGTGCAGGCCATCTCTTGCAGGGGTAATTTGACATAACCCTTTGGCTGAGAACCATCTCCTGTGTGTGCTGATCCGGGAGTCTACTTATAAGGAACTCAATAATGGGACAGTACCCATAATTAAAACTGGAAACTTTAATTTCTAACAAGGTATTAAATACATGATGGCACATGAACTAGCTGGCAATCCATCCATATTCATAATATGCATGTGTGAGGATAAGGCACCTTGCATGGAGGTGGGGAGATGGCAAATATTAGGGAAGGAAGGAAAACCAAATTATAATCCAGTGTTTCTAATACAATCCATGAGGATACTCCAAAAAAAAAGTTCACAGAAAAAGGAATGAAAACTTATTTTGGTGCAAAATAATTTTTGAAATGTATGCACATGTAGGATGTTCAAAAAGTTGGTGGAAATGCTTATTGTGATAAAACTAGGCACACATTTTTGCTCCAAAATAAACTTAGCTGTTAATTCCATCTTCCATGAGCTTTGTGATGTACCTTAGTAGGATGAATGCCTATTTCATCTGTGTAAATAAGAAGGAAATTTCTTTTTGAAGTTGCTGGCTGGCTGGCATCACTCTGTGCTCCTTCCCGCACTTGGGGCATGGTGGATAGGATACACAGCTGACTCCACCCACTTCTGCAGCTTTTCCAAGCCAAGGTTCTATTAGCTTCCCCTTCCCATTTCCTCCCTCCAACACCTATTTCACATCCCCAGTTCCCAGGCCTCTGAAGGGAAGATGGAATTCCCCTCTCCTTTGCTGGAATCCCTGGCTTTCTGCCCCACTCACCTCTGATCATCCACAGATGCATTGGCATGGTAGTACCCAGCCACCACTAGACCAGCCTGTGCGCCCCACACGTCCACCTGTCATGGGGAAAGGGGCCAGGAGTAACAAAATAGCGCAGCTGGCCCAGTGGGTGCACAAGGCTGCCAAGGGCCCCAGGGGATAGCCTCGGGCCAGGGCAGCTGATGGTGGGTCAGCTTGGGGTTGGGGGACGGGAATGTCCAGCGGCAGCACCTGGTTGAGGGCGACCTCCAGCATGACGGCCAGGGCCAGGTGGCTGTGGAAGAGGGGCACACAGTCGGTGAGGCATAGGCATTCTCCGGAGCGTGGCGAGGACGCCAGTAGCAGCCCGTTGACAGCGGCGTGGGGGTACCGTGCGGCGTGCAGGCACATCTTCACGTAGGCCCGGGCCGAGATCTCCACCTCCCCCATGGCGAGGCAGGCCTGCCCCGGGCGCTGCGAGACCGTGGCGTGCCGGTGGCCCAACCTGCCGGCAGAGCCGGTCTGTGGCTCGCGTCCGTGAAGCTCCTTCCAGCTCCCTGGCACCCTCCTTGGCCTTCCACCGTGTGCCCTCCCTCAGCTTTGATTGTGAAGCCAACTCGTCCCGAGGGCAGCCCGCCGGCCTCCGTCCCGGAGCCCGCCCCCGGCCCGGCCCAGAAGGAGGTACCGACTGCATCCCGCGGCCCCGAACTCCGCCTCCCTCTAGTGGGAGGCCACGGATCCGTGCCTGGAGGGATCGCGCAGAGCCAGCCGCCGCCAGACCGCCCGCCCCGGGAGTCCCGCCCCCGGGCTGCTCTTTGATAGGCCCAGAGCTCCTCGTTGGGTCCAATCAGAGGCAGCCCCCAAATTTGCCCGCCTTTGTATCTGGCGAACAGAGAAGAAGCAACTGTAAAGAAAAGTGCCCGCGCACTTATTGCCGAGGCTTAACCCACTTTCCCTTCTTGATTGCAGCTTCACTCTGCTTGTTCCCTGGGCTGCCTATCAACCCACAGACCCCCGGAAGCACTGACTGGGTGTGGAACTTAGCCCAGCAAAGTGGGGATTGAAGCAAACCCCCTTGTTCCGATGATGGAATGAGTGTACTTTCAACCCGGTTCTGTCACTTCCTGGTGAACCGCGTTGCCCATGGTCCATCAAGGGTCCAATGAGATCAGTATGTGGAGGGGCTCCCACCTTGTGAAGTGATGTGCAGCACAGTCTGGTCCCATATTTAGTAACGGGACAAGGTCCTGAGTTAAAGTGCGATCCTCTGAAGTTTGCATCACAAAACCACAGCAGAGGAGCTGCTGCATCCTCCCAAAACACAAGGATGAAACCAAACTTAGGGGAGGAGGAGGGTGGGGAAGAAATCATTTGCAGACCCAGCCCCTTCCCCCATAATGTCCTACAGGAAGGTCTTCACCATCATGTCTCTGACATTTTCCCCCACCCCACCTCGCCCAGCCCAGGAAAAGGGGTTCAGCCACTCACGCACGGCACCCCACCCACACCACTGTAAATGCTCACTCTGAGCCAATGAGGGCAGAACTTGACTCCCCAAGGCTCACGCAGGCCAGTTTAGACTCCAACATCTTCATGTAGATGGTGGATGGGTGAAGGGTGGGGATTTGACCTAATTATGCTGGTTAGGAGGTGGGGAGGCAGCAGTGGCTGAGTTGGGCTGACTACTCTCCTCCCTGGCTTGCTCACTGCACCATTCCCAGCTGCACACATGCTGGACTATGGGCCCACCTGATCTTGCACTGCAACCTCCTAGCTGTGAGCTGAAACACATTTCCTTTCCAAAGGAGCTCCTCTCAGGGATCTGGATCACGACAGGAGGGCTGATGCACAAGGCCTGTTCCTTTCTTCGTTGCAGACCTCCACCACAGTGCTTTCCCCTTACCTGCCCCAAGCCTGATAACTCATTCCTGTAAGAGCTCAGCCCAACTGCCCTCTAAGGTCACCTCTTAAGAACAAGATAGGCATCTAATTTACTTTGTCTCCGGCACATCTCCCCTCCACTCTGACACATTCACCTTTGGTGTCTTGGTGTAGGTGGTACTCCATAAATTCTCTCTGAATGAGTGATACACACCCTAAAAATTCCACACAGAGGTCATGTCATTTATTTTCCCTTTAGGCCTGGGTTCACTCAGTACATGGATGGTTTTTCTTCACCTTTTGGGTTGACAATCTTCTCCAGGTTGCTACTGATGATATGATAAAGTTCAGCCTGGGAGAAAGCCACAAGAACAGGAGTCAAGTTATTGGCTTCCCACCCTCCCCACCCACTCCCACACTCCTCTGGGGAACTTCTCCCACACTCACATAGAAGGCCCTCAGGTCCAGCACCATGGCCCGCAGCGCCCTGTAAGCCGCTTCGTCTCGCTCATGGACCAATTCCCGGTAATCCATCTGAGATGCAGAAGACAAAGCAGAATCAGCTTCAGGAGAGAGACATCAGGCTGATCTCATAGAAAGGAGAAGCGATGCAAGCATGAGGCTCCTTTTCAGCACCAAGGGATGAGACCCCATGTGATCCGGCAGAGCAAAACTGTCATGGTTGGCAGGATCCACACCTACTTTTTCTAGGCAGTGATTTTGCCTGAATATCCTCCATGCCAGGAAGGCCATAATCAAGACAAGAAGGGACCCATTCCCCGCCTCCCCAATTGGTCCCTGGCCAGCCTCAGTGGGAAAGCTGATGGACTCTCCACGTACCACATGGGTCTCCTTGGATGCCTTGGCCACAGCATCCCCACGTTCTAAGAAGTACCTGCCAGAAGCAAGAGAGACACTATAGGAACAAGTATTTAGGGAGACCTGCTTTCTCAGACCTTCACAGAGTATCCCATCATATTGATGAAGCTGCTTAGCTTTGGGGATTCCTTCTCCCCAAAAAAGCTTCCACAGGTCCAGATTCTGATCCTCCAGCTGTGCTCACTTGGATATGGTTGTCTGGAAGGTTTCCACTTTGGTCTTCACTGCATTCACCCTCTCCAGTACCTTCTCCTGTGGTGACACAGAAGGGAAACAAAGTATAGCCTCTCCTTCCTCCTTGTAGCTCACCTGTTGCTCCTATTTTTCACACCCTGAGTCTCTTCCCACTCTGAGTCCTGCCTTTCTTTTCTCACCTGGACTGCCACCCCAAAATCATTTCCATCCTCGATCTTGGGGATCAGATGCTGGATCCATGTGACCACCTATGTTAACAAGGACAAATTATTCAAATATACCTCCTGGGCTCTTCCTATTGTTGCCGCCCCCACCCTCCCCAAGAGAAGCTATACTGAATCGAGTACTTATTTGCCGGGCGCTGTTATCTATGATTTATCTTACTTGTTACAGCAACCTTCCAAAGTGCAAGTGAGCGCTAACACTGTGTGTGTGTGTGTGTGTCTGTAATTTGGAAGGCTGGGAGCCAGAGAACACTCCCATCTGCTGACTCACTCTGCACATGCCATAGTGGATGGGATGGGATGGGATGGACGAGGCTAACGGAGGGAGCCGAGAGCCCACTCCAACTCCCCCTCTTGGCAGGATTTGCTGCTTCCCCGAAGTCTGCATTGGCAAGAAGCTGGGACTGATAGCCAGAGCTGGGACATGAGCCCTGGTCCTCCGATGTGTGATGCGGGCTATGCACCCACCCCAGGGAACATTCTTATCATATCTGTTTAACAGATTTAAATGTTTTTGAGACAAAGGACCAAATCATATAATCCTTACTATGTACCTGGCACAGTACTAGGTTCTATGGTTCTGGAAGCAGATACTTGATTTCAGGAGTGCCCTCAACATATCAGAAGTCCAACAGATTGAGAACAAAAAGGATCTAACCCTAGAATGCAGAGCAGCTCTCCCTGTTCAGGCCCAGCTCTCTGAAGGAGCCCAGGATCTGACCTGGTTCTCTTCTCCAGTTCCCAGACTTACCAGAATGCATTTCTCTTTGAGAGTCCAGACTTCTGGCTTAACGAAAGCAAGCAGAGCTAAGAGCTTCTCATTTCCAGGAAGAAAGCCACATTTCGGGACTGTAAAAGAGAAGCAGTCTCCACCCTTTCTCACACCCCTGCCCCATCAGTGTGCCATCTCCCCTTTCCCAGTCATATCCTCTCTGCCTTCCTTTCTTACCTTCCTTCTTCTCCTGTTTATCTGTTTCCATCTAAGGCAAAAAGGAAGAGACATAGCTTCAGGAAAGTTGTGGAGGCTGAAAGGCCCTCAAGTCCACCAAATGGAGAGCTCCAGCCCTGCACCCATTGCGCCTCACCTCATCATCCTTGGGTGGAGGGTCTGGGATGGGGATGTCCAAAGGAGCCCGCAGGGAGGTTAGATCAGCCACATTGAAGAAGTCCTCCTGTATAGAGCTCATTGTCAGGGGCTGCCCAGTCTCTCCCCTCACCCCAAGTGCCAGACTTCCTTCTGCCTCCCAACCTAGGCTCAGGCACCATCTTCAGGGGTCCATGTCACCATTCAGCCACTGTTCTCTGTGTCTTGAGTCTAAATTGTTAGCTAGAGAAGGTGGGTGGGTTGGGGGAAAAGGCCATAGGATGGTGGCAAGAGGAACCCAGATGACTCACAAGCAAGAGTTGATTGAGGTGCATGATTTTCTGTGGCAAGAACGTGTAGAGGAACTCCTCAGCCTGCAAGGGGGAAGAACCACTGAGCATACTCAACCAGACAGCAGAGAGGTAGGCCTGGAGGGGCCCTTGATGATCATCACCAAGTCCTTGACTTACAAATGAGGAAATTGCAAGTCCTGACAATGAAGGGTCTTGCCCAAATCTGTAACCAGCCGAACAAAGGCTAGGACCATAGTATTTTGCTGTTTGGGGGAATCACAGTTTTACTTTCCCAGCACAAAGAAGGGCTGGGGGGCAGTAGGTGAGCCTCAGGTGAAGCCACCTGTATCATCGTCATGCCATCTGGGTGTGGGTTCCTGTCCTGACTGCTCCACTTCCCATCCTATGAATGTGCCAGGGAAATCAGCAGGACATGGCCCAACGACTTGGGCCCTTGAACCCATATGGAAGACCTGGAAAAAGTTCTTGGCTGCTGGGCCAGTCCTGGTCTGCCTTTGCAACCATTTGGAGAATGAACCAACAGATGGAAATGCTCTCTTTCTCTTTCCCCTCTTCTCTGCAACTCTGTCTTTCAAATCAATCAACGTGGGTTTTCTGTTTTGTTTTTTAAAAGGGCTGAGAAGTGGAAGAAGGGGAAATTCCTGAGAGGGGTTAAACTGGAGGACAAAATCATTAATTGGGGCTCACTGTGGGTGAAATCTTGGTGAGGGAATAGGGACCAAGTCCAGGGTGGGCTTGGAAATCACTCTGAGGGGTTGTGATTCAAGTACTGGCCCAAGATTCTGGATCAAATTGCTTGACTCTACAGACACTTACCTCCTGGAAGAGATTTTGCCTGAAGACATCGACCTACAAAGAAAGCAGTAACCGGGTGTAGGTTAAGGGGTCCTGCTTGACAAGTCTAATCTTTCCACCTCCAGCAAGGTTCCTTTCCCACTTAGGCCCTAGCTCCGGGCAGAGACTGGTCAGAGGGCAGGATTCTGGGATTTCCCGGGCAGAAGTGAAAGCATTCAAGTGGGGCTGGCAGAGTTTGCTCTACGGCCTTGGTTCCTCGCAGCACTCAGGTCGGCTGCCACCCTGGAGGGTTTCCAGGTCCCTTTCCGACCTCTGGGGTCCCCCCTTACCTGTTTGCGGGCCTCCTGGCTCAGACGCACTCCAGCAGGCTTGGCCATGCTGCTCCAGTTGCAGATCTCCCTTCTCCGAGTTAGCCGCCTGGGCTTTCGCTTTCACTCCCCAGCTCCAGGCCCGCCCCCCTCAACCCCGCCCCCTTTCTGCCTTTTCCCCCTCCCCTGGGCAGACCAAAAGCCGTGATAGTCCCTCAGCCATTCCTTGCCCGTGGTCCGTAGCACGGGCGGTGCTGGCCGAGGGAGGGCCTGGGGGAGTGGGACAGGCCGTGCTCACTGCAACAGGGGCTGTCCTTCGGAAAGGGGGCGGGACCTGGAGCGAGGACCACGCCCGTCCAGGGGGAAGTCCAGGGCTGGAGTTACAGAGCAAAGGGAGAATGGGGCAGGGGATGTCCCTTGGCAAGGCTCCTACTAGAAGACTCGGCCGCCAGGAAGGCCGAGAGGCGTCAGAGCGAGATGGGGGGGGGGGGGGCTCTGGGGGAGGATAAGGTAGAGAAGGGTTTGCAGGACGCGGGAGCTCGTGCGGGGCCTGTCCCCGAGGATACTCTGCCTTCTTGACAGAAGGGGAGGGCCTCGAGCTGGGCTGGGAGGCGGCGAGAGCCGAATTCCCGGCAGGATGGACAGCCGCCGGTGGGAAAACTGAACACAAAGATCCAGGAAAGTCGTGAACGGGATGGGACATCCCGCGCCTGGAGCGGCCCGGAAGAGGCGGAACCCCCCGGGGAGAGGCTGCGGCTCTGTGAGGGAGGAGTCTCAGATTACTTGCTTACTAATTGGTTGGGGTACGGCCTGACCTCCTGACCACGCCCCTCCCCTCCTCAGCCTTAACCCCCTCCTCTTCCTCTGAAACTGCGTTGCAGTCCCGCCCACCTTCCCAGGACTTCCTGTTCCCGGCTCATCCTGGCGCTGGGCCGGGGGACCGGAGGGTGACAGCGGCCTGAGTGACCGACCGGGGTGGCTGCGTGGGCAGGGTCAGGCCCGCCAAGCCGGACCGCGGGCGGGGAGAGGTGGCGCTCGGGCCGCGCGCAGCCCCACGGGGCCGGCTTCTGGCCGGGGCTGACATCCGTCTCAGGATGCCGGGGGAGGAAGAGGAGCGAGCCTTCCTAGCGGCCCGTAAACAGCTGGCGAGCGCCCTGAGGACGGATTCCGGGCAGGCGTTTTCCCTGGAGCAACTCCTGCCGTTATTGAACACTTCCTTGCCTCCAGCTGCCCGCTACCTGCTGCTGGACGCCGCACGCCTGATCCGCTGCAACGCTCGTGGGGAGGTGAGGCGCGGCCAGGCTCGGAAGGGAGGGCTTCCCCAGGGCCTGAGGCTCGCGGCGACCTCACAGCTCGGCTCTCTCTCAATTGCGCACAGCCCCGAAACTACCTCAGCACCCTGTCCACGGCCCTGAACATTCTGGAGAAATACGGCCGGAACCTCCTTAGCCCTCAGCGACCCCGGTATTGGCGCGGGGTCAAGTTCAATAACCCTGTCTTTCGCGGCACGGTGGATGCAGTGCAGGTGAGGACCACCCCTCCCCATGGGATTAACTGGAGAAGGGGACTGGACGTGGCGGGGCGGGAGGAGGGAGGATCGACTGGAAGGGGGCAGCGGGCTTGTGACGGGCTGTGTGTGTTGTGCGGCAGGGGGGCCGGGATGTGCTGCGACTCTACGGCTACACGGAGGAGCAGTCGGATGGCCTGAGCTTCCCCGAGCAGCAGGAGGAGCCCGACAAGCAGCAGGTTGCTGAGGTCACACTGGAAGTGCTGCTGCTTCGGATGGAGCTCACCCTGTATCTGCAGGTGAGCGGGCCGCTGGGGTGAGACTAGCCATCAGGGCCCCCAGGTGAGGCCAGTGGGAGGGTCCCCACGCTGCTGTTCCCACCCCTTGGCCTGGCACTGAGCAGTGGAGGGAGCAGTGCAGGAAGGCTTTGTTCCACAGCCGCGGCTCGGATCGCCTTTTCTCTCGCTTGCAGAATGCACATCCGAGACAGCAGGCACTGGAACAGCTGCTGAAGGTGGAAGATGATGTAAGAAAGGAAGGGGTAGGGGAAGGGAGCGTGGGGACTCAGACTGTTCCCTAACTTCTTTTTTCCTTAGCTGCTGCAGCTGTGCGAGTTTGGCCCCCTACTGAGAGAGATTGCACCTGGTCCCCTTACCACACCCTCCGCTCCAGGTATTACCCCAGGTATTTCAAGGTGGTGGGGGAGTCTGACTAATGATGGCAACCTGGGGCCCCTTCCTCTGGCGTTCTTATATATCTTTGTGTGTTGAGAGCCGTTCAAGGTTTCCCTTTGCTAGTTGTCCTGTTGGCCCTCCTGCGACCATACCCAGGTGTCACCTGCTCTTGTGTGTTGTGTTCTTCCTCTCCAGGCCCTGCTGCTTGTACCTGCTTTCTCTGCGGCTCCAACCCAGGCACCCTGAGTTGCCCAATCTGTAAGCAGGTCTTATGTGCAGCCTGTGACCGCCTGTTCCATGGACACCCATCCCGCGCTCATCACCTTCGCCAGACACTGCCTGGAGCTCTCCCGGCCGCCCACCTGAGGCCCAGGTGAGAGCCCAGCTCTTCTCAGTGGGAGGAAAATGGAGAGCGTGGACCATCAGCTGAGCATCTGCCTTGCACCAGGTTCTTTTATTTAATATGGCTCAAGCAGCCACTCACAGGAAAACGGGCAGTGGTGGTAGCTGAATACTTCCTGGTGTAAGAGTCAGTTCAGGCATCAGATGGTGTTTGAAACACCTAGCATGGATCAGGCCTTCTGTTCCCAGGATCTACCAGGCAGAAATGAGCTCTTCAGCTGTCACTTACATGTGGAACAGGATGTGAGGGTGGAAGTGTCCAGAAAGAGAGAGCAGTACCTCAAAGACCAGAACCCTGTGCTGTTACCCAGGAAATGGGGGGTGCCCCCAGGATGGGGGTGAGGGTTCCAGCAAGCAGGCCAGGTCTGTCTCTCCATTACAGTCTACCTGCCTCATCCCACCTGCGGCCCCAGATGACCTCCCTGCTGACCCTCAGAGACAGCTCTCCCTCCCAGGATCCTGCAAGTGCCCATCAGCCTTGGCACTGCGTGGCCTGTACCTGGCTCAACGAGCCGTGGGCAGTGCTCTGTGCGTCCTGTGGCCAGCACCGAGGCAGTAAGGAATCGAGGCTGGATCTTGAGTGTCCCCAAGGGACTGGGCACCAAGAACCTGAACTGACACGAGGTCAGTGGGCCTGCCAGAGTTGTACCTATGAGAATGAGGCAGCAGCTGTGTTATGCGCCATGTGTGAGCGGCCTCGGCTGGCCCAGCCTCCCAGCCTGGTGGTGGATTCCCAGGATCCTGGCATTTGCCTACAGCCCCTTCAGGTAACTTACTCTTGACCTTTCTAGATGGTTCTCTGTGTCCCCCCATGGACCTCCACTCCCCAGTTCCCAATGGGCTGATTTCTCTCTACCTTCCCAGGAAGGGGATGCTTTGATGACCACCAAACAGACTCCTCTCTGGAACTGTAGCCACTGCACCTTCTGCAACTCAGGCCCCGGTTGGGTGTGTGCTATGTGCAACCGGACCAGCAGCCCTGACCCAGAACAGCGTGCCCCCCAGCCCAATGCCACCTCCTCGGAAAAGGGACTCCCCAGTCCTCGACACCCACGATGTCTCAGTGCCCCCCTGCCCAGCTCCTGTGGAGACCCTGAGAAGCAGCGCCAAGACAAGATGCGGGAGGAAGGCCTCCAGCTGATAGTCATGATCCAGGTGAGGAATGGGCCTGGGGTGGGGTGGGGCTGGGCCGGGCCATGGAGAGGCTGCATTGTATGAATCTGAGTTCTTTTTTTTTTTAAGATTTATTTATTTTTATTGCAAAGGCAGATATACAGAGAGAAAGAGAGACAGAGAGAAAGATCTTCCATCCAATGATTTGCTCCCCAAGTGACCGCAACAGCCGGTGCTGCGCCAATCCGAAGCCGGGAACCAGGAGCTCTTCCAGGTCTCCCACACGGGTGCAGGGTCCCAAGGCTTTGGGCCATCCTCAACTGCTTTCCAGGCTACAAGCAGGGAGCTGGATGGGAAGCGGGGCCACCGGGATTAGAACTGGCACCCTTATGGGATCCTGGTGCATTCAAGGCGAGGACTTTAGTTGCTAGGCCACTGTGCCGGGCTCTTTTTTTAAAGATTTATTTATTTTTATTACAAAGCAGACATACAGAGAGGAGGAGAGAGAGAGGAAGATCTTCCGTCCGATGGTTCTCTCCCCAAGTGAGCGCAATGGCCAGTGCTGTGCCAATCCGAAGCCAGGAGCCAGGACCCTCCACTAGGTCTCCCACACGGGTGCAGGATCCCAAAGCATTGGGCCGGCCTCGACTTCTCTCCCAGGCCACAAGCAGGGAGCTGGATGGGAAGTGGAGCCGCCGGTACTAGAACCGGCGCCCGTATGGGATCCCGGGCGTGTTCAAGGCGAGGACTTTAGCTGCTAGGCCATGCCACCGGGCCCTGGGCTCATCTTTTTTTTAATCTGAGTTCTTATAAAGTTATTATTAGCAGTCCGATTAGGTTTCCGTCCAACCTGTGTGGTGTTGGGCTCAGCACTTCTGAGGCACCTGCACCTTTCTGGAAGGTGTTAGTAGACAGAAGGGTTATTTTCGGTTCCATCAGAAGTTTCCATACTACTATGTCTCTTACAGGTCTAGTGATCTAATTGACACTGGAATCCATTCAGAAATTAATTTTCTTACAAGGTTAATATGTGGGACTTTTTCTGACTCTAGCTGTCTTTTGGTCGCTTGTGAATTTGGGGTTTTTTTTTTAAAGATTTATTTTTATTGGAAAGTTAGATGTACAGAGAGGAGGAGAGACAGAAAGGAAGATTTTCCGTCCTGTGGTTCACTCCCCAGGTGGCTGCAACAGCTGGTACTGCGCCCATCTGAAGTCAGGAGCCAGGGACTTCTTTCTGGGTCTCCCACATGGGTGCAGGGTTCCAAGGCTTTGGGCTGTTCTTGACTGCTTTCCCAGGCCACAAGCAGGGAACTGGATGGGAAGTGGAGCTGCCGGGATTAGAACCGGCGCCCATATGGGACCCTGGTGCGTCCAAAGTGAGGACCTTAACCATTACGCTATTGTGTAGGGCCCAATTTGGGGGTTTTTGTTTTGTTTTTTTAAATAATCCCTTTGATTTCCATCCTGCAGTGGTTATGCCCACAACATTGTCTGGTAATTCTGTGTACTTTTTATCCTCACAGTGACAGTCCTTGTGATCTATTCTCTGAATTTCAGTCCTTGTAAAGACCAATAAATGTTAGCACTATTTTTAAAAAAAGAAAAAGAAGTTACTGTTAGCAGCAGCTGTGTCTTCTGAGCACTTCCCACTTGGCAGTGACCATGTGCTACACCAGGTCATGTGATCAGCACAGCAGCGCTCAGCTGTTCACATGTGGATCAGGCTGACAGTGCTGCCCGCCCATGGCCCCCCTAATGGGCTGCTGTGCTTCAGGAAGGAGAGGCTGCAGGTGCATCTCCAGAGGAGGTCTTCTCGGCTCTACAATACTCGGGCACTGAGGTGCCGCTGCAGTGGTTGCGCTCAGAGCTGCCCTATGTGCTGGAGATGGTGGCCGAGCTGGCTGGACAGAAGGACCCTGGCCTGGGTGCCTTTTCCTGTGAAGAGGCCCGGAAGGCCTGGCTGGACCGTCACGGCAACCTTGATGAGGCTGTAGAGGAGTGTGTGAGGGCCCGGCGGAGGAAGGTACGGCTGGGCTGCAGGCGGGACAGGGTTGAGGGCCTTGGTAACTCACTCCCTTACCTGATTTTTCCTCTTCATTCTCCCTGCTCTCAACCTACAGGTGCAGGAGCTCCAGATGTTGGGCTTTAGGCCCGAGGAAGGGTCTCTTCAGGCATTGTACCAGCATGGGGGAGACGTGGCCCGGGCCCTGACTGAGCTACAGCGCCAGCGCCTGGAGCCCTTCCATCAGCGCCTCTGGGACAATGGCCCTGAGCCTACTCCTTCATGGGATGGGCCAGACAAGCAGGTGCTTAATGAAAGGAGATGAGCAGTTTAAGCACCCACCTAAAGGGACCTGAGAAAGTGCTCTGTAGGTCTGACAGCTCTTCTCTTTCCACCTGAATCCCATTGCAGAGTCTGGTCAGACGGCTTCTGGCAGTCTATGCACTCCCCAGCTGGGGCCGGGCAGAGCTGGCATTGTCGCTGCTGCAGGAGACCCCCAGGAACTATGAGCTGGGGGACGTGGTAGAAGCTGTGAGGCAAAGCCAGGACCGGGCCTTCCTACGCCGCTTGCTCGCCCAGGAGTGTGCTGTGTGTGGGTGGGCTCTGCCCCGCAACCGGGTAAGGCTCATGTTACCATCCCTGCTCTAGGAATTGCTTCTATTCTCTTTGGACACATCTCCTCTCACCCCTGCAGTGGCTTTTGTATCTGAAAAGTATTCTGGGAAGGTGGGGACAGGAACAGGCTGCCTCCTCCCCCTCCTTTCATTAATGTTCTATTACGGCAATTGTAAGACATGTAGTAGAGACTGTAAATTAATTCCCCCAACTCTTGCAAGTTCCCCATCACCCAGTGTCGTCATCACTGTCCCCAAGCCTCAGCAATTTTCAGTATATGTGATTTAATCTACACACTGGACTGTTTAGAAGCAAATCTGGTGATTGCACAATTTGTTGGTAAATATCCTTGTTTTTAAAGATTTATTTATTGGAAAGGCAGATATACAAAGATGAGGAGAGACAGAGAGGAAGATCCTCCATCTGATGATTCATTCCTCAAGCAGCCGCAATGGCCAGAGCTGAGCTGATCCAAAGCCAGGAGCACGGAATCTCTTCAAGGTCTCCCACATGGGTGCAGGGTCTGAAGGCTTTGGGCTGTCATCGACTACTTTCCCAGACCACAAGCAGGGAGCTGGATAGAAAGCAGGGCTGCCGGGATTAGAACTGGTACCCATATGGGATCTTGGCGTGTTCAAGGCGAGCACTTTAGCCGCTAGGCTATCATGCCAGGACCTGGTAAAGATCTTAGTATGTGTATGTCTGAAAAAAGGAATCTTAAAGGGCCAGGCTGTGGCATATCAGTTTAAGCCTCTGCCTGCAGTACTGACATCCTAAACTTGTGCCAGTTTAAGTCCTGGCTGCTCCACTTCTGATCCAGCTCTGGTAATGCACTGGGAAAGCAGAAGATGGCCCAAATGCCTGGGCCCTTGCACCCAATTGAGAGACCTTAAGGAGGCTCCTGGCTTCAGCCTGGCCATGGTGATCATTTGCAGTCAACTACAGGAAAGATCTTCCTAATTTTTTTAATCTCTGTAATTTTTTTTTAAAGATGATTTATTTTAATTGGAAAGATAGATTTTATGGAGAGAAGGAGCCAGAAAGATCTTCCTTCCACTGGTTCATGCCCTAAGTGGCTACAATGCCCAGAGCTAAGCTGATCCGAGGCCAGGAGCCAGGATCATCTTCTGGGTCTTCCACGTGGGTGTAAGGTCCCAATGATTTGCACCGTCCTCTACTACTTTCCCAGGCCACTAGCAGAATGGGAAGTGGAGCAGCTGTGACATGAACTGGTGCCCATATGGGATCCTAGTGCATGCGAGCTGATGATTTAGCCACAATGGCCAGAGCTGGGCCATTCTGAAGCCAGAAGCTAGGAGCTTCATCCGGGTCTCCTATGTGGATGCAGGGGCCCAAGCACTTGGGCCATCCTCTGCTGCATTCCCAGGTTGCTGGACTGGAAGTAGAGTACCCGGTGCTCACTAGCTGCGATAGTGGAAGCCAGTATCACAGGTGGTAGTTTAACTCTTTATAACACAGTACTTTGTTCTGTGTATCTCTTTGTGTGTGTAGTTCTTTGCAGTTGTATCTCATGAATAGATTTGTCTACGATTTGTCTACTGTCATCAAAATGAAGATATAAATTGTTCCTCACTGCAGAGGAACTCTACTCCTCCCTTCCCCATGCTACACCTTACACTTGTACCTCCTTCCGGCCTCTGGCCACCTGACAGCCACTAATTTGTTCTACATCCCTGTATCTGTGTCATTTTAAGGATGCTATTTCTATATTTGCTTTTAACTGGATGTGACCACCTTTAGAGGCATTCTTTGTCTTAGGTCTCATCATTGTTTTCGTGCACTATATGTTTGGGTTGTCTGCCTGGCACCCACTAGCATTTAAAATGGCCTCTTGCCCAGTTGTTAATTAGATCCTCGTTTCTCGTTGAACCCTTGGCTCTTGCCCCTTTCTCAGGCTGGCACTTATGGATGGCTTCTTTCTCTCCTTCCCCGCCCCCCCAGATGCAGGCCCTAATTTCCTGTGAGTGTACCATCTGTCCTGACTGCTTCCGCCAGCACTTCACCATCGCCTTGAAGGAGAAGCACATTACAGACATGGTGTGCCCCGCCTGTGGCCGCCCTGACCTCACTGATGACACACAGCTGCTCAGTTACTTCTCTACCCTGGATATCCAGGTAGCTGCCGTAGCCCCTGGGATCCGGGTACCCCTGGGCATTGAGCAGGAACTCCCCCCACCACACACACCAACTGCCTCTGCAGCTTCGGGAGAGCCTTGAGCCCGACGCCTATGCTCTGTTCCATAAGAAGCTGACTGAGGGGGTGCTGATGCGGGACCCCAAGTTCCTGTGGTGTGCCCAGGTAAGTGATGCACCCAGAGGAGCTGACTGGACGGCCAGGACATGCAGCCAGGCCCGGCCTGGGATAGCTTTCTGTTCTCACCCACAGTGCTCCTTCGGCTTCATCTATGAGCGGGAGCAGCTGGAGGCTACGTGTCCCCAGTGTCACCAGACCTTCTGTGTGCGCTGCAAGCGCCAGGTAAGGCACATGTATCTTTCCATAATGACTTGCTGAGCTACTGCAAGGCACCAGTGTGAGATCAGGATGAGTCAGGAGCTCTCGGCACAGAGAACTTAAAGAGTTTCAATAGGCACAAGGAGAAATGGTGGAAGGGAGAAAGGAAAGCAGGAAGAAAGGAGGGAAAAGATTGGGAAAAATAAGGAGGGGGCGAAGTAGAAGGAAGAAAGGAAGAGAATCAGGAAAAAGGGAGTTCTGAAATGCTTGTACGCAGGCACAAATTCTGTAGGGATACAGGTGGAGTGTGAGCCAAGGACATCATTTCTGAAATGGGTTGACTTAAAGCTCTGAGGAACCCAGTGATGCAGCATATTTGGGACAGAAAGAACAGCCATGGAAAAGCCCAAGTCAAGCAAAACTATGGCTGGAGTCTTGAGAGCAAGGACTGCCAGGCAGTCCAGGTGGAGGAGCATCAGACCAGGGGAATCCTGGAGACCAAGTAATGCTGGTTTGTCTTTTGTTCTATGTTGTAAGAAGTGTAATATTCATCACCCAAATCTTGCATCACACAATGAAAAAAATGAATGAAACAGAAAATGAACACTACTGCCAAGCCAGAAAGCCGTAACATCACCAATAACTGTTGAGGCTGCCTAACTGGTACAATGTGGAGAGGCTAGTAGCTATAGCAAGTCATGGAGGCCAGATGTGACAGCAGCCTGGAATGAGATGACAGCTGTGGGAATGGAGAGAAGAAAGGGGTGGGAAAGGCCTGGGGGGTGGGAACTTCATGGCTTGCCAGTGAGCATGAGGTGGTGGGAAGACAGCAAAGCCAAGGATGGTCCCTCAGTTTGGCAATGACACAAAGGAAGCCAAGGGCTCCTGGAGGGGCCAGGGGAAGGCCAGGCTCCTATGTGATGCCCACCCTCCTTACGGCAGTGGGAGGAGCAGCACCGAGGTCGGAGCTGTGAGGACTTTCAGAACTGGAAACGCACCAACGACCCGGAATACCAGGCCCAGGGCTTGGCGATGTATCTTCAGGAGAATGGCATTGGTGAGGCTGCCCCCTCCCCTCCTGGCCCGTCTGTTAGGTGGCCTGTCATCAGCAGCATCTTCTGAGTATAGCCCCACCCTTACCTGCCATCTCTTGCAGACTGCCCCAAGTGCAAATTCTCCTACGCCCTGGCCCGAGGAGGTTGCATGCACTTCCACTGCACACAGTGCCGCCACCAATTCTGCAGCGGCTGCTACAATGCCTTTTATGCCAAAAATGTGAGTCCAGAAACGGGGGAAGGGATAAAGAGGGTGGAGTGGGGGCCCTGAGGAGCTACTTGCAGGAAGAGGAGGCCATTGGGATATCAGGCACCCCTCCCCCCATTTGCTTGCTCTAGACTATCCAAGGTCTCCATGCCCCTCCCACCCCTACAGCTCTCATACAGGAATTTCTGAGATTCCAGGACCCTAATAGGTTTTTTTAAAATATATATATATATTTAATTATATTTTTGACATAGTCCATCATAGAGTCTCCGTTTGCCCAGTTTTTCGCTGCCAACATATACCTGAGGTGGTTGATTGACTTGTTCTGTCTTCTGTGTTAGGGTTCTGAGTCCGGCATTTCGATTGGGGAGATCTCCAAAGAAACTTTGTCTGAGGTGTTCCCAGACCAGATTCTTGTATGTACTAGCAAGCACAGGGCCCAGCACAGTCCATTTCCCCGATCAGCTGGTGGTTGCAATTGCTGGGTTGGTTCTGTTTTCAGCCCCGACATCCACACAAACCAATGGGTGTTGCAGTCCAGCCTGGTTCTGCCTAGCACACACTCAGCCCTCACATAAACCAGTGGGAGCTGCAGCCTAGTTGGAGCAACCCACAATAACCCTCACCAGACCCGGCCCCTACCCTGGTTTGCCAGTATGTGTAGCAGACTAGTCTAGTCTGTCCCACACCCCATTCGGCTCTCATACATGTCAATGGGTGTTAACACTTAGTTCCATCTAACCAGCTTAACGATCCAGCCCTCACAGTTGTTGTTGGATGCCTTTCTATCTAGCCAGCCCAGTCCCTGTCCTAGTTTTCGTGCCCTCCCACGGGAGTGGTAACCCAAAAGGGAGGAGCCCACTTTGCACTCCTAGACCATTCCCACTCCTGGATTATACACTCTTCAGGTGATTCTATGGTTTGACAGAATTAGCCCCCAGTGCCAGCTTCTGCCAGCTGATGCTGCAGCTAAGCCCAAACAACCCTCACCAACTCTAATTTTGTTTGCACCAGCAGGAATAATCAGCCCAGCCTGGTTTTTCCCTGATCTAGTTCACATGAGGCGCACAGGTGTTGTAGCCTTGCTTAGTCTGGTCTACCCCCATCCCAGCTCATGCTCTCCAGCGGGAGTAGCTGTCCAGCAAGGGAACCACCCCTCATTCCCCTGCCGGCTCCGCCCCCTCCCTTCCTGGTTCTCATGCGTGCTGTTTGGGTGCTGTGGTCACATCCAGTACAGGCAACCTCACCTTGGCATTCCGTATTGTGCACTGGTTTTTGTCGTGACCGAACCTGGCTCGACCCACACTCTGTTCTGGTGCTTGGATTTGCCAGTGGATGATGTGAACTGATTCAACCTGAGGACCCTAATAGTTTCTAACTTCTCTGCCATCTGGGTTTCTGCCAGAAATGTCCAGACCCTAACTGCAGGGTAAAGAAGTCCCTACACGGCCACCACCCTCGAGACTGCCTCTTCTACCTGCGGGATTGGACTGCTCTCCGACTCCAGAAGCTGCTGCAGGTTAGAAGGGACCAGCCCAACTGGGAGTACAGGTTGCCCAGGAGAAGGGGACAGGGCCCAGGGTTGGACTTAAATGAAAGGGGATTTAAGGTAGGCAGGACAGCTAAGGCTGGCAGCCAGGGGAATGTAACGCCCATGTGTGTTTTTGCAGGACAACAACATCATGTTTAACACAGAGCCTCCAGCAGGAGCCCGCGCAGTCCCTGGAGGTGAGTGGTGGGACAAATCTTTGAGGCGGATGACCAGCTGGGCTCCCACTGTGTCAGGGATAAAGGGAAGGCTTGGAGTCGGGGATTGTTTCTGTCCCAAATGGTAACAGTTCATGCATGAGCTCAGTGAGTAGTGAATGAGCCCTGCTGGCTACAGCACACTGTTTTGGGTCGCAGAGCCTGGAAAGGTGTCACCTCCTGCTCCAACCTCCTTATCTACCCAGAGGGAAAGTCGCTCAAGTCAGTGGACTAGGAAAGACTGTGCATGTGGTTATGGGCCAAAGCCAGCTTGGCTAGAAGCCAGGCAGCCAGGACTCTGCCTCTTGGTCAGTGCTGCAGGCATCTCTAAGTATCCCACTAGGCTATGCTCAGTTCCCTTCCTGAAGACAACTTTGGCCTGCTCTATGCATTTCCCAGATCTCCAGCGCCTTCTCCCAGCAAAGGGCATCCTCCTTTACCCTTAGGTGGCTGCCGAGTGATGGAGCAGAAGGAAGTTTCCAATGGGCTCAAGGATGAAGCTTGTGGCAAGGAAACTCCAGCTGGCTATGCCGGCCTCTGTCAGTGAGTGCCAGGGGTTAAAGGGCATGCAACTGGGCATGGGGGATAGGAGGGTGAGAGCATGTGCAGGCGGGAAGGTGGCTCCCGCAAGGAGAGGACGGGGCTGTCTGGGCAAGGGCACAGATGAATAGGAGCAGGTGGCTAGCACAGATGGCCACTGCCTGCAGGTGCAGCAGGCAAGGATTACGTGGCCTTGGCTGTGTACCTCAGCACCCAGCAAGGTGCTGTTAGCCAACAGAACAGATACCTCATTCCCTCGTCCCCCCAGGGCACACTACAAAGAGTATCTGGTGAGTCTCATCAATGCCCACTCACTGGACCCGGCCACCCTGTATGAGGTGGAGGAGCTGGAGACAGCCACCGAGCGCTACCTGCATGTGCGCCCCCAGCCTCTGGCTGGTGAGGAGCCTCCCGTGTACCATGCCCGCTTATTACAGGTAAAACCTCTGCACAGCCTCCCCTCTGACATCATCTTCCAGAAGTCATCTGGCCTGGCCCTGGGCGGGAGCCCCAGACTTTCAGTATCGTTTCTCTCTCCTGCAGAAGCTGACCGAAGAGGTGCCTTTGGGACAGAGCATTCCCCGCAGGAGGAAGTAGCTGAGGGCCAGGGTCCTGTGGCCCAGACCCCTCAGGAACAGCTGCAGCACCAATAAAGAGGCATCTGATTGCCAGGCTTCTCGGTGGTCCTTCTTCCTGGCCCCACCATCTAGGGGCCCAGGGCAAAAGGGGGGTGACTAGAGCTTTGCTGAAAGGGCCCCCTTTACAGACTGCCTCTTGACCCACCCTGGACTCGGGGCCAGGAAGGAACTGACACCATGGATGAGCAGGGGAAGCCCTTCCCAGCCAGCTACCTGGCTGCCTTTCCTCCCTCCCTCCTTGCCTTCCTCCCTTTCCCTTCTTGGAATTTGGTCATTGATGTGAGCTAACGTGTACCAAGCGGGCCCTGTGGGGAACTGAGGTGCTCAGATGTACACAGAAATCCCGAGGCCAGACTCAGGGAACCTGGTGAAGGTGTACAGTGTTACGGAAGTGCAATATGCAGGGTTATCAGGCAGGAAAGCGTTCCCCGCGGGAGCTCCGGGCGGAGGGTCCCTCTAGCTGCTGTCCGCGGAATGACAATAAAATACTCAACTACTGCCGCTGCCCCCTGGTGGCGGCAGGTTGACTTGCTACTCTGGGACCACGTGATTTCTGGGAAAAGGCTTCCCTCGGAAGAGAAGTGAAACTTAGGGTGGGGACTGTAGAAAGGGGCGGAGAGATCTCGCGGCCCAGCTGGGAGTGGAGTTGCAGCTTGGAGATCTTCGGGACAGCCTTGGACGGCAGATCAGGTAAGAGCAACTAAGCATGGGAGTCAGCCCGGGTTGTAGGGTGAGAAGGGCCGGGTCAGATTGCAAGGGATAGTGTTTGGGAGCCCGTCTTACTAAACAAGGATAGCCCGAAAACCTATATGAGTCCAGAAGCCAGAGGTGTGGCCTGGGAGTGAGAAACTACAAATGGCCACTGAGCAGCCACCACCAGGGCAAGTGTCCTAGGCCCTGGGCAGAAATGATAGGAGAGCCTGCTCTAAAACTATCCTGGAGGAAGGACCCTGGGCCAGCCTCAGCTGGCCTTGTTTGTTTTCTTGCCTTGTGGCCCTGCCCACTTCTGTAGTTCCACCCCATCCTCCCCACCACCACCCCTTCACACCCCCACCTACCTACCCCTGAGGCAAATACAGACCAGCGGTGGGGATGGAAGGTTGGACTATAAGGGTGGTTGGTGAATATACTTGAGACTGGGTAGAGCACCTTACTGGAAACAGAACACCAAAGCACAGGCAGGGATTTGGCACAGCGGGTTAAGACACTGCTCAGGCCAATGCCTGTCTCTTTCTGTCCAACAGCCTGGGTTCCAGCCCTGACTCTGCCTGGGGCTTTAGCATCTTGCTGATGCACACCCTGGCAGGCAGCAGGTGATTGCTTGGCTGGCTAGGTCCCTACCACCCCAGTGGAAGGCAGATTGAGCTCTGTTCTCCTGGCTTGAGCCTGGCCAGCCTTGACGAGTGTGAGCATTTTCTCTTTGTGTCTCTTCTGCCTTTCAAGCAAAATTTAAATTTTAAGAAAGCAACAAAGGAACTTCTCAAACTGGATGTTCTCCCCCAAATTTTGAACCAATTCCTAAGGTTTCCACTCACATGTCATAACCAGAAGAGTAGGTTTTTGGTAACTTCTAGTGATGGTAGAAATGAAAGAATTCTGCCAGAGCCTGCAGAAGGTGAGGGGGGCTTCTGGGGACAGTGACCAGGATCTCAGCAGATGTGCCCCCCTCAAATGGACAGTTCTGACGTTGCTTCCCTGTCTCATCCACACACCCCCCAGGATGACGCTGGGCAAGCCGCGAAGCACCCGGAAGCTACGGACTTGGGTGATAGAGCAGGTAGAGAGTGGGAATTTCCCAGGTGTGTGCTGGGATGATGCATCCAAGACCATGTTCCGGATTCCCTGGAAGCATGCAGGCAAGCAGGACTTCCGAGAGGACCAGGATGCCGCCTTCTTCAAAGTGAGTGCCAGGGAGCACCCCTGTCTCCTGGACAAGGGCTGATAACACACCCCCCCCCCCCCAACACACACTGGCAGCACACTTACGCCATGCTGTCAGCGTCTGCCTGGGTTGCAGATATGAGGGCATGCTGGAGAACAGCCAGGTCGCATGCTGAGTTCCCATTCAGATGGCAAAGCTACCAAGCTTACAGGTAGCCCAAGCAGCTCTGAGCTGAGGGCAGGCGCCAGGGGCTCAGGCCACAAGCCTGGGAAGCCAGCCCTGAGGGAGGCGTGGCCAGAGTCAGTGGCATCCTACTTCCTCTGCCATTGGTCTCCCTAGGCCTGGGCCATCTATAAGGGCAAGTACAGAGAGGGCGATCCCAGTGGCCCTGCTGCGTGGAAGACCCGCCTGCGCTGCGCCCTCAACAAGAGCTCTGAATTTGAGGAGGTTCCCGAGAAAGGCCGGATGGACGTGGCTGAGCCCTACAAGGTGTACCGGCTGCTGCCACCAGGAACCCCCTCTGCTGGTGAGTGTGCCCCTGCCCACCATGCCCAGAAGCAGCACATGGCAGGGGTGGTGGGAGTAGGGTACGGCAGGCCTCCCAATAGGCGCTGTCCTTAGAGGGCTACTGTCATGTCCCCCTTCCATCCTGCCTAATCTCCCACTGCTTCCACTGCCTGTCTAGGCCACTTTTTTTTTTTTAACTGATTTTTATTTGAAAAGCAGAATTACATAAAGATACAGGGAGAGACCGAGAGGAAGAGATGTTCCATCTGCTGGTTCACTCCCCAAATGGTTTCAACAGCCAAAGCTAGACTGATCCAAAGCCAAGAGCCAGGAGCTTCTTCTGGGTTTCCAGTGAGGGCTCAGGAGCCCAAGTATTTGGACTATCCTCTATTGCTTTCCCAGTCACATTAGCAGAGAGCTGGATGGGAAGTGGAACAGCCAGGACTTGAACTGGCACCTGTGTGGGATGCCAGTACAGCATGTAGCGTTTTTATCCACTGTGCTGCAGCACCTGTGCTCCTTGTCATCTTTCCTTCCTAAACACTTGATGTTTCTCTGCCTGTCAATTCCACAGCCCAGCCAGGGACCCGGAAGTCACCTTCAAAGCGACATCACAGTTCTGTGTCCTTTGTGAAAGAGGAAGATGAGGGTCCCACAAGGAAGTACACCTTCAGTCCTGCCTCGCACCAGAGCTCCCTGGATGATGTGAGAAATGGCAGCAAACTGGGTGGGGATGAGAGCAGGACAGCGCCTGGGAGGGCTGGGGGAGGTCAGTGCTGGGCGCTGTGTGTGCAGGAGGAGACGGGGAACTCCGCGGGATCAAGCCACTCCAACACTGGGAGCAGCAGCAACAGCCCAGAGCCACAGGAAGGTACCATGTCCCTGCTTCTCACGTGTCCACCGGCCCACAGGCTCCCCAGTCCCACTCCAGGTGACTGGTGGCTTTGCCTGCCTTCCAGGTGTGGATGTAACTGCAGCTGAAGTCCAAGAGGGTTGGAGGACCTTAGAGCTTCTCCCTCTAAACCCAGGTACTTGTCATTTCATTTAAAGATTTCTTTTTTTTTTTCTTTTAATTTATTCATTTTTATTGGAAAGTCAGATATACAGAAAGGAGGAGAGACAGAAAGATCTTCCGTCCAATGATTCACTCCCCAAGTGAGCGCAATGGCCTGTGTTGCGCCAATCGGAAGCCGGGAGCCAGGAGCCTCTTCTAGGTCTCCCACATGGGTGCAGGGTCCCAAGGCTTTGGGCCGTCCTCAACTACTTTTCCAGGCCACAAGCAGGGAGCTGGATGGGAAGTGGAACAGCCAGGACTTGAACTGGCACCTGTGTGGGATGCCAGTACAGCATGTAGCGTTTTTACCCACTGTGCTGCAGCACCTGTGCTCCTTGTCATCTTTCCTTCCTAAACACTTGATTTTTCTCTGCCTGTCAATTCCACAGCCCAGCCAGAGATCCAGGAATTTCCATCTAATCAACATCTCAATTTTATGTTATTTGTGCAAGAAGATGAGGATCCCACAAGGAAGTGCATCCCAAGCCCCACTTCGCACCAGGGCTCCCTGGATGATGTGAGAAATGGCAGCAAACTGGGTGGGGATGAGAGCAGGACAGTGCCTGGGAGGGCCGGGGGAGGTCAGTGCTGGGCGCTGTGTGTGCAGGAGGAGACGGGGAACTCCGCGGGATCAAGCCACTCCAACACTGGGAGCAGCAGCAACAGTCCAGAGCCACAGGAAGGTACCATGTCCCTGCTTCTCACGTGTCCACCGGCCCACAGGCTCCCCAGTCCCACTCCAGGTGACTGGTGGCTTTGCCTGCCTTCCAGGTGTGGATGTAACTGCAGCTGAAGTCCAAGAGGATTGGGGGCCCTTGGATTTTCTGCTCCCTCCAGACCTAGGTACTTGTCATTTTCCTTTTTTTTTTTTTAATTAATTTATTTTTATTGGAAAGTCAGATTTACAGAGAGGAGAGACAGAGATCTTCATCTCTTCTCTCCCCTGGTTCTGTCCCCAAATGGCCACAGCCTCCAGAGCTGGGTTGGGCCAAGAACCAGGAGCTTCTGGGTCTCCCACGAGAGTGCAGGTGCCATTCTCTGCTGCTTTCTCAGGCCATTAATAAAGCTGGTTTGAAAGTGGACCAGCCAGGACTTGAACTAGAGGTCATGTGGGATGCCAGCACTGCAGGTGGAGGCTTACTGTTATGCCAGTGCCAGACCCACTTGACATTTCTGACTTTCTCACTGTTCTGGTGTCTTCTTCCTCTCCCCAGGCAGGCATTGTCTGGTTGGTAGTTTGAGCAAACCAGACCTGCTTTCCCTTAGGCAGAGGCACTAGTGTCCAAGGCAATGAGAACACCCTGTGGCTGGCCAGACTCCCCAAAGCTTGCTCCTCACAGCCACGGTTGCCTGAGGAGGCATGCAGAGAGCTGCGTTTCCCTGAGCGAGACAAGAGTGCCAGCATCTCAGAGCCTTCTTGTGAACAGCGAGGCCTCATGGTGTGCATAGGCCTTCAACTCTGAGTGGCAGGAACCTCACCAGGAAACCCCCTCTTGGTGGATGAGGAGAGGCTGCCAGCCCCACTCCAGGGCCTGCCATGTGTGCCCTGTCCCTCGCTGGGTTTCCTGTTGGGGTTTGTTTCCTCATTAGCAAAATGAGAGCCTTGGACTTGCAAGTAGCTCCACTTCCTTTCCCTCAAGCCTCATGCCAAACAGCTGTGCCCACCTCCATGCCCCCAACTGCTCCCCACCCTTGGCACCAGGCATAGCCGGCCTCTTCTGTCCCCAGACACCTCGCTGCTGCTCACCTTCATCTACGGTGGACGTGTGGTAGGGGAAGCCCAGGTGCACAGCCTGGACTGCCGCCTCGTTGCCGAGCCCCTGGGCTCCGACAGAAACATAGAGCAGGTGGTGTTCCCAAAGCCGGACCCGCTGGAGCCTGCCCAACGCCTGCTGAGCAAGCTGGACCGAGGCCTCCTGGTGGCCAGCAACTCCCGGGGCCTCTTTGCTCAGCAGCTCTGCTCCCTCCACATCTCCTTGCACACACCCCACGCGCTACCTGGGCCAACCCCGCATCTATTGCCCAGCCATGAGTGTGTGGAGCTCTTCAGGACCACCTACTTCTGCAGAGGTGAGGCTGCTTCTTTCAGGCCCCTGAGCTCCCCACAACACTGTCCCTGACCCCCTCAGGAGGCCCTGGACTTACTTGCTTGGCACCACTGTTCCTGTTGGCACACATCCCTGAGGCCATCTGCTCAGCCCTGGCTGAGGCTGTGGAAAGGGTGATGCTGGCACAGGAACATCACAGCTTGGGGAGTGGCATCATGTTTGAATGTATGCTATTCATGTAGAGATGTGGGTCCTGGGCACCCAAGGGCCCCCTCCCATGTCCACACTGGCCCACAGAAATATCTGTGTGTCTGCCACACCCAGGACCCAGGTCTGCCCTATCTCTACTGCATTCCAGGCATCCCTGAAGCCTGTCTCTATCTCCCATCTACTCTGGGAATTCCAGGTGCAACCCCCACTCAATCGGAACCTGCTCTTTGGGGTGGGACCCCAGAATACAGCAGAGTCAGAGCATGGCTCTCCCCAGGGACACAGGTGCCATGAGCAGGTGACAACCTGGGGCACATCTGTGCCAGCAGCCAAGGGCTGCTGCCTGCGAGGGCTTGGAGCTCTGCCTGTGGAGAGACTGCTGACTGTAAACACCTTTGCAAGGCAGCAGCCCCCTGTCCTACTTTACACAGATGAGGGTCAGCTGTCCCCAACCTTTGTCCTGAGCCTGCAGCTCTGGCCGGAAGACCCCTGCGGCCCCACTCCTACTTCTGTTCCCTCCTGCCTGTGTTTCTGGCTCTTCTCTCTTTTTTCCAACAACCCTTGATCCTTTGCTTTCAGACTTGGCCAGGTACCTCCAGGGCCTGGGCCCCCCACCCAAGTTTCAGGTGACGCTGAATTTCTGGGAAGAGAGCACTGATTCCACCCATAGCCCACAGAGCGTTATCACAGTGCAGGTGAGCCCGGAGCATGGATGGTACCCCAGAAGGTGAAGTGGGCCGGGGTAGGAGCCCCCTGTGTGGCGCGGGGGCCACACTACATTCCTGAAGCCTCTCTGCCCATGTCTTCCGGTGCAGATGGAGCAGGCCTTCGCCCGGCACTTGCTGGAGACCCCAGAGGAACAGGCGGCCATTCTGTCCCTGCTGCATGGGAACCCGGACTCCACCCGTCTCCCTTGAAGCAGACCCATTGTCCCCACTGTTGAGTGGTGCCTCCTGTTATGGCCCTTCTCAGAGGTTGTCTGTGCTGGTTATGCCCTCAAATTCCTCAGCTTGGCCCATGGAGATCTCAAGGATAAGTTCTGCTTTATTTTATCTTTTCAAAAATGTTGAGATACACCGTCTCGTCTCTAAGGGACTGGGACATTCCAAAGTGGTGTGAACTCAGGGCACCTGTCCTCCTTCCCTCAATCCCCATACTCTAATGCCGAGCACTTTACATTTGTATATTTTCCCCCTATGTCTAAACTAAAGATTTAAAATAAAATCCTACAAACAAAAACAGAAAAAAACAAAAATAAATAAATACAATCTTATGGAAAGAAAATGCAATATCCGGTTTTCTGGGAGAAGAAGGTGGTGGGGCCCCAACTGGAGTGGAGGTGTGCATGGGTAGAGATGCAACTTCAGGAGCAGGGTACTGGAGTTCTGGTCCTGCTCACCTGTCTAGGCTCGCAGGATCCACCTGGGGTGCTGGGTTCTGGGTCCAGCTCTGAACAGAGAGGTGCCCTCATGGAAACCAGGATTAGGGGGAGGGCTGTGGCATCCATCAAGAGGGGCACTGAGCCTATACCAGGCACAGTGGCCACCAGCCTCACTAGGGAACATCTGATTCCTTGCTGAGGCCTGAAAGTGCCATTTGCTCTAGAGGTCATGGGGCCTCCGGGGGCAGAGGTGCTGCCTCTCTTCTGCTTGTTCTTGCTGCCACGTAAGGCCTGGCAGACCCTGAGGCTCTTCCCCCTAGCATAACGAATGGAACAGCACTCCCCAATCCAGCTGAGCCCCACAAGACATTGTGGCTCAGACTGACAATGTCACCAACACCCTGTTCACCAAGACAGGAGGGCTCCTGGTCAGTTGATGCTCTTTTCCCTTTTTTTTTTTTTTTTTTTTTTTTAAGATTTATTTTTTATTGCTAGGTCAGATATACAGAGAAGAGGAGAGAAAGAGAGGAAGATTTTCCATCCGATGGTTCACTCCTCAAGTGACTGCAATAGCTGGAGCTGCACTGATCCGAAGCCATGAGCCAGGAATTTCCTCCAGGTCTCCCATGCGAGTGCAGGATCCTGAGGCTTTGGGCTGTCCTCACCTGCTTTCCCAGGCCACAGGCAGGGAGCTGGATGGGAAGCGGGGCCCATGTGGGATCCCAATACATGCAAGGCGAGGACTTTAGCCGCTAGGCCATGGCACCTGGCCTCCCCTTTTTTTTTTTTTTTTTAACGTGAAAAGTCATTTACAGAGAGGAGGAGAGACAGATCTTCCATCTGCTGGTTCACTTCCCAAATGGACACAATGGCCAGAGCTGAGCCAATCCAAAGCCAGGAACCAGAAGTCTCTTATGGGACTCCCTCCCACATGGATATAGGGTTCCAAGACTTTGGGCCATCCTCTACTGCTCTCCAGGCCACAAGCAGGAAGCTGGATGGGAATTGGGATAGTTAAGACACAAACCAGCGGGCCCGGCGCGGTGGCGCAAGTGGTTAAAGGTCCTCGCCTTGCACGCCCGGGATCCCATATGGGCGCCGGTTCTAATCCCGGCAGCCCCGCTTCCCTTCCAGCTCCCTGCTTGTGGCCTGGGAAAGCAGTCGAGGACGGCCTAAAGCTTTGGGACCCTGCACCCGCGTGGGAGACCCGGAAGAGGCTCCTGGCTTCGGATCGGCATAGTATCGGCCCGTTGCGCTCACTTGGGGAGTGAATCATCGGACGGAAGATCTTCCTCTCTGTCTCTCCTCTCTGTATATCCGCCTTTCCAATAAAAAAATAATAAAAATAAATCTTTAAAAAAAAAAAAAAAAAAAAAAGACACAAACCAGCGCCCATATGGGATCCTAGCACTTGCATGGCAAGGATTTAGCCATTGAGCCATTGCATCAGGACCTGTTATTTACCCTTTTAATTTTTAAAAGTTTATTTTTAATTTTTATTGGAAATGCAGAGAGCTGCTTCACTCCCCAGATGGCTGCAGCAGCTGGCACTGGGATGGGTGAAGCCAGGAGCCAGACATTCCAAGGGGGTTTTTCCACAGGTGACAGGAACTTGAGCTGTTATCTGTTTCTTGAGTGCATTAGCAGCGAGCTGTGTTGTACGTAGAATAGCCAGGACTTGAACCAGCAATCTGTTATGGAATGTGGGCATTGCCAGTGGTGGCTTAACTTGCTGCATCACAATGCTTACCCTCAGGAATCTTCCATCTGCTACTTCAATTCCAAAATGCCCCTCACAGCCAAGGCTGGACCAAGGAGAAGCCAGGAGCTCTGAGCTCTATCCAGGCCTTCCATGTGAATGGTGGGGACCCAGATAACTGAGCTGCACTCTAGGGTGTACATAAACAAAAAAGCTGGATCTGAAGTGGAGTAGCCAGGACTAAACCAGGCACTCTTCTGCAAAGTGTTGGCACCTCAAACAACTTAACTCCTGTGCCAAGTGCCCACGCCTCTTTGTTTCCCTAACTTTTTGTCCCCAACTAAGCACTTGCAGTATTCAGTTTGTAAGTATCATGGTCAAACCAGATACAGCCAAGCACAGTGGGTTAGGGGTTGGGAAGATTTGGGGATTTGAAATAGTAGCTTTAGGAGTTCTGGTGAGGTAGGTTATCGGCTAAAGTCCTCACCTTGCACACACTGGGATCCCATATGGGCGCCGGTTCTAATCCCGGCTGTTCCACTTCCCATCCAGCTCCCTGCTAGTGGCTTGAGAAAGCAGTCAAGGACGGCCCTTGGGACCCTGCACCCGCGAGGGAGACCTGCAAGAAGCTCCTGACTCAGATTGGCTCAGCTCATTGTGGCCACTTGGGGAGTGAACCAGCAGATGGAAGATCTTCCTCTGTTTCTCCCTTCTCTGTATATCTGCCTTTCCAATAAATAAATACATATATATATTTTTTAAAAGTAGGATTCCCAACCAGGCTGTCTACGGAGCTGTAAGAGAAACAATCCAGGAAGAGGAGGAAGAGTAGGGGCTGCATCCAAAAAAGTTCAAATCTAGTTCAGCCTGGAGAACTTCCACCTTGGCGACCCCAGCAGGATCAGGTTAGGAGGTGAGCTGACTGAGGCCCAGCCTGCCTCGTCCTCGGGCTTGACGCATGCCCTGCCCCTCCCCGTGACTTCAAGGCCACCTGCACCATCTCTACCGCCCCAGTCCTAGTGGCGCACCTAGCAGGACTTGGTGGAAAGTGGGGGCGGGGCAGGGTCTTGGCGCCCCAAGCGGTTGCCCCCGATGTGACCCTACCTCCCCTCCTACACTTGGGGCACTTCATTAGACAGCTAGCTGTGCTATCTCATTGGCGCGTGCAGAAGCGCCACCCCAAATCCCTTGTTACTAGACGCGAGAACCAGAGCCCATTGGCTGTGACACATCACAATGGCCCTGCGGGACGCAGGGTTCTTTCGATTGGTTCGATGCCTGTCTGGGGTGGTCCTGTGGCCTTGAACCCAAACAGGCTACCTGGCGCCACTAGGGGGCTGGGAGGGACGAGTGCTCTGACCCGATACCTGCTTCCCATTGGCCGTCTGGCCGCCGCCACCCCGCGGCGGGATCCAGTTCTGCAAGGGAGTGCGACCCCCGACAGCCGCACAGGACGCCTGCTCCCGCGGCACCTGCCCTGCGTCGCCCCTACGACCTCTTCCCAGAGCTCCAGTAAGTTCAACAAACCTGCACACCGTGTAAGCTCCCTCGTGGCCCTCAGAGAAAGGGGCGTCTCTGTTGAACTGCCCCCTCCTCTAATCATTCTAACACCTAACTTAGCTTTTGGGGTCTTCCTGCAGCGCCACCTTCCCGTGGATGTTAGGAATCCCATACCTAAGGAATTCCCACTGAAACCCCATCGGTTCGTGCAGTGAAGGAGCGAAGGGGAAGTCTGAGGGGTCATGTTCTATTATCCCAACGTGCTTCAGCGCCACACCGGCTGCTTTGCCACTATCTGGTGAGGACGGGCCTGTCGGGCACATGGGAGAGGGCTCCAGGGCTCCTGGTCTGACCAACAGTCCCCGGTTCCTCCCCACCCTGCTCCAGGCTGGCAGCGACGCGCGGGAGCCGACTGGTGAAGCGTGAATACCTGAGGGTGAACGTGGTGAAGACATGGTAAGGCCCTGGCCACAGGTGGGCAAGGCGGTAGAAGGGCAGGTGCAGCGGGGGTCAGGCGGTAGGCAATCCTGGGCACAACAGTGGTCAAGGTACTCTGTACCCTGCAGCGAGGAAATCCTCAACTATGTACTGGTCCGAGTGCAGCCCCCGCACCCCAGCCTGCCACGGCCACGCTTCTCCCTGTACCTGTCAGCACAGCTCCAGATTGGTGTGATCCGGGTCTACTTCCAACAATGCCAGTACCTCGTGGGTAAGACCAGGACTCCTGACACATACCCACAGCCTGCCTCTGCAGGGCAGAGCCAGTGCCTGCCCCTCCAGGTTGGGCAGCTGCCACCTTGCCCTTCTTGCCCACAGAGGACATTCAACACATCTTGGAGCGCCTGCACCGCGCACAGCTGCAGATCCGCATCGACATGGCCGAGCCTGAGCTGTGAGCATCTCTGCCGGGTTGCAGTTGCCCCGCCTTCCTGGGAAGCCTGCTTGGCCTCCCTTGGCCTGGCTCATTAGCAACCCTCATTCTCTCCCAGGCCCAGCCTGCTGCTCCCTAACCACCTGAGCATGATGGAGACCCTGGAAGATGCCCCAGACCCTTTCTTTGGGATCATGTCTGTGGGCCCGAGTCTCCCCAGCCCTTACGATATCCCTCAGGTAAGGGCTCGTTGCCTTGGAACGTCTCAGACAAGGCAGAAGGGGCTCCTGTCCTTGTGTCGGCAATACCCTGGGGTGAAGGGAGGGAGCCCCGCGTGGTGCAGGGACACTGCTGTTGGGGAAGCTGCCAGGAAGAGTCCTGTGTGCTTGGCTACTCAAGGCCAACAGTTTTCTGACAGTTTTCTCCACTGGAGGCAGCTCCCAACTCCACTCATCCCACGACCCAGACCCTCACCATCCACACCTGGCCTTCTGCCCCTGTCCCTTGCTGCTGGGGTTCTCCAGGCTGGGGCTCAGGAGTGGCTCAGCACAGCCCCAGTCCCCAAACCAGTCTGGTCCCTACATACTTAAGATATCCCATTTCTTAGCCTGCCATTCTATGTGGCTCAAGCTCTTAAAAATCCTTACGGACACAAATGGAAGCCTTCATCTGCTGCCTCCAACAGGGCCTAATGCCCAGTACTTTCCCAGGGCCCTTGGATCCTTTGCGTGAACTGTCACTGGGATCACCTGTACACTTGTCTCCCTACCAGGCTGTATGCTCCTACACTGTGTACATGTGGCTGGAAGGGGGTGGCCAGGGCATTGAGTGCGCTCAATCACCAAGTATTGGCTGATGGCAAACAAGTGGGGGTCATGACACTCATCTGTGTGCCCTCTGTCTTTTGCTCTTAATCCTCTTCCCCCAACCCCAAGATTCGACACCTCTTAGAGGCTGCAAGTCCAGAGAGAGTCCCTGAGGTGGCCTCTCCTGAAGTCCCCAAGGAGCCCAGGAAGCCAGGTCAGCCGAGGGAACTTCCTCCTGGTGACAGGCATAGGAAGGCTAGGTGTCTGCTGTGGACTGTATGCAGTGTGTGAAGATTGGGACTTGTGTGTGTGTCCGTGTGTTTGCACATATATGATGGCTGGGAGCCATGGTGGGGAGGAGCTGGATCTCTGCCATGGCCTGCGAGTGTATGTGTGTGCACACACATGTGTGAAAGTTGGTGGGGTGGCTATGTTTATAGATGTGCCTATGAAGGCTGGGGCCTCTGTGTGTGGTGGGGGGGGGGGGCGGTCTGAGCACCACAGCCTCTGTGTGTGTTTATGTGAGACCTTGTCTGTACCTCACAAGAGTCCTGTGAGGTCAGAACCCTTAGCCCCATTTTACAGCTGAGGAAATCAAGGCTCACAGTGCTGAGCACCCAGGGTTGCTTTGCTAAGGAACTAGCCTGAGCCAGATCAGAACCAGGTGGCCCTGAGGCCAGAGTACCCAGATCTTGACTGGATCTTGCTTACAGTGCGGCCCCCTGAAGTCATCACCCTGCAGGAAGCAGAGCCCATCCGTATGCTGCACATCGAGGTGAGGTCCAGCCCCCTCGCATTACCCTCACCAGCTGATCGCTGCCTCACTGGGCCCTGCCCTGGGCCACTTTGACCAGGATGGCACCGAGCCACCCATCCTCCTTCCTCCATCAACAGGGTGAGCAGGACCTTCCGGAGCTCAGCCGCCGAGACTTGGACTTGCTCATTGCCGAGGAGGATGAGGCTGTCTTGTTGGAGGAGCGCCGGCTGGGCAAGCCCAGGGCCCACCTGGAGCCTGATGGTCAGAGCCCCTGCCCGGGTGTTCTCGGAGCCAGACAGCATTTTCCTTCTGCCCCTGAGAGCCTGTCTTCTCTTTACAGAGTTCAGGGAGGAGCCCCGGGCCCCAGAAGGGGAGATGGCCGTGCCCCCACTTTCTCCTCCAGCTCCTGTGCAGTAAGGACGGAACCCTGCATGGGGTGGGATGGGGGAGGCTCAGTACTGGGAAGATGGGACAGTGTCCCCACCTCTCCTACTCATTCCCCCTCAGGGTAGAAGCAATGGAAGTGTCAGTTCCAGAACCAGCCCTGGCACCCGAGGAAGAGGCAGAGAAGCTGGCAGGCTGGGAGCCAGAGGTCCTGCTCACAGGTGGGTGATGGGGGCTGGGGGACTGCTCTGGGCCAACACAAGGGCCCAGTGCCCCTGCCCCAGAGGCTGTGAAGGTCAGGGGGCCTATAGAACACAGCCAGGGTCTTGGTGTCATTGCAGAGGTGACCCCATCACCAGAGCTGCGTCTACCAGCACCACCCAGTCCCAAGGTGAGCACCGCTCCTCCTAAGCACCCTCCTCCCCCAGAGCGGCCTCTCCAGGCCCAGCGACACCGCCAGTTCCTATAGGGCCTGTGGGGTGTGGCCTGCGAGTCCCATCTGGTCCCTTGACATATAGGGCTGACTTACCCAAGCCTCAGGCACTTTTGAGGGGTCAGGTGTGGCGCTGTCAGCAGCAGTGGATAGCCTGGTGTCACCCTTTCTTTCCCACTCCACAGAAGAGGCGGCCAGGCCCCCCATCTCCCACGAGCCCCCCTGCTCGTCGTCGCCGCCGCCGCCAGCTACTGTTCTGGGATGAGGAGACTCAGATCTCCAGGGAAAAATTCAAGGAGCAGCTGCAAACTACAGCACACTGCCGGGAGTGTGTGAGTATAGCCAGCCCCGCAGGAAGGGTGCGGGTGGGGAACCTGAGGCAAAGCCCATGTGTTCCCTGGAAAGCATAGATGTGGCTCTGCAGCTCTGCAATGCCCCATGCTCCTGGGCTCCAAGGGGCAGGAAGGTGGGTGGGGCACCGAGGAGTGGCTTCCTCCTAACAGGGCTACCACCCCACAGCCCATGGTGCAGCCTCCAGAGAGGACCCTCAGGAGCCCCACAGAGCTGCTCCAGACCCCGACATACCGTAAGAACAGCAGGCTGGACTCTGGGGGGTCTTTGGGACCCAGACCCCTCTTTCTTGGTGTTCTTCTCACACGTCAAACCCTGTCCCCTCCCTGCAGCTGGCTGGCTTCCCCCAGAACTCCTGGCCTTCTGGACCCGCTGTGCCCAGACTCCTGCGAGAGCACTCAGGCGGAGGGCGGCCCGGGAAGTGGCCGAGGAGGAAAGGAGCAAGGCTGAGGCCATCAGTGACATTGAGGTACCCACCCCACGCCGCCAGCTGAGCACCCCAGCCCACAGTGCAGGCTCACTGGCCCATGAGGCCAGGAGCTGAGCTGCCCCTCTTCCCTCCCCACCCCAGGTGCTGCGGGAAGCCCAGGAGCCCAGTGGGCCACTCATGCTCTCTTCAGGTAAGCTCCAGGGGAGGTTGCTATGGTAGGCACTCTGCCCTCCTGCTGCTGCAGTGACAGCTCCATCAGAGCCAGGGGGAGGGAGGTTCTGACAGAACACCTGCTGCCCCTCTACCCCCCTGCCCAGAGCTCTCCCTGGAGCCTGCAGAGGAGGAGAAGTCGCGCACCAGTCTCATCCCCCCGGAGGAGCGCTGGTAAGCAGCCCAGCCCAGCCCAGTGTGGCCAGTGGCTAGGGAGCCCCACCTTCCCTGCTCCTTTCAATTCCCATGTCTCCCCAGGGCCTGGGCTGAGGTGGAGCAGCCAGAGCCTCCCATGTTGCCTGTGGTGCCAGAGCTCCCCGAGGTGCCCATGGAGATGCCTTCAGAGGTGTCCCTGGAGACAGAGCCACTTTCCCTGGAGGCTGTGCGCAGGTGTGGGGGAGAGGGAGAAGGCTGGGCTGCATGGGTGGGGGTGTAGCTTGGGCCTGGCTGACCCTGCTGTGTCCCTGCAGGGCAGTGGCACTGGAGTTGCAGGCCAACCGAGAGCCTGACTTTCGCAGCCTAGTGTCCCCACTCAGTTCCCGCAAGAGGGCCGCGCAGGTCTTCTACCTGCTCCTGGGTAAGTGCTGGCCATGGGTGTATGGGCAGGCAGGGCGGCCCATGTGGGGACCTGCTGACCACCCTCTTCTCCCTCTTGCCCAGTGCTTGCAGCGCAGAGGGTCCTGCGTGTGGAACAAGAGAAGCCATACGGGCGCCTCCTGATCCAGCCAGGGTCCCGCTTCTACCAAGGGTAGGGCCCATTTGCAGAACGCCGGGAAACCGGCTCTATTAAACTATATCCTGCCTCACTGGGCCTGTTGGTGTCATTTTTCAACACACCTCTAGCCTCCTTGCTCGCAGAGCCACATCCCAGCAGAAAACAAGCAACCTTTATTAAAGTCTGGTGTCATGCCTCCACTGCGATGAGGCCAGCTCCAGGGATGCCCTATGGGGCAGCAGACACTGCCGACTCCAGAGGCAGTCCCGAACTCTTTGGTAAGGTGAAGGCTGGAAGTGGGCTGAGCGGGCTGGGGCTGGTGCCTGGGCAGGCTCTGTTCTTGCTGGCCTGGCCTGGCTGTGCTCTAGGTGAAGCCCAGCAGGGCTTGCAGCTCCTGCGCCTTGTCGGCTGGCAGCGAGCCCAGGGCTGTGTGGAAGCTGTCCACGTGCTGCTTGGCCAGGAATGTTAGCAGCAGCAGCATGGCGGCCTTGGTGTCTGCATGGAGAGTGCAGAGGGACAGGTTCCGGGGCAAGCTAGGCTCCTTGGCTCCAGGTCACCCCCAGCCCAGCCCAGCCCAGCCCCAGCCCAGCCCAGCCCAGCCCCAGCCCAGCCCCAGCCCAGCCCCAGCCCAGCCCTGGGCGTGCTAGCTGCCCTCACCTGGTGGGATCTTGTTTTCTGCCAGAGTGAGGCTGCAGATACGCAGCAGCTCGGGAGCCACATCCACAACCTGCAAGCACAGAACATCCCCGTCGGGCAGCAGTGAACGAACACAAGGACTAGGGTTGGGGTAGGGGGAAGACTTGAATCTGGTCCTGCCTCACATGACACAACATGGAGACAACATGAGGCAAGGGGGTCGGGGGTGGGGGCCGTTGTGTGACAAAAGGGTCTCCAAGGGGAAGCTCCGGCTTGCAGGGGTGTTCCCAGCACAGAATGTAGAATTAGGGAGCCCAGGAATACATACAAGATGGGAGGTGCCTGCACTAGCAGCCAAGCTCCACAGTGTCTAGGGGCACTGACGCAGTCATCCATGTCAGCCCCCACAGAGCTTCGCCACTGCACACCCCATCCGAGGGCTGCTAGTGCGGTACTCACCTGGTCAGGGCTGCTCTGGTACAGGAAGCTGAAAAGGCGTCCCACGGTAACCCACTCCTCCAAGTCCTCTTTCAATGGCAGAGCGTGCAGCAGGGCGGCCAGCACCTGGACATGTGGATGCCTCAGGCTCAGGCCCTGCCCCTCTGTTACCAGCCTGGGCCCCCACCTGCTGCCCGCTTGCCTCACCTGAGGCTCTGGTTTCCTCGTGGGACTGGCCATCAGCAGGCGGGCAAGTGCCCCACAGATGTTGTCACGGACACGATCCTGTCGCTCCCGCGCCAGGAGGGGTAAAAGCAGCCCCAGGAGCTTGGGGAAGTATCTGGTCCGCAGTCAAGGAACTGGCACACAGGTGACTGACTGACCTCACCCCCGGGCCCAAAACCCCAGCACCTCTCTGCAGCCTAGGATACTCCTGAGCAGGGCGACCCCCATGCTCTGCCAGCACTCCCAGCCCAAAGATGGCGTTGCTCCGCACCTCTGGGTCTGCCTCCCGCACGCTGTTGACAAGCACAGGCAGCAGCCGGGACACAAACTGGGCTGATGCAGCGCCTAGGCCCTGGATGGCCTCCGCCAGGGTCCCGACTGCGAAGGACTTCTCGGCTACCGTGCAATCCTGTTTCTGAGGGGAAGAGGGCGGCGGTGGGGCGGGGAGTGCAGATCAGCCTGAGACTGGGACACAGAGGCACGGCTCAGCCTGGACAAAACACTCACCGTCTTGGACAGCAGCAAGGGCAAGAAGCCGGCAAAGAAGGGTGCAAAGGTGTCCCCGCCAGCGGCGGCTGCCAGGGCAGGGATGGCTTCTCCGGCGTGCTCCAGCAACATAGCATCGTACTCAGCCTGTTGATTCAGGCCAAGGGCTGGAACTCCAGGGCCAGCCTTCCCAGCCTGCCACTGGCCACAGGTGGTCATGACGCTGCCCCTGGAGCAGGACTGGCACAGGGCCAGCTCACCCTGTTCCTCCCCCTGAGCCCAGCCCACTGCTCTCCTTCCCTGGAGCCCCGATAGTTGGGCAGGCTCAGGGTTTAGCCCAGCAAGTTCCCCCCATCCACCCACCTCTGGGCAGACCACTCATCACCACTTCCCCTGGAGCTCTTACCTGATCCTCCTCCTCCTCTTCTTCCTCCTCTGAGTCCTGACAGGCTGTCTGGGAAGGGACAGTACGGCTCAGCCAGGAGCTCTCCTCTCACCCAGCTCTCTCCTCGCAGCACCCAGCCCCACTCACCTTCCTCTGCAGCACGGCCTTAAGCATGGTGCAGAGCTCGGCCAGGCGCCCGGGGGGCTGCAGCGAGAGGGACCCGCAGCTGCGCAGCACCCCGGTTAGGGCCTCCAGCACGGCCATCACCACCTGGCGTTCCCGCTCCTTGCTCACTGCCTGCATGTAGGATGGCATCACCCGGGCCAGGGCGGCCTGCAGAGCTGGGGACGTTATTGGCTGACGCCTCCCGGTCAGGCCCCGTCTCTTTCCCCGAGAGCCTCCCTCCCTCCACTCCCACCACTGGCCAGTTGTCCTGACTCACCAGCAGTGTTAGGTTCCGACGGGCACCTCTGACAGGCCTTGTGCAGCGCGCAGCAGAATTGGCCCAGTGCCTCATGGGCGGCTTTGCGGACATTTGGGTGAGGGCACTAGGGTAAGAGGTGGGGTATGTTGCATTGCCAACACGGCCCCCACAGGCTCTGCACCCTGCTGCCACCGCAGCCCAGCAGCCACTCACCTCCAGCAGCCGGAACACTTCCTCAAAGACACTCTCCATGTACGGGAGGAAGGCCACACTGCGGACAGATGCAAAGCCGTGGGACCAGGGCTGAGGCCTGGGGGCTGGCGCAGCTTGCCAGGCCAGGCCGGGCAGGGACTCACCTGGTATTCAGCGAGATCTCCCCCAGGGCAGCACAGGCATCCTCCTTCTCATCAAAGAAAGCATTCTCCACACTGTACCTGGGGCACATGGGGTATGGGGGAGACAGCACAGGTCAGGCCCCAGGGGCACATATGGTACCGGGCCCTCCCAGCAGCACGGCAGTACCCCTCCGCACCCCGAGATCTCCGAGTCATCATCCTCTTCTTCATCTTCATCCATGAGCTCCTCCTCTTCCTCCTCGTCACTCTCGTCATCGAACAGAAGGAAGGAGCTGCTTCCATCATACTGAGGCTGTTGGGAAGAGGCACAGCAAGGGTCTGGCTCGGCTGGCCCCAGGGTGGTGGTGGTTGTGGGGTACAAGTCCCATCTCAGGGCTGGCCCAGCCTGACCAGCCCACTCACCCGCTGCTCACCACAATGCCCTCAGTGGAACGCAGGGACAGCAACATGAGGGTGGTGATCTGTGGCAAGTAGGGGGCCAGGCCCTCACCCATCAGCCCTGATAAGGCTGCAAACAGACTGTACCTGTTAGAAGACAGAAGCTACATGGCCCCATGCTGCCACGGCCAGGCAGCATGGCGGAGGGACCCGTGGACCCAGTGGAGGGGTGGATGGCAGGGGAACTCACGTGCAACGCCTCAAGTCAGGGTCATCTATTTGGTCACACAAGCCCAGCCCGAGCTGGCAGCATTCCTCAGCCAAGGGCCTCATGGGCTCCCCCACTGCTCGCGCCAGCACCCCCAGCGTCTCTGTGAGAGCAAAGCCCTGTTTAGCACTGGGATATGGAGTGGACTAAAGGGACCAAAGGTAGCAGCTGGAAAGAATTCAGGAGTGCCAGCGCCAGCCTGGGGCCATCGCCAAGGCATAATGAGTAAAGCTGACACATTCAACACCAGCATCCCATATGGGTACTGGTTCAAGTCCCAAGTGCTCCACTTCCAACTCAGCACCCTGCTTATGGTCTGGGAAAGCCCATGTTGGCCCAAGGGCTTGGGCCCCAGCACCACGCAGGAGATCTGGAGGAAGCTCTTGGCTTCAGACTGTCCAGCCCTGGTGGCTATGGACATTTGGGGTGTGAACCAACACATGGAAAATCTCTCTCCCTCTCTAATTCTTTCAAGTAAGCAAAACAGATCTTAGGAAGACAAACAAACAAACAAACAAACAAACACAAAAACTAGACACAACAGTGCAGAATGCCACTTCAAAGAGACAGCAAACATCTGAACTGCACAGGGTGGGGTGGGACGCAGCCTCTGTGACCACGCCCTGATCCCAGGAGCCCCTTACTTACCGAGACTCTGGGTCTGCACAGGCTGGAGATCCTCGTGGCCTGTCACCAGGAACCCCCGCAGGTGTTCCATGATGGTGGGAAAATAGGGCAGTAGGGAGGCCTGGGCGGCTGTGGCTGCAGGAGGTGAGGACAGTTAGGGTGTGGAGGGCCAGAGCCACCTAGCTAAGGGACCTCCAGGGGTGCCTTCTCACCAATGGCTCCTAGAGCGCTCACGGCCAGCTCCTTGGCACGGGGGCTGCTGGGGCTCCCGAGGGGCTGCAGCATGCACTCCATCAGCTCCGGGAGGTAGGGCTGCACTTTGGGCCCTGTGGGAACAGTTGTGCCTTACTACCTGGCCCACGGCTCCTCCAGATGGTCTGCCCACCCCTACTCCTGCCAGAGGGCTGAGTAGGCATGCCACATAACTGTCCCTACCAAGGTTTTCCACAAAGTTCTCCAGGGCATAGCAGGCCTTGGCTAGGTGCTGTGTGTGCCCAGGACGCACCGACTTCAAGTAGGCCAGGAGCAACGGCATCACCTCCCCGGAGTAGCTGCTGATATGTGGCTGGGAGTGGGGGGACAGGAAGAAAAACAGGAGTCAGCTTCCCCGTTGTGTAGTGCATACCTGGGAGTCAAGGGCAGCAGGGGTGCCTGCTGGGGCCCGCTGACGGCAACTGCCCGTGTCTGGCCTTGCTGACCTGCAGGTTCTCTGAGAACTGGCCCAGGGCGAACAGCGCGGCATTGCGCACCACTTGTGAGGAGTCCTGCAGGCCTCTGCACACGATGGGCAGCAGGGTGGGCAGTAATCTGCACAGGGCAAGGATAAGAGGGCATGCACTGAGGGCCAGGTCCCAAGAGTCCCAGGTTTACCCTTCTGGACCCCATGAAGAGGAAAGGGAGAAAGCCAAGGCTCTGTTACTTAGTAATTACAGGATGCAATTACTATTACAGAAAGGTGGACCCCGCACCTGCGATGCCCAGTAGGGAGCCTGTTTAATTTCCCTCCAGAACCAGGGTGCTTCTGAGAGTTAACATGAAGTTCGAATAGCAAGTATGACTCAGGGCTGCCCTGGGACCCGGGGTGGAGGAATAGCTACCTCTGCCTGATGTGGTCACCAGCTCCATCGGATAGCACGGCCAGCACGAGGAGGCCAGCCTTGCGCTGGTACGGGTTCTCGCTCTGCAGGGCTTCTTCCAGCCTGGGCATCTAGGATGGTACACAGCATCCTCCTCAGAGCTTAGCAGGAAAGCCTTGCGCCTGCTCTTGCAATCAGCCTGTCGCGCCTCAGGGTGGGGACAGCCACCAGACAGGGCGACACTCACCAGCTGGGGACAAAGCTTCTCGGGGGGCAGGTGCAGTGCCAGCATGTCCACGACCTGGGCAGAGACAGGGAAGACGGCATGATTCATGCTCTGCTGATGCTGGCCACCCCCCCTCCCCCGCCCTGAGCTGGGGCTCATCCCACCTGCACAGCAAAGTGTTTGGGCGTCTCCCCTGTCAGCCCTATCTCCAACTCTTCCTCTTCTTCATCCTGGTCCTCAGGATCCAACTGGCCCAGGGGCGGCTCGGCAGCCATGATAGGGAAGAGGGTTTGCAGCAAGGGTGGCAGGAGGCGATTCTTCAGCAAGGCCTGCAGGGGGAAGGGGAGGTGATATCCCTGAGGCTCCATGCCCGGGCTCAGGACTTCAGTCTGGAGCTCAGCCTTCCCCGCCTTAATGGGTCCAAAGAGATTCTCAAAGTACTTCAGACACCTGGAGCTGGACAGATGGCCTGGAAGTGAGATGGCAGGCACATGGGGCTAGGGGCACATGCATTAGAGGGCACTTACCTTGCTCTTGACTTTGACCAAGAAAGTGAGACAGCAAAGAATACGCACACGTATTGCATCCCCCAAAGCCACGTTTCCAGCCACCTGTCCAGAGACAACCAGGAGTCAGAGACAGATGAGGAAACTCCGGGGGAACAGACTGGGGGTGGTGGGGCATGGTGGGGGTACCACACCTACACCAGGCTCACCTCCAGGCAGAAGGTGAGGACTTCAGCAAGGTGAGGGGTGATGACGGGCACCTCCGATTCCAGCAGCTCATCCAGGGCTTCCAGAGTTTCACAGGCTTTGGCCTGAGAGAAAAGTCAGGACGTGGGGGTGTTTAACACATCCCTCCCTCAGTGGGCCAGCCTGGCCCACCCCCCGCCTCCTGGCTATCCCCCTCCAGGCCTCACCTCATCTATGGGGATCAGGGTCTTCACAGCCGTGAGGAGCTTGGGCACCAACATCCGGGCCAGAGGCTGGAGGACACGAGACCGGCTGGGGCACAGAACGCATGCCCCAGCCGAACCCCAAACTCCTAACCAAAAGCCCCCTACTCCACCCCATGTCAACAGTGTGGAAGATCCTGCAGCTGGGGAGCCGATGGGGACCATGTCTCACCACATCGTCCGTGCTGAGGTAGGACGCCATGGTGGTCAGTGTGCGCAGGGAGTAGAAGAGCACGCCGGGGCAGCCCAGCTCGCTCAGGCTCTCGTTCAAAAGCCGAAGCAGCTCCCGGTGGTGAGGCTGGAAGGCCTCGGGTCGTGAGGTGTGCACCACACTCAGCAGCAGGAGCCCCATCTGTCCCGGATGAGGTAGAAGCAGTTGTTGACTACCTGCTTGGCCTGCCTACCTGCCCACCAGCCCAGGGCCATCACCACCCACCAACCCACCAACATACCTCTCTCTCTGGGAGGTGTGGGCTGTGAGTGCTATGCTGGAGCAGCTGCAGGAGCTGAGGCCAGCCTGCCAGGCCTTCCTTGCGGAAGATGGTGGCCACGAGCTGGGCTAGGCCCAGGCTGACGGAGTGCCTGCCAGTGGGAGACAGGCCCTCAGTGCTTCTTCCCATGTACACCCTCCAAGGTGCAGCCACGGTGCTGTGGGCTGTGATCCCTGGGTCTGAGCCTCAGGGGCCCCATCCCTGCCCAACCTCAAGAGCTTCAGTCTTCCACATAGTCCATTCACACAGCCTGGGGCCCCGGGCTTAAGTCCTCCCAGCCTCCTCCACCCCAGACCAATGTCAGCCGAGAGCCAGTCAGAAGCCGAACCGGAGAGAAGGCGGGACAGGTGCGCACTTACACGGTCTCCTTCTGCAGGGCTGCCAGGACCAGGGCCTTGAGGCTGGAACATAGAAGGTTGGCGGTTCGGTACCCGGCCTGCCATCCAGCAGGCTCCCGCCCCGCCATACCCCACCCCAGGCCCAGCCGCCCTCACCTCTCCCGCTGCTCGGTTGCCAGCCGTCGCCAGCGGGTCATCAGCCGCCGACGGATCAGCACAGCGGCGAACTGGCGGATCTAGGACGAGAAAGCAAGCGTGAGGGGGGCCAGCGAGTCAGGCGCAGGGCGAGATCTCGGGGTGGGGTGGAGGGCCTGACCTGAGGGTCGGCTGAGGAGGCCAGCAGGTCGCATAGCACCGGCAAGGTCGCGGGGTCCCGCAGAGCGATCTGGAGTTGCTCGGTGGCCTGGGGGCGGAAAGTGACGGGTCAGACTCGGGCCTTTCCCGTAACCGTCCGCCCGCCTGCCCGCCCGCCCGCCCTGGCGCGGCTTCCTCCGTCCCGTACCCGGCGGATGCGCTCGGTGTCAGGCAGCAGCAGCTCTCGCAGGACCTGCTCCAGGCCGGCGGGCTCCATGGCAGCAGCGGAGCTGCCGCTACCGGGCCGGGAAGGAAGAGGGGAGGGACTGCACGTGGAGACTTTACACCTACTTCCGGCGGAAAGGGCGTTGCTCCACCCTCCTTGGTTGCCAGGGAAACTGGCGTACTTCCTATTGCGAGCTCGGGCTCCGTGGCGTCCGTTAGGCTGCACGCCGGCCGTGGCTGGGGAAACAGCAACACTAGCAATGTAGGTTCCCCCTGCTGCTGGTTGGAGAACTTGTTCCGCTCAGCCTTGGCCAAGACTGGAGCTCGAGCTCCTAGATCCATACCCAGACCTCCAACTACAGGATCCTTTTTAGTAATAAATTTTATTGTCATCATTTTAGGAAGAAAAAAACAGAACCCAAACTAAAAGGCAACTCAGAAACGTTGGAATATATAAGTTCCTTATGTAATTGTGATTGCTCATTTCCAGGTCCTCTTGGGGAGGGGGAGCCCCAAGAACAGAGAGGGAGATGACCCTCCCCTCACACGACTCAGTCCCTCAGTCCAGGGTAGGAAGAAAGGCAGAGGACAGCCACCAGTAGGGTGGGCGCCGCAGACCTCTCAGTCCATCTTGAGGTTCACATAGATGTAACGGATGAACTTGAGGGAAGAAAAAAACGAGATGGTGCCTAGCATGAGGAAGAAGACATAGCCGGTGAGCAGGGAGTAACCGAAGAACTCGACAGTCTGCACGGCCCCAGACATGTTGGAGCGGCGGGCGTAGTAGAAGACGGAGTAGAGGAAGATGAAGAGGCCGGTGGAGCCGACGCTGAGCACGGATCGCCACCACCAGCGGTAGTCCTCCCCCGACAGCTGGAAGTAGGTGAGGGCAATGGAGATGCAGGCACCCACACTCAGCAGGATGGCGAAGACGAAGAAGAGGATGCCATAGAGCGTGTACTGCTCACGGCCCCACACCGTGGCGAAGATGTAGTACAACTCCACCGAGATGGCACTGCGAAGAGAGGGCACACAGCAGCATGAGGGAGCTGCCCACCGGCAGGTGGCCCTCCCACCTTGTTTGGTCACTGTGAACAAGTCAGCTCTGAGTCGACCCTCGATTTCCTGGTTTCATGGGGATTATTTTGGGCCTATTAGCTGCTTTTATTTAGAGAACATCTTCCTTACAGACTAAGCGACTGGATTTTTGGTGTTTTATTTTTCTACTATATTATCTGTCTGGAGTGAAGAAGTGCTCAACAAACTAAGTGAATACCCAAATGGGCCAACATCCCTCTGTGACGCTAGGTGACAGCAACAGTGTCTACACAGGTTTGCACATGTGACATTCTCACATCTGCACGGCCCCAGGCTCACTCCTGCTTGGGGGTGGAGAACCCAAACAATATGGTCGCCTTCCGGAGGACAGCTGGATCAGGATTTATCCCTCAGGTTGGGACAGCATTGCGAGGGAGGGGGACAGGGAAAGCTGTAGCCAGGCATCTCAAAGAGATGGGGGCAGGGTAACGGGGCTACCTGAATGGCAGGAAGCCTCCAACAGTCATGTGGACCAGAGTCGACTTGTACCAGGGCTGGGGTGGGATCTCGCGGGCGATGTTCTTGGTGCGACAGGGTGCATCGAAGGGGCTGGCGTTGTTCTTGCCGAAGATGCCGCCGATGACGGTGAGGGGGAAGCCCACGAGCAGCCACACGGTCAGCAGCAGCAGGATGGTGGTGGCCGGCAGGGCCTGTGTTGAGCCATTGGCCCAGTGCACCGAGTTCACCACACTCCATGTCAGGAAGAAAGGCACTGCAGGGAGGGGGCCGCAGAGGCAGGGTCAGCCACAGGGGCTCCATCCCCGGGGACACCCACTCGCACTGCACCTGGAGGGGAGAGAGGAGAAGCAGCCTGCCACTCCATCAGTGCCCGGTGCCCCTGGACATCCAGGCGATGCAGACTGTGCTCACTGGTCCCTCCCATGCGCCACCACTCCTTGGGTCTGAGCCAGCCCCAAAGCACTGTCACCAAGGATCACCATGGCTGCCACAGGATGACCAGAGCCTGAGACACAAGCCCCTAGCTGGGGCACTGGTCATTCCCTGAATGAAATACTTCCTTTGGAGTTCACTCCTACTTCCAGAAAGCCTTGGTTCCAATGTAAAAAATGATGGGCCAGAGATCAGACATGGAAATGGTAAGGTTCCTGATGCTGACCATTACTAGCTTTTTTGTAAGGGTAGTGATGTGGTTCGAAACACTAGTGGCCTTAAACTAACTAAATAAATAAATGATTTTTAAAATGTACCTTATGATTGAGAACCCGGCTTTCAGAGTCAGACTACACAAATTTCAAATGGGGTCACTGCTTCTTAGTGAGTAACTCAGGTAAATTACTTAACCAGTCTGAGAGTCTATGTCCTTCTGCATGCAGTGGGGACCATATGATCTACTTCATACCATTGTGAGAATCAGACAAAGGCCAGGTCCAGCACTCACTTGGCAGATTAGATTTAAGGAGAGGAGACAGAAAGAAAGATCTTCCATCTGCTGGTTCATTCCCTAAGTGGCTGCAGTGGCTGGAGGTGAGCCAATTCAAAGCCTGGAGCCAGGAGCCTTCTTCTCTAGGCCTCCCAAACAAAGGGCAGGGTACCAAAGCTTTGGGCTGCCCTCGACTCCTTTCCCAAGCCACAAACTGGCACTCATATGGGATCTCGATGATTGCAAGGTGAGGATTTAACCAACTGTGCCATAATACCAGGTCCTGCCTAGGACATTTTAACTATCCATGAGAAATGCGTTCTTGAGGCAGGCATTGTAGGCACAGTGTGTTCAGCTGTAGCCTGTGATGCTGTCATCCAATATAGGTACCAGTTCAAGCCCTGACAGCTTCACTTCCAATCCATCTCCTTGCTAATGAGTTGGGAAAACAGCACAAGATGACCCACATGCTTGGGACCTTACTCCCACATGGGAGATCCATAGGAAGTTTCTGGTGCCTGGTTTCAGCCTGGTCCAGCCATCTGAGAGGCAGAGGAAAGATCTCTTTCTCTCCTTTTAACTCTATCAGATAAATAGCTAAACCTTTTTTTTTTTTTTTTACAAAACTTCAAATAAGTTTAAGAAATGCATTCTTGTCTTCCTTCCTAATTGTTTCTTTCACCTCTAGGCTTCCCTTAGAGCCCTCCTCTGTCCTCCTGCAGGTTCCACGATGTACTCTTGGCCCCCTGAGCCCAGGACAGGCCCAGTAGGGCAGGGGGCAGTGCTCACCAGAGAAGAGACTGGTGGTGAGAATGATGTTCCACACCCAACGCTCGCCTCCGATCTGCCGGTAGAAGTGGCTGGACACGTAGCCAGAGATGCAGCAGGTTAGGGCATACAGCAGGATGGCTGCCGAGTTAATGGCTCCATGACGGTGCACGTTGAACATGCCCAGCAATGCCATGACAATGATGCCTGAAGGTGGGAGGGCAAAGCCTGTGTTAGCACACATTTGGCCTCCTTCCAGAAGTTTCAGAGATCAGCTTCCTTTTCCCCAGACCCAGCACCTTCCAGCAAAACAGTATCCCCCAGTTCTATTGTCCAGAAGATGCACCTTGGAGCAGCCCCACGCTCACTGGTGCTACCACACCCCTTAGACATGCCTCCCCCACCTTGGCTAGAAAAAAAGACCCCACTTGTACCCTAGCTCTATCCCTTGAGAGAGATTCCTGATTCTTATCACCTCACCAGTGCCAAGGGCCAGGAACTGGGCACCCACACCAAGCACGGCACAGAGCAGCCCACGGTAGGGAGGGAAACGGAAGACATCCGTGTGGATAATTTTCCAGCCATTGTCACTCTGGTCAAAGTCATCGCCAGCACCGCCAGGAGTGGTCTCCTCATCGAGGTTGTACCGCGCCAGGTCATTACGTAGCACACGCATGAGAATGACAGCCACGAAACCCACCAGTAAAAACACCAGCACCATGGAGTTGATGATGGACAACCAGTGGATTTCCAGCGTCCGGGGAAAGAAACCACCATCATCACCACGCCGCCGATCACTCCGCTGCTCCACTGAAGTCTCAGACCAGTGCACACTGTAAGTGTGGGTGAGGCCCAGGAGCTCGTCGGACCGCAACCCATCCAGGCTGTGGGGCTTGACATCCCGCACTGAGACGTTGGCAAATATGATGCGATCTCCATGGAATTCTAAATGGAAGTCCAAATGAGTCCACAGTCCTATCTTGTGGCTGTGTGGCAGGAAGCCACTCTCCTCCATGTAGCCCACAAAGCCGCGGATTGGCAGATCATCGACCACAAACTCAAAGTAGTAGAGTTCCTCGATAGCCTGGCGCAGCTGCTCTACCTAGAAAGAAGAGGTTGAGAACTGATCACCCACAGCCTTGCCCTGCCCACACAGGGTTCCTAACACCTGTGCTGGAGGGTTCTGGGCTCTGAGAAGGTCCAGAGACACAATCATATGCTGTATCCCTGATTTTTGTGCCTTCAGCAACCCCACCTGAACAATCAAGACATCTCTGGACATTACCCAATGTCCCTTGGGGTCAGAACTATCTCCTGTGGGGAAATCACTAGGTCAGCTTAAAGGGGTTGGGAGTTTTCAAAAAAAAAAAAAAAAAAAGATTTGACAGGGTTAAGGCCTAAAAGTAGAGTGTAAGGTCCAGGGGTCAGCATTGTGCAGCAAGTAAACCCACCACATATGGTGCCGGCATCCCACACAGACACTTGGTCGAGTCCTGGTGATTCCACTTCTCATCTAGGTTCCTACTACTAACGGCCTGGAAGAGCAGTGGAGGATAGCCCAAGTACTTGGGCCCCTGTCACCCACATGGGAGACTTGAGGCTCCTAACTCCAAGCTTTGGCCTGCTCCAGCCATGGCCATCTGGAGTGTGAACAGTTGGAAGACTTCTCTTCCTTTGTAACTCCTTCAAATAAAACTTAAAAAAAAAAAAAGCCTAGAATCATTTCTTGGCCTTTTAACCAAGATCAAGTGTAAAGAAGGTCTAAAATAGACTAGGAAGAAGTGCCAAGATTTGCTCAAGAAAAAGTATGACAGGAAAAGTGAACTCAAAGACTCCAATAGCCAGTTAAGAATAAGCCAGAAGATGGGTGTGGAAGGAAACAGAGCTACTTAAGAATGACAGGTGGGACTCTTACTACCTGAAAGCCCGCTAAGCACTAACCATGTCATGTTGAAAATGTCACTTTTGAGCAAGTATGGTTTAGTCAAGCAAGTATGGTTTAGTTAGAATACTGTCACCTGCTGTGCCTGTCACATGGGGTTGTGCTCGAATCTGGGTAATTTGCAGGACAGTCCCTTCAGTTACCAGGGCAAGGTGCTGCAGGGGCCAGGGAGAGAGGCCTGGCGCTGCCAGGCTGCAGAGGCTGACCTGTGCGGAGCTGAGCTGCATGTGGCACAGCACTCTCTTCTCCACGTTCTCCCGAAAGCGGATCTCGTACAGAGACTCGGCCATGCGGTCCCCATCCAGCACTTCGCCCAGGCTGAGGCTTTTGTGACGGATCTTCTCGGGGCAGCAGACCGGCAGCTGGTAGTAGTGGTAAGTTTCCTGAGGGTTATGGTAAGGACCCACTTTGTTGACATACAGAATGACAGGGTCACCGGCTTTGTAATGTGTCACACCATGCACCCCCGGCCCCCGGTCTGTGCCCAGCAGCAGTATCAGGACTGGCAACCACGGGCAGTTCCAACGTCGAGGGCACCCTAGGACTGTCATCCTGGGGTCCGCAGAACCTGTTTTGAGGAATTCCAGAAACCAGGGATCAACTTCTGCCGCCCCCACGGCAGGTCACTGAAGTGAACTCTCACTGGTTCCGCCTCCTCCCATTAGCCTCCCGACCTCCACCCGCTACACCCCCGTCTTTCCCAAAGCCCTAGGAAGACTGGGCTCCACCAGATCGTTCGCGTAGGGGTTCAGCCCGTCCTCCCCAGGCCTCTGCGGCGCGCTATTCCGTTTCCATGGCAACGCCGGGAGCCCTCGCACCTTGGGTCCCTTCCCGCCACAGCCCTGGATTCTCAGCGCGCGGGAAGGGCCGGCCAAGGCGGCGTCGGTGGCCCCTGCAGCCCGGCAGCTGCCCTGGGCTCCAGTCGGGGTCTCCCCCCAGGACGGCGCGGCGGCAGCGGGTTGAAGAGGACCTGAAGGCAATCTCCATCCGGCTGTCCGCTGCTGTGCCTGACCCAAGCCGCTGCGGTCACAGGACGCTGGTTGCGGTGCTTGGCTCAGCCAAGTGTTTGCCGAGAAGTTGTCACCAGCCGCAGGCTGAGCCGGACTCCGGGGGCCGGTGCGAAGCGAGGCTCACCCATTGCCAACAGTAGGGTCCTCCCGGCTCTCGGGAGAACAGCCCACGACACGTCAGTCTTACCACTTCCGCCCTCGCCGACGGGGACCTCAGCCCTCTTCTTCAGGAGTGTCGGGGAGTCGCACGGGCTGCTGCCGTCGGTTCGCTGGCTCACGGGCAGGTTCCGTGACCGAGCCCAGGCTGCAGGGACGCTGTCCCCTGTTTGTCCCAGGGAGGATTTGGGGCTCCCCGGAGCGCCCGCCTCTGGCTCGCGCCAGGACAGGGAAAGGGTGCACGGGCTGTGACCGTGTCCCCAGCCAGTGGATGCCCCGCAGTGCTCTCCTGACCAATGGGGTTTGCTACCATTTGCAGCCAATGGGGCTGAGCCCCCTCAGGGCTCTAGGGCGTGCTGGGGGTGGGGGTGGGGGAGCCGTTTTGTGGGGCCCTTGCCCAGGTGGGGTTAAGGCTTTCCCTGTAAGGGTCTGTAGCACACTACTTACACTCCTCCCTCACCCGCCCTGAATGACCTAAGGTCGCAAGAATAAATACATGAAACCGTGTTCCTGAAGAAGCATAGAAGGCTTCCCCGGCCTTCCAGCGACCATATGGTGCCAGGCTACAAGCCAACCAAGCTTAAGCCGGCAGGTGCCGAGACAGGCATAGCCACAGGGGAGCTGTGCCTCACACTCTGGACATGAGCAGCTTAATAAGGTTATTGCTATTTACAGGTTAAGCCCTTGTTCGGTGCTTTGATCTGTCTATGTTATGTTGGTGTCACAGATGGTTTTGAAAAAGTTCATTGTCATCTGTAGCGTTCCCTGGGAAGGCAGGCCTCTGAGCGCACTGCCCTCAGCCCCCTGGGAGCTTTGTCTCGGGAAAGCTGAGTTTTCCTCCCCCAAAGGAAGTACATTGTAAAGACACAAGTGGCTTCAGCCCTTTTCAGGGCCTTTCATTTGCCTGCTTCTATGATTACTGTCCTTCCTGACCCAGCATTTCTCTCTGCAGATTTGAATGAGGTTCCAGAAAGCAGGGGTTGGGGGTTGTAATTTAAAAAGTTGCTTTAGATCCTGGTGCAGTAGTAAGGCAAGTAATTCTCAGCCTCGTGGTGCCTGCATACCATCTAGGAGGATATCAGTTTATGTCCTGGCTGCTCCACTTCCCATCCAGCTCCCTGCTTCAGGCCTGGCAAAGCAGTGGAAGATGGCCTGAATTCTTGGGACCCTGTAACCCTGTGAGAGACCCGGAAGAAGCTCCTGGCTCCTGGCTTCAGACCAGCTCAGCTCTAGCAATTGCAGCCACTTGGGGATTGAACCAGTGGGTGGAAGACCTTCTCTATCTCCTCTCTGTAAAAATCTGCCTTTGGGGCCCTGTGGCATGGCCTAGCGGCTAAAATCCTTGCCTTGAACCGGTGCCATATGGGTGCCGGTTCTAATCTCGGCAGCTCCACTTCCCATCCAGCTCCCTGCTTGTGGCCTGGGAAAGCAGTCTTAGACAGCCCAAAACTTTGGGATCCTGCACCCATGTGGGAGACCCAGAAGAAGTTCCTGGATCCTGGCTTCGGATTGGTATAGCATTGGCCGTTGCGCTCACTTGGGGAATGAATCATCAGACGGAAGATCTTCCTCTCTGTGTATCTGACTTTTCAATAAATAAATCTTAAAAAAAAAAATCTGCCTTTGACCTCGAGCGGTGGCCTAGCGGCTAAGGTCCTCACCTTGCATGCACTGGGATTCCAAATATAGGCACCGGTTCTAATCCTGGTGGTCCCGCTTCCCATCCAGCTCCCTGCCTGTAGCCTGGGAAAGCAGTCTAGGATGGCCCAAAGCCTTGGGACCCTGCACCCGCATGGGAGACCTAGAAGAAGCTCCTGGCTTCTGACTTGTGTTGGCGCAGCTCCAGCCATTGAGGTCACTTGAGGAGTGAATCAATGGACAGAAAATCTTTCTGTCTCTCCTCCTCTCTGTATATCTGACTTTCCAATAAAAATAAACTTAAAAAACTGTCTTTAAAATGAAATAAATTTTTTAAAAAGTTACTTTGTAATCCTCTTGAATGGCCAAGCACCTAGTTGGTAAGGCCAGAAGCCTGGCTCTTTCTGTCAACATCTGCCCTCAAAGATCAATGTCTCCAAGCCCCCTCCACATAATTCCTCAACATCTTAGAAATGCTTGTCCTCTGTCAGTCCTTTGACTCAGACCACCCGCTCTCTCTTCCAAATTGCCATAAAAAACATCTTTCTGACCCTGGATCACTGTCCACACTATTACTGGGAGAGTTTTTCCTCTTTTAGCCAAGCTCTCAGGTGAGGGTTTCCTGAGCACCTGTTTCATTTTAGAGATTTTAAAATTTATTTTATTTATTTATTTATTTTTAAGATTTATTTTTATTATTTTTTATTGGAAAGGCAGATATACAGAGAGGAGAGACAGAGAGGAAGATCTTCCATCCGATGATTCACTCCCCAAGTGAGCGCAACGGCCCGATGCTATGCTGGTCCGAAGCCAGGAGCCTCTTCTGGGTCTCCCTCGTGGGTGCAGGTTCCCAAAGCTTTGGGCCGTCCTCGACTGCTTTCCCAGGCCACAGGCAGGGAGCTGGAAGGGAAGTGGGGCTGCCGGGATTAGAACCGGCGCCCATATGGGATCCCGGGCGTGCTAGGCGAGGACTTAACCACTTGCGCCACCGCGCCGGGCCCTTAAAATTTATTTTTATTGGAAAGGCAGATTTATGAAAAGATAGATCTTCTGTCTGCTGGTTCATGCCCCAAATGCTCACAATGGCTGGAGTGGAGCTGATTTGAAGTCTGGAGCCAGGAGCTTCTTCTGCGTCCCCAATATGCATGCAGGGTCCCAAGGCTTTGGGCCATCCTCCACTGCTTTCCTAGGCCACAGGCAGGGAGTTGGATGAAGTGGAGCAGCTGTGTCACAATCGGTGCTCATATGGGTTGCTGATGCTACTCAAGATTGATTTTTATCAGAAAGGCAGATTTAGAGAGGAGAGACAGAAAACTCTTCTGTCCTTTAGTTTACTCCCCAAGCAGCAAGCTGGAATGGAGCGAGGAGAGGAATTTAGCTGCTAGGCCATTGCGCTGGATTGCCCTAAAGTATTTTAAGGTCTCTTCCCATACACCCAGTGCTGGAATAGGCCAAAGCCAGAGCCTGGAACTCAATGTGGGTTTCCCTTATAGGTAGCAAAGACCCAGCTACTCAAGTCATCATCCCAAGGTCCCAGTGGCAGCAGCCGGGAATTGGATACGAGGCTGAGACTTGAATCCAGGCACTCAGCTGTCAGTGGGAGAATCCCAAGTGGCATCCTAACTGCTATGGAGAACACTTGTACCTAAATATTAAATATATACATATATTTTTTCCCCTGGGCCTGGCGTGATAGCATAGCGGTTAAAGTCCTCACCTTGAACGCCCCGAGATCCCATATGGGCACTGGTTCTAATCCCGGCAGCACTGCTTCCCATCCAACTCCCTGCTTGTGGCCTAGGAAAGCAGTCTAGGACGGCCCAAAGCCTTGGAACCCTGCACCCACTTGGGAGACCTGGAAGAAGCTCTGGGCTCCTGGCTTTGGATTGGCTCAGCTCCAGCCATTGTGGTCACTTAGGGAGTGAGCCATCGGATGGAAGCTCTTTGTGTCTCTCCTCCTCTCTGTATATCTTCTCTCCTTCTTCTCCTTTCCCCTTCTTCCATGAAAGGTAAAGGTCTCCCAGCTGCTGATTCAGCTGTCCAAACCCCTGCAACAGCTGGGACTGGACCAAGCTGAAGAGTTCTGAACTCCACCCTAGTCTCCCACATGGACTGGGGTAGCTAAACCGCTTAAGCTGACACCTGCTTCCTTTCAGCTAAAGCTTTGATTTTGATACACACCAAGGTTTGGCCATGAATATATATGATAAAATCAAAATAACTTAGCAAGCTGGGCCTCAGAACTGGATCTGATCTACCTCTCCAGGTATAGTTCCCTTCTGGGAACCCTGTTTGGTATTCAAATTGAAATGCTGAATTTCGCGTTGTCTCAGACCTGCAACTTCATTCTTCCTGCCTAGGTACCTGAAGAATGTTTTCTTGATGAGTGGAAATGTCACCCTCCCTATAGTCTTCATTTGCATACTCCACGGTTGGTTGGTATACTGATTGATTTGAAAGGCCGAACTGAGAGGAGAGAGATCTTCTGTTTGCTGGCTCACTTCTCAAAGGATGCACAAAGCCTGGAATTCCATCCGGGTCTCTCTTGTGGACAGCAGGGTTCAGGTATTTGTTAACAAGGAACTGGCTAGGAAGAGGTTCACGCCAGCACTCTGACCATGGGAGGCAGATGTGGCAAATGGCAGCTTAATCCATCGTGCCATAGTGCCAGCCCCTTCTAGTTTCCCTTTGCAAATAGCACATATTCTCACTGTACTGTTATTTGGCCTAAAAGTCTGTCTCCCTTGCTACTTGCCAGCTCCTCATGGGGAGACTATAATTTTTATCTTTAGAAGCTTACAATGTTTTGTAGGCAGCTTGACACCTGGTCCTTGAATAAACTGCTTTACTTTTAAACATGATGAAAGACCAGAGCTACCACCATGTAGCCTTGCCAGGGGCTAGCTTGTGATGACAGAAAAAGACCAGGCCTGGGTAGGCCTTCTAATGCTGCGGATGGAGAGCTGGTTCCAGCAGAACCTTGGAACTATCCTGCCAAGTGGGTCAGTTAATGAGAAGTTACCTGTAGCCTGTGGTATAGATGGGAAGAATCCTGATCATTCCTTTGTTCTTTGCCCTCCAAAATCTTAAATCCAAACAATTGTATGATCACAAGCTCCCATCCTTCCCTCTCTGCCATCTCGCCAAACTTGTTCCATTCCACTGAGATCTGAGAGGCCTCCAAACATTCCCTCTGCTGCTTTGACCTGTTTCTACCTTGTCTTCCCTACTTGGGCCACTAAGAATCCATATCCCATCATTTCAGACCTATTTTTGCCAATGTTTTTGATGCTTTTTGTACTGTTTCCTTGAGTTACCAAGCAAAATCCCAATCTGGGGTTAAATCACCTATCAATTTCAATTACCTGTAACCAAGACACTAAAAGAATCTCAAGGGGCCAGTGCTGTGGCGTAGCACATTACCATGACTTACAGCACCAGTGCCCCATATCGTTCAAGTTCTGGCTGCTGTGTTTCCCATCCAGCTGCCAGCTAATGTGCCTGGGGAAGCAGTGGAGCATGACCCAAGTTCCTGGACCCTGTACCCACATGGGAGACCAGGAAGAAGCTCCATGCTTCAGCTGGGTCTAGCCCCAGCCTTTGTGGCCAATTTGGGGAGTGAACCAGTGTATGGAAGTGTTCTCGCCCCATCCCTCTGTAATTTCCTCTTTCAAATAAAGTAAATTTTAAAAATATTTCAATTTTTTTTATTGGAAAGGAAGATATATACAGAGAAAAGGAGATACAGAGGGAAAGATCTTTCGTCTGCTGGTTCATGCCCAAGTGGCCACAATTGAGCTAATCCAAAGCCAGGAGACAGGAACCTCTTCCACGTCTCCCATTGGAGTGCAGGGTTCCAAGGCTTTGGGCCATCCTCTACTGCTTTCCCAGGCCATAGCAGGGTGCTGGATGTAAAGTGGAGCAGCTGGGACACGAACTAGTGCCCATATGGAATCCTGGCATGTACAAGGCAAAGATTTAGCCACTAGGATATCAAACAAGCCCATGAAGTAAATTTTTTAAAATAATGAAAGACTTTCAAAATAGCCTGTCAGTTGTGATCTCCAATCCCATTTAAGCCCTCAGTGATCCTGTCCATTTTCCAAACCATCTCCTTTCCATTAACCAATCTGACTTCTCTCTTCCAGTCCGTTCACCTCCCTGTGCAACCTAGTGGGAAACACGAGTGCAACAAGCAACTAACAGCTATTACATCAAGCTCTGTCTCAAAGTGTGGGGGTGGGGGAGCACCTACAAAGGAGGAGTATCCAACCTAGGCATGGACGGTGAGCACAGGTTTCTCTAACGGCTGCCACATTCTAAGGAAATGTGCAAGTCTGCCAGGGGAAGGGAGGATGAAGATGGGAAAGCAGTTGTGTGGCTGGAGAATGACATATGCGTTCAAAGAGAAGCTTGGAAAGGTGGGCAGGGTCAGCTCTCAAAGAATCTGGCTGGAATCACCTGAAAGAATCTGACTGGGTCCGAAGGACTCGAAGGCATGGACTTGTGTTTGATGGAGAAAAGCATATCTATTCCTTTGATTTCAAGGTGTACAGGCTAGAGGGTGGGCAATGAGTGAAATGACAGAAGTTTTAGCTGAGGCAGTAGCCATGAGCTTGGAGAGCCAGTGTGTTATGGAAGAGACAATCAGGAGGTGGAAGAGACTTGATAGACCAGGGTGAGCAGGGACCAAGGCAAAGGGAGGGGTCTGGGATGACAACTAGCGTAGAATGTGCAGAAAGTCTAAGAGGAGGAGTTCAACAGTGGATCTGGTTGAGTCTAAGGTGCCTGGGAGACATGTCTGTGATGTCCAGTAAGCAGCAGATGCCATGTCTGGAGCTCCATTGACAGCTGGCATGGGGAGGAGCTGAAACCCTGCAAGGAGATAAGCTCTTCAGGAAAAAAATGTGAAAGTCTAAGAATACAAGATCTGTGCTAGCACCCACGGGATAAGATTAAGGGATAAATGGAGGAAGATGAGGTTCCAAAGGAAGCTGAGGAATGACTAGAGGCATAGGAAGATACTAAACTGGGTACCAGAGCCATGGAGAACACACGGCAAGGTTGGATTCCTAGAACATGCTTCAACACCTTGACATTCTCTCAAATGCCCTTGTATGTTTCTCATGCTTGTTATAAGCTCTAGAGGCACAGGCATCTATTGACCTGGCTGGTCATTCCATCCTGGCACTGCAAACCCTCTGGCAGAGAGCAGGTGCTCCATAAACCTGAATGCAGGTGCTGCACCTGTGAGAAGTCTCATCGGACTTCATTAAGTGGCCTCTGGGAATGAATCTGGTCCCAACCACTTTGCATTTTAAAGCTTTGTGGCCAGTGATGGATATAGGTGGATTGTGATGTGTACGGAACATGAGACCTTGGGGAGTTCCGTAACCAAGGAGGAAGAAGTACCAACAGCCAGTGGAGACAGAAAGAACAGCTCCTCTTATCCCCATCATCTGCCTAGCAGACGGTGGAGCTCACATCTGAGACGTGATGATACAGGCCAGCATTCAGAGACCAACCTCACCTTGGTACCCTGGCCTTGCGTGGCTTGAGGTGTTGTCCTGAGCAGATAGGAAAGCTTCAGAGCAGCCAGACTGCCTGCTCTCAGCAAGCTCAACACCATGGGGAAGGGAGATGCCGTGGAGGCAGCAGCACCCCCCACCCCAGCCTACCGATCTGTCATGGAGGAGTATGGTTATGAAGTGGGCAAGGTCATTGGCAATGGCTCCTATGGGACAGTGTATGAGGCTTATTACACAAAGCAGAAAGTCATGGTGGCTGTCAAGATCATCTCAAAGAAGAAGGCCTCCGAGGACTATCTAAACAAGTTCCTGCCCCGTGAGATACAGGTTGGAAGGCGAGCTGGGAGATGGAACAGCAGTTTATTACTAAGCTTCTTATGGTTTTGGCAGAAGGGATGTAGCTAGAAAGGGGTGAGGCCAAAACCCCAAACTAGGACTGAACACCTCACTGCGGCAGCTGGGAAAATTCTTTAATGTCACTGCACACACTCTCACTCACTCACCTCCAGTTCGCCCAAGTGCAAAACTGATCTGTCCCTAGGCCAGCAGCCCTGTGGTGCTGACCAGGTTGCTTCTGCTGCAGAGTTCTGAGAAGCAATGGGAGGGCGGGGAGGGCTTGGGAGTGCAGCCGGGACCTGTCATTCTCAGGGTTTGATGGGTGCCTTTTCCGGGGTCAGGTGATGAAAGTCTTGCGGCACAAGTACCTCATCAACTTCTATCAGGCCATCGAGACCACGTCCCGAGTGTACATCATTCTGGAGCTCGCTCAGGGTGGAGACGTTCTTGAATGGATCCAGCGCTATGGGGCCTGCTCTGAGCCGCTTGCTGGCAAGTGGTTCTCGCAGATGGCCCAGGGCATTGCCTACCTGCACAGCAAGGGCATCGTGCACAGGTGAGGGTGCTGCCACACCGACAAGCTCTCAAGGGGGTTTCACTGTACACCTGCACACCTGCCTTTGTGCCCCTGTATTCAGGTCCATACATCCATTCTATTTTAAGCTCTGGTGGCACCTACTTGTGTGCAGACCACCTATGTGTGAGAGGAGGGAAATCCCAGCGGTCCTCAAGTCCTACTGTCTCTTACATTCCTCTGGGCTCTGCTCACAACCCCTTGGCTTTCCTTCCTCATGCCCCTGTGGCCTCACAATGACATCTCCTTTTCACCTTGCCCCTCCTCATCTTAGCCTCCCACCTCAAGCCCTTCAGCTCCTGGTCTAATACAAAGCCCTCTCCCCAGCCTGACCCCCAGCCTTTCTGCTGCTGGTAGGGACCTAAAGTTGGAGAACTTGTTGTTGGACAAGCGGGAGAATGTGAAGATATCGGACTTTGGCTTCGCCAAGATGGTGCCTCCCAACCAGCCTGTGCGCAGTAGCTCTTCCTATCGCCAAGTAAACTGCTTTACCCACCTCAGCCAGACCTACTGTGGCAGCTTTGCATACGCATGCCCGGAGATCTTACTAGGTCTGCCCTACAACCCTTTCCTGTCTGACACCTGGAGCATGGGAGTCATCCTCTACACTCTGGTGGTCGCCCGCCTGCCCTTTGATGACACCAACCTCAAAAAGCTACTGAAGGAGACTCAGAAGGAGGTCTCCTTCCCGCATAACCAGGCCATCTCCCAGGAGTGCAAGGTGCCAGCTTTCCCACAAGGGCTGAAGCCTTAGAGGTGACCCATAGTGGGGGGTGGATGGATACCCAAGCTAGGCCACCTGGTCCACACTGGAGCCATCTTGCATGCTAGTTCCTGCATCTTAAGAGTGGGAAGGGCTTAAAGGGCCACTCACTGAGCTCTAAGCCTTAGGAATGCTGGATAAGAACAAGAGCCCACTACCATCCCTTTAGGCTGGAAGGGGACTGAGCAGGGATTTTCCCCAGGAGGAATTGCTCCCTTCCCTCCAGGGACTGGAGGCTCAGCTCAGCAGGATAAACCAGGGCCATAGCCTGTGTCACCAAAGTGGTGTGTCAGGTTGCCTGTGCCTTTCTGGCACCCAGCTGCTTACTGTGGAGTGCTGGGGAGGGCAAGCTTAGCCAACAGCGTGCTCTCTCTCTCTCTCCTACCCCAGAGCCTGGTCGTTCACATGCTATGTCAAGCAGCCAAGCGTGCCAGCATCCTGGAGATACTCAAGGATCCCTGGGTGCTCAAGTTCCAGCCTGAGCAGCCCACCAACGAGATCCGGCTGCTCGAGGCCATGTGCCAGCCCATTGGCAGCAGCAGCACCACCAGCAACCGCCACCAATCCTTGGGCAACACAGCTTGAGAATGGCTGCAAGGGGAGGGGGAATGACTAGGGAGGGAGGGAAAAGGGGTGGGGCTGAGAGGGGCAAAACAGGAAGGTTCGGGGATGAAAAATATTTTATACCACTAATAAATCAAATTCATTTAGTTTCACCAGCTATGGTTGTACAAGGAAGGTTTCTATCTAGGCCCGCAGCCAGCCATCTTGGCACCTGTTTCAGTCCACATGACTCAGCATGCGGCACAAAGGGGTGGAGTGCCCAGATGAACACCACATTCTGGGAAGTTTTGGTTTTCTGAATACTTCTTTGTGCTCTCCAAAGAGTCAAGCAGTAGGGAGGAAACCATGCTGGCTCTACTTTGTGATCCTGTCTGTCTGCAGTCTTCTGGTTCATTCCCCCAAGTGGCTGCAACAGCCAGGGATGGGTCAGGCATCAGCCAGGATCCTGCAACTCCAACCAGACATCCCACATGGGTGGTAAGATCCCAAGTACTAGTGTCAGCATCTGCTGTCTTTCCAGGTGCATTAGGAAGAACCTGGGTCAGAAGCATGAAGTAGTGGAGCCATGAACTAGGCACTCCTAGAAGGGATGGTTTAATCTGTGCCTTCTGTTCTAAAAGAGATGGGTTTTAGGGTAAACAAAGTACCTCAGTCCCTTCTCCCTCTTCCAGTGGCACCTAAACCTCTAAATCAATACCAGGAAGTCAGAGCTCCTCACACTATTACCCCCAGACACGGAAGTGACAGAGCTCCAACCAAGCTTAGTCACGGTGCAAACTATTTGGAAAAGGGATAGCTCCAGCAACCAGAAACACCCATCTATCCTGTGTTTTGGTCCCATCATCAGTCACTGCCTGCCACAAGGCTCCAGGATTTCCATGTAGAGCAGTGTTCTCAGGGTGAGAAAGGCAGGACAGACACAAGGACTCCACCTGCCCACTTTTATTGGGAACGAGGGCATTGCACCTGCCATCAGCAAGAAGGGAGCAGCAGGCACTCTGTCGGCAGCCAAGTTCTCTCCCCAGAATTGAGCCAGGGATGGGACAGCAACAGAGCCCTGTCTCCGTCAACAGGAGCATACCAAAAAGCTACACCACTTTAGTTCAGCACATGGCACTTAAGGAGAGTAAACCAATGAAGGCAGCGTTAGGAAGATGAGGTCAAGCTGGCACATCAGGATACCCACTCAGCCAACTGCTTCAGCTCTGCTTCATCTTCATCTGCTTTGGGAGCTTTGGGGACAAGGACACCCAGAGAGAGAAAGGAGAAATGTTAGGGACTCAGCCTCAGCCACTTACAACCACCTTCTGTTATGATGGCTGGAATATGCTGGATTATCTGTCCCCAGCCAGGAAACTGACAGAGTGGTCCTCCTGCTTGCTCATCAGAACCATATTAGGGGCATCTCAGAAACAGGTGCCTCTTGTTCCCAACAAACACAGTCCTAAACCAGGGCATGCACAGCTCAGAGAATAGACCCCAAACTGAGATTCTGTCCCCATTCCCTGTTAGCCAGGTGCTTTTATGCAGCCATCTTGCACCACTGCAGCAGTAGCTCTGTCCAGCGCCTCTGGAGCAGACCACACAGACCTCATATCTCCCCGTGACTCTCCCACCCTCGCGAGTTCCTGAGACAATGCAACTGGTCTGCGTACCTGGCCCTGTAGGCAGAAGGGTGGAGGGTACACTGGGCAATTCGACTTGGGGTTCTTTCTCCTTGTCGCCCACATTCAGCAACTCCCGAGCTAGTTCCTCCTGTTCCAATTCCTCTAATTCCTCCAACAGCTCATCCTGGATATGAGACCAGAAAAAAAGTAAATTTCTACTTCTGAAAGCATATGACAGTTGGAGCTTGCCCCACAACCTCTTTGGGATATTTCTTCTGACTAGTTCCCCTGTTTCCTCCAATATTAATTTCCTGACCCCTTTGCCCCCAGTCACCTCGTCCACATCATCTCCAAAGCCCACAGGCCGAGAAATGGCATCCGAGATCTGTTGGGCCACCTCCTGCTGTTCTGTGATGTCGGCCATCAGCTCATCCACCTTGTCAATGTCCCTGTGAAGAAGACACGCAGTCGAATCAGCACCTTCGTTCCTGGCTTTCTCAGCTCATGTGGATGGAGGCCTCCTTGCCTGGGCCTCAGTGGGAAGCCCACAGCTACGGGATCAGAGAGATCTCTGGAAACCTATAAAGAGGCAGTCCAGGCTGAGAACTAGCAGGAAGTCACACTGCAGAGGCCGGGTCATGCTTCCTTTCCAGGAGAATTACGAGGGTGAGCCAGTTTCTGCCAGTACACTCCAGCTGCCAGGGAACCCAGCTTCCCGCAGACAGGTTCTGGCCCTCAAGAGCATGCTGGAATCTCACATTTTGAGAGGCTTGAGGGTTCAGAGAACAATACCCAGCCACCGGCCCCAGGGCCTGGGTCCCCTCCTCCCTTCCCCCCGTACCCACATGTCCTGGTAAGCCTTCTTCATGCCTCGGGCAGCCAACTCCATGGTCCGCAGCACTTCGGCATTGGTGGTGGCATTCTCGATGGCCTCCCGCTGGAATTCCAGGGTGGACAATGTCCCATCAGTCTGCGCCAGCTGCTGTTCCAGCCTCTTCTTCCTTCGCAGGGCCTGTAAGGCAGCTGACCCGGCCCGCACCCTGGACATCAGAGTCAGAAGTACCTGCGTCACATCCATCCCCCTGCTGGCTCCCTTCCTTTGTTACCTCTCTTATTCTTGGTCCCATGCTTCTTGGCCGTTTGTAGCTCCTGCTGAATCTTCTGCTCCAGGAACTCTTGCTTCTTAATCAGGATCTTCTCTGTTTCCTTCAATTTCTGTATTGCTTCTTCTGGGGTTGGCCCCTTCTCCTTCTTCCCTGAAAAGCCCAGGGGAACAAGCCCATACAATGTTAAGGAAAAACAGCAGCCACTAATTATGCAGTGCATAGCAGGTGCTAGCCCCCAGTCACTGAGTGTATAACAGATGCTTAGCAGTTGGCTATCATCTTCATTTGTATCATCTTCACTTTACAAATGTGAAAACAGACACTAGAATGTAAAAAATTTGTCTAGACGATAAAGCTACTGCCTGCAACACTACCTCCTATAAAGAGCACTGGTTCAAGCCTCAAGTACTCCATTTACAATTCATTTCCCTACTAATGGCCTGGCAAAAGCACCAGAAGACTTAAGTGTTTGGGGCCCTGCCACCCATGTACAAAACCTGGATGAAGCTCCTGCCTTCAGCCTGGCCCAGCTTTGGCCTTTATAGCCAACTGGGGAGTGAACCCTCCTTCTTTAACTCTTTCAAAATATATACATTTAATTTTTTTGTTGTTGTTGTTTAAAACCACAACTGTGCAATAGTGTAACGATTAAAGTCTTCACCTTGAATGCACTGGGATCCCACATGGGTGTGCCGGTTCTAAACCCAGCAGCCACACTTTCCATCCAGCTCCTTGCTTGCAGCCAGGGAAAGCAGTTGAGGACAGCCCAAAGCTTTGCAACCCTGCATCCCTCCCTCCCTCCCTCCCCTCCCCCCACCCCCGCGGGAGACCCAGAAGCAGCTCCTGGCTCCTGACTTCGGATTGGCTCAGCTCCAGCCATTGCAAACCATTGGATGGAAGATCTTACTTTGTCTCTCCTCTCTGTACATCTGACTTTGCAATAAAAATAAATAAATCTTTAAAAAATAAAATAAAATCACAACTTAGAGATAAAAGAAAAAAAAAAGCATTTTAATTTCTCTCAATCTATACCTTAAAAAAAAATTGGGGACGATTCATGGTGCATTGAGTTCTGCCACCATCTGCAATACGACCATACCATATGAGTACTAGCTCAAGCCCTGGCTGCTCCACTTCCAAGTATGTGAGCACCCACCATCCACTTGGGACACCTGGATGAAGCTTTAGGCTCCCAGTTGGCCCTGGCCCATCCTGACTGTTGGCAGCCACCTGGGGAATGAGCCAAAAGATGGATTATCTCTCTGCCTTTCAAATAAATACATCTTAAAACAAAAGTAACTCTTCTTTCCTTTCTTTTTTCACTTATTTGAGAGGCAGACAGAGATCTCCCAGCCACCGGTTTATTCCCCAAACGCCGACAGCCACTATGGCTGGGACGGGACAGGACCTAGGAACTCAATCTGGATCTCCCACATGGGTGGCAGGAATGCAAACACTTGAGCCAATGCCAGCTGTCCCGGGGGTGTTCATTAGCAAGAAGCTGGAATTCAACACACAGCTGGCACTCCAAGGTGGGATGTTGGCCTGCCCACCCAAGGGGCAAGGTACCCGTTGTTCTGTCAAATGCCAGAACCTCCTCGAGGTTTTCCACACTGGTAATATTTGTTTGCTTGAAACCTCATTCCCGGAGTTTCCTTTTCTACTCTTTGCACACTTTCACACTCCAAGCAACCAAAAACTTCTCTCCTTCCCATTCCGTATCCTTCCCAGTTTATGCTTCTCAAAGCCCCTCCCTGCCCGCCTTCCAGATCACCCTCCATTCCCCCACCTGCGCCCTCCAGGATTTTAGGAGTTTCTCCATCCCCTGGCCGGGCAGTCCACCACGCTGCCTCTCTTCCCCGCCCTCCCCACACTCACGACCCCTTCCCCAGCCCCAGCTCTCCGCTCTACAAGCCAGGAGGACTCTTCCGACGCTCCGAGGCAGGACAGGGCGTCTCTCCTGGTCCTGAGACGAGCCTCGGCGCCCCGCTGATCTCCTTCCCTCCCCAAGGAGTTTCTCCGATCCACCAGCTTCCCGGTGCTCCAGTTGCCCACCCCGGCTGCGGCCTTCCGCAAGGGCTCACCCCTCCCGAAGAGCCGGCCGAGCCCACTCATCTTGAACCGGCCTCTTCCCTCCGCCCTCGGTGTCCCCGCACTTCCGCCTCGCTCCTGGCAGCCGGAGTGGAGCAGCCCGGGCCAATCCCGCCTTGGGGCGCGCGCGGCGACATCATCAGCACGCGTCTGCCAGCCCTCCAGCCCAGCCACTGCTCCGCCGGCTGAGGGGGCGAAACGGCTTTCCAAGCTCCATCCCACCCAACCTGATCCGTAGCTCGCCGGGTATTTGTGTCCTGGAAAGCCACGGGCAGGGAACCAGGGCTTCGCGCCCACCCCAGAGCTCCTGGGGAGGGTCCGGGAGCCAGACAAGCCCAGCCAGGGCACCATCTTGGCCCGGGGCTCGCTGTCACACACACACACACACACACACACACACACACACACACACACACACGCCAGAAACACAGGTCAGATCTCTTCTGTCACACACTGATGACACTTTAATAAAACTCCAAGACCACCTGGACTCCCTTTCAGATTGGGACCGGACCTCAGAGCCCAGCCTGGGCCTTTGCAAAGGCTTCCAACCCCTGAGTTAGGGTTGCAAGATTCATTCCATTCTGCACGTGAATACAGGTAACTCCTAGAAGCAAAAGGAGGAGGAGTTACATCAGATGGCCTTGGCCAGGTGTTCCTGTTGTGCACCCAGCCTTCCTCCCACCCACCCCCGCGGAAATCCTCACACTCAGTACCCAGTGGGCCGACATCTACAATATTCCTCTTCTCATCATCGAAGAAGAGCATATGCCAGAAACGAACTCCAGTCTTCTGGTGCAACCTGTGCCAGAAAGGGTAGGGGGTGGTCAGCAGGGCAGCCTCTCTGCGGTCCCTCTGGGCCAGGCTGGGACCCTTTTCTCCCTCCACCTACCTCTCAAAGTGTGTGACTTTGCTGCCAGGATAGATTTCCCGGTGACTGAAGTATCTGCTAAGGTCAAAGAGCTCCAGTAGCTGATTGGCCCCTTCTATCTCCCCTGTCCTGACAAAAAAAAAAAAAAAAAAAGGCCATAATACAGGCCTGGGGCAGAATGGGCAGGGCTGCAGGACAAGGCTGGCTGCTGTCTTTTTTTTCCCCCTAAGATGGGAAGGCACCCTTGGCTTTCAGCTTTTCCTGGTTGGCACAGCTGGTGCCGAGCCAAGGTACAATAATCTAAGGGCACAAGACAGGGTACCCCTGGGAGGAGTGGGCAAATCCATGCTAATGTGCCCCGTGTCCTCATCTTGCAGCCAGGTGTGGGTAGCTCTTCTTACCGGGATGCGGCAGCGATAGGCACCCCTAGGCCCTGCAGTCGCTCCAGCACCTGAGGCACCTCTGGGTACAGCCGCACGTCCCGGCCACTCTTGTCACGCACGGTCCCGTCACTGGTCAGGAGGGTGAGAGGGGTTCAGCTCCGGCTAGCCGTCCACCTGACTACGCCGAACCCCAGGGCTGCTCTTATCCGGTCTCACCTGCTCTTGTGGAACGGAGGGTCAACGTGCGTGTCGACCCAGAAGGGCCAGAGCGTATAATCTGCAAGGGGAAGGAGCGGGCTGGTTCAGGACCGTAGGGTGTGGACTGTGATAAGGGAGAGCGCCCGGCCCATCTCGCCCCTCACGGTCCCTCACCAAGGTCGAAGACCGCGAGCTTGGGTAGATGCGCCATGATGACGCCCCCGGGACAGGGAGCGGGACACCAGCTACCCTCGAGGGAGGAGGGAGACGTGGGACCCTGCTGCCACAGAGGAGCGCGGACCAGAGCGTCGCCTTGCGGTCCTACTAGTCAGCGCGGTAAGTGTGCACGTGCGCCATCTGCTGCCAGACGAGGGAAAGCCCTCTGCAAGGTGGTGCCCACGCCCCCGCTCAGGTTGCCCCAAGGCATTGGCCACTGGTACCCATTCTGATCAGATTCTAGTAAAGGCCAGAAAGGGAAGGCACTTATCATTGCACCTCTCCTTTACCAACCGACACCTGTGACCCATCATAGCTTGTCATTCCTCATAGGCTATTCCCCTTACTCGCCTGAGAAGGTCCCTGACCTGCAGCAACAAACAGCAGTGTCTCCAGGCCGCAGGCCTTTCTCCCACGCGGCTCAAACGCTCAGCAGCGCCACCGCGGAAAGGCAAGCCCTCACTGTTCCACTTGCTATCATCCAATGTCAGCAGCAGGCTGGGACCACAGTGTGGGGCAGTGGGACTGATTTGCAGTATTTACTGATTTCTGCACATCTTCCCATAGAGCTGACTTCAAGCTACTGACACAGCCACTTGCATGGCCTTGCTATGAGATGCCAGTGACTGGTTCTCCTGGATATGAGCTGGCTCCAGCCTGACCAAACATGCCTTTCCTGGCTCAGAGAACCCCCTGAGGGCACCAGCATTTCCACTGTCTGCTTCCACTTGGTACAACTGGGGGAGCACTGGGTCCATCATGTCAGTGGTATTTGTGCAACACAAGCAGGATTCCAGGAGGCAAGGAAATATTTTATTGACAACCAGGGACATAGCCTAAAGAGAGGGAAACACACACAGGACTGCAAACTAAAACCCAAAGGCCAGCAAGGGTCTTTCGGGCCAGGAACACCGCATCCTGGGGCCCTCACAGTCTCCCACCAGTAGACACACAAGGCTGGGCATCCAGGGGAAGGGGCAGTGACTCTGGAGTCCCAGAGAGTGACAGAATAGATGCTTCATTATGAGCGCCAGGGTAAGGAGATTACGGAGGGAGGGTCCTTCACTGCCTAAGCTCTCCCCCTCCTCTCAGGGCCAGCACCAGGTGGAGGACTGAGCCCCCCAGGATCTTGTAATCTGCTGCTGTCTTCTCATCATTCCTACAGCACAAAGAGGAAAAAAAAAAAGCATTAAAAATACCATCTGAAACAGGGGTTCTGAACTTTGGTCTCATAGGGGTTGTTGATGAACTTGGATGTGGAAAAAAATTTCATCTTTACATTTTGAATGTAGACAAAAACCCACAGCATTATTAGCAAGATGAGGTGCTTGTAGCAGTTATTAGTACCACCGTTAGAAACCACCTAATGAAGGCCCGGTGTGGCAGCCTAGCAGCTAGAGAGCTCACTTCACATGCGCTGGGATCCCCTATGGGTGCTGGTTCTAATCCTGGTTGCTCTACTTTCCATTCAGCTCCCTGTTTGTGGCCTAGGAAAGCAGTTAAGGATGGCCCAAAGCCTTAGGACCCTGCACCCATGTGGGAGACCCAGAAGAAGCTCCTGGCTTCTGGATTTGGATTGGCTAAGCTCCAGCTGTAGTGGCTACTTGGGGAAGGAACCAGTGGACAGAAGAACTTCCTGTCTCTTCTTCTCTTTATAAATCTGCCTTTCCAATAAATATAAATATTTTAAAAAATTGCTCAATGAATGAATATATAGTAATATCTTACAAATTTCAGTAATGCTATTTCAATATAATACATTTCCATTTAATTTCTGTTTTACCTTAGGAAAAAAGATGTTATTCTGGGGCTGGTGTTGTGGTATAGCCGCTTAAGCCTCCACTTGTAACACTAGTATCCTGTATGGGGGCTGGTTTGTGTCCTGGCTGCTCCACATCCAGTCCAGATCCTGACTAATGTTCCTGGGAAAGCAGCAGAGGACGGGCCAAGGCCTCAAGCCCTGTGACCTTTGTGGGAAACTGAGAAGCAGCTCCCGGCTCTGCTTTGGCCTGGCCCAGCCATGGCCATTGTGGCCATCTGGGGAGTGAACCAGGGAATGAATCTCTCTATAACTTTGCTTTTCAAATAAATCTACAGGTCAATGCGCACCAGAAGCAAGCCAGGCGGGCCTAATTTACTCCCAGTTCTTGCCCCTCATCTTCGTGCCCATCCCTGACTCACATCTGTTTGCCACTGTAGATGAGCCGCTGCTGCTGTGGGGGAATTCCTTCCTTCTCCTCCACCCGCTCCTTGATTCGCTCCACCTGCAGAGGGATATGTGGTTAGGGACTGCTTAGGGGCAGCGCCACCAGAGGCACAGTGCTACCTGGGTGGGATGGGTGAAAGGACAAAGTTCCTAAGTATACTCAAACACTAGCAGATGGCAAGAAAAAGCCCCGAAGAGGAACTTGCATACATCACCTTGTCTGTGGGTTCTATGTCAATTTCAATCTCCTTCCCAGTCAGTGTCTGAAACAGACAAAGGTTTTGTCAATTTCCAGCTTCCTGTAATATGGTCTCCCAGGCCCTCTGGTCTCTGATGCGCAGGCTCAGCAGTGCTACTTCCCATCTCAGAAGTGCAACTGCATCAGTACTTAGCATGCATTTTTAGACAGTGAACAACATTGCTGGGCAACAGTTTGAAACATCTGATTCTCTTAATCCCACAAGTCATCTCCCTCTGCACCTGTGTCCCCACCCCTGAAAACACCGACACACTTCTGAAGGACACAGCAGGGAGAGGTGTCCCAAGGAAGACATTTCTTCACATCAGAAAAACCATGCTGTACTGATTATCCATGCTAGAAATCATTCAGATAATCAAAGGATTCCCAGGGATGGAGCCCAGTTTGTGTCCTGCTCTATTTTCCTTCCAGCTCCCTGCTTGTAGCCTGGAAAAGCAGTAGAGGACGGTACAAAGCATTAGGACCCTGTACCCCTGTGGGAGTCCTGGAAGAAACTCCTGCCTTCAGATCAGCTCAGCTCTGGCCACATGGGGAGTGAACCAGCACAGGACTATAGCTGCTAGGTCTACTCTCTCTCTCTGCCCTCTGCTTTTCCCACCTCTGCCCTTGCTCTGTCTCCTCTCTCTCTCTTTCACTCTCAAGTACTCTCTCGGGGCCCAGCAGCGCAGCCTAGCCGCTAAAGTCTTCGCCTTGAACCCGCCCGGGATCCCATAGGGCACCGGTTCTAACCCCGGCAGCTCCACTTCCCATCCAGCTCCCTGCTTGTGGCCTGGGAAAGCAGTTGAGGATGGCCCAAAGCCTTGGGACCCTGCACTCGTGTGGGAGACCCGGAAAGAAGTTCCTGGCTCCTGGCTTCAGATCAGCGCAGCACTGGCCAGTGGAGCCGCTTGGGGAGTGAATCATTGGATGGAAGATCCTCCTCTCTGTCTCTCCTCCTCTGTACATCTGCCTTTCCAATAAAATAAATAATTCTTAAAAAAAAAAAAAGAACTATCGAGCAAAGATCAAGAGAGACAATGGTGGTAACTTGAACTCACCACTCGAGGCTCAAGCCCCACAACCCCCTACAGAAAATGCTAACATGCATGCGCTCCCAGGCCCAGTGGCAGCCATACCTCCCAGATGCCCCCCAGATGACTACCCCAGGGGCCTCAACTGCAGGAACCATTGGATGCCCCCCTTCTAATTCAACATCTGTCCCAGCTGCAAGATACCCTGGGAGCCCTTGGATGGCCACAGGAAGGTCCAGTTCCGCTGCTGCCAGCACTCTACCATCTACAACTTTTTTTCCATCTGGAACTGAGATGCATTCCCATGGCTTCAGCTCTGTTGCTGTCTCTCCCCATGTGAGCAGCCAAGAGAACAAGGCCCTCTTGCCTGTCTCCAGCCCCTGGAGTCACCTTCAGCAGTGAAGGGCTACACAACTGTGGGGCTAGAACTCAAGGCCCACTGCCCAGAGCCCAGTGCCTGTGCCCCACGCCCAGCCTCCATGGACAGCAGCAATGGCCCCAGGACCTGGGCTCCTGGCTTGCCATATGTGAGTCCTGGTTTGAGTGCTCACTTCCTGGCTTCAGCTTAGTCACTATGGGTTTCACTTCTGATGTAGCTCCTTGCTTAAGCATCTGGGAAAACAGCCGAAGACTGCCCAAGTGCTAGGCCCCCACACCCACATGGGAGACTAGGATGAAGCTCCAGGCTCCTGGCCATTATGACTGTTTGTGGAATGAACCAGAAGATGTAAGATCTTTTTCTCAAATAAATCCTTAAAAAGAAAAATCCTTCTGTCTCTCCTCTTTGTAAATCTGCCTTTCCAATAAAAAATAAAAAAATCTTTCAAAAAAAAATTCCCAGGGATGTCAGAAATCACCTCTGATCAGTTTTTAGGAATTCTACATTTCATTCTTCATTTCTCTAGTCTTCTACCTAAACCCTCAACTGCAACTCTGATTTCTTTAAGTGAATATGACAATTACATGACTGCACAACTACAAATGTTGTGTTCCATCTACCTTAAAGCCTTATCCAGAGAGCAGTGTTGCGGTACAGCCAGTTAGGCCACTATCTGCAGTGCTGATTCAAGCCCTGGCTGCTTTGCTTCTGATCCTCATCCCTGCTAATGTGCTAAAGCAGCGGCAGATGGTGCAAGTCCTTGGGCCTCTGCACCCAGGTCAGAGACCCCGCTGGAGCTCTAGGCTTTTGGCTTCCAGCTGGTCCAGCCCCACCCATTGCTGCAACTTGGGGAGTGAACCAGTAGAGGGAAGCTCTCTGTCCTTCTCTCCCTGCCTCTGTACCCATACCTTTCAATTAAATAAGAAAGTCCTTTAAGGGGGTAAAAAAAAAAAAAAAAAAAAAAAAAAAGACTATTTGAAAGGCAGAGTTACAAAGAAAGAGAAAGACAGCGAGACCTTGTATCTGCTGGTTCATTCCCCCAAATGGCCCCACCAGCAGCAGGGCAGACCATACTAATGCTAACTCTCTCTTTATCTGCACTGCTTAGTGTATTTTTAAATATTTATTTCTTTTTATTGGAAAAGCAGATTTACAGAGAGGAAATATCTTCCATTTGCTGGTTCACTCCCCAAATGGCTGCAACAACCAGAGCTGAACTGCTCTGAACCCAGGAGCCAGGAGTTTCTGCCAGAGCTCCCACACAGGTGTAGCCTTGCAAGAATTTAAGCCATCCTCTGCTGCTTTCCCAGGCCACAATCAGGGAGCTGGATAGGAAATGGAGCAGTTGGGATACGAATCAGAGCCCATATGGAATGCTGATACTTGAAGACAGAGGATTAGCCAATTGAACTATTGTGCCAGGCCCAGTATTTAAGGTTTTTTGTAAAAACATAATTTGTCACATGAATATTCATTTAATTATAAAAAATTGTAAGACTAGAAAACTTCTAAGAGAAGGCTTAAAGCTCATCTCCCACGAGTATGATGCTTCAACTTAATAACATTAAAAAAAATAACTAGCTTATAAAATGTAAAATTCTAGGAAGGGTGGTGCTGCGTTTCAGAAGCTGACTGTAGAGACATGGATATTTCCAAGGTTATCTGACAACAGTGTCCCAGCAATGCCACCACCAGGTAAATAATCATGGTAATCCCTCCAAGCACAGATACGGGGGCAGGAATTGGTGGTTAGCTGCCTGCACCTGGAGCAGAGCGTTTGGATGAGAAGCCCGCCTCCGGCTCCTGCCTCAGCTTTCTGCTTGTGCACTCAGGCAGTAAATTCCTAAAGACACAGGGAGCCTGTCCTGAGCCCCCTGCTTCCAGCCTCGACCTGGCTCTGCACTGGCCAGGGAGAGCACAGGAGAGCTCAGCAGCAATGGGGAGCACTCTAGCTCCCTCTGCCTCTCCAATAACAGTACCTGCAATGGTCACTGCAGCTTTGAGACTGAAACCTTGGAGACACAATCTAACTGGCCCACAATGGAAGGCTAAACGAATCATGGCACAATCACAGAGGGAAAACTACACAGCCCTCAATGTTTAGAATTAGCAATTAGGGCCCAGCATGGTGGCCTAGCAGCAAAAGTCCTCGCCCCGAATGCACCGGGATCCCATATGGGTGCTGATTCTAATCCCGGCGCCCTGCTTCCCATTCAGCTCCCTGCTTGTGGCCTGGGAAAGCAGTTGAGGACAACCCCAACGCCTTGGGATCCTGCACCGGTGTGGGATACCCGCAAGAAGTTCCTAGCTTCTGGTTTTGGACTGGCTCAGTTCAGGCCACTGTGCTCACTTGGGGAGTGAATCATTGGATGGGAGATTTTCCTCTTTGTCTCTCCTCCTCTCTGTTTATCTGACTTTGCAATACAAAAAAAAAAAAAAAAATTAAAAAAACCATGCTGGCCGTTTAAAAGACAGCAATCGGGTCCTGTATGATGGCTCAATTGGCTAATCCTCCCCTTGAAAGAACCTGGGATCACATGTGGGTGCCGGTTCATGTCCCTGCTGCTCTACTTCCCGTCCAGTTCCCTGTTTGTGGCCTGGAAAAGCAGTAGAGGATGGCTCAAGGCCTTGGGACCCTGTTCCTGGCTCAGTTCCAATTGTTGTGGTCGCTTGGAGAATGAACCAACGGATGACTGATTTTTCTTTCTGTAAATCTTCCTTTCCAATAAAACTAAATAAATCTTTTAAAAATTGTTTATAAAAAAGTAAAAGACACAGTATAATTCCAGTTTCATGGAGACAACAGACATGTTCGTTTACATGCTTTCAAAAATGCCTGGAAGGATATATTTCTCACGGTTCTGCCCGGCCGAGGCGCCGGGACAGCACGCAGGTAGCCTGGGCGTGAAGGACGGCGAGCGGGCTTCATGCCGCGAGACCCCGGCCAGCGGCTTCTACGGGGCTTTCTCTCTGAAAACACCGAGGCTTCCTGGGGCCACGGCACTGTCGTCCCTGGCCCCCAGCGTGGCCAGGGTACCCCCAGCTCCCAAACCCCCCAGCTCCCTCGTTCCCGTCACACCTCGCGCGCCACCCCGCGACAGGCAGCAGCGTCAGGGCCGGGGAGAGGCGTGGTCTCCTTTTACCCCCCACTTCTCCCCGAGGCCCGGCCGCCAGCTCAGTAACGGGGTAGAGGTGTCCCCACCTTCACTTTAATTAGCATCTTCTTCCCAGTCTGGGGCTGCGCACGAATAAATCGCTGCTACTACCGCTGCGGTCGCTGCTGCCGCTCCCCAGCAATAGCCCCCTGTGCCACCTTTTATGCTTCCGGGTCACCGTCTGGCTCCGCCCCCTCCTCCTTTCCTCCGGTTTCCCAAAAGGCTCAGAAATGCTCTCGCGTTTCGCTCCTGTGGCGTCGTAAATAACAGAAGCGCAGCCGGTTTGGTTATAGCAGAGATGACACCTGCGGGGATTCTCAGAGTGCCTAGCAGCTGAGCTGGGGCTAGTGGAAAGCTTGGAGACGGCGCGAACTACTATTCCCATCATGCCAGGAGGGGCAGCGCTGCCGTTGCATCCTGGGAGTTGTAGTCTCTCCCTCTGCGGGCCCAAAGGTGGCCCCTGCGTGTGCGAACTATGTTACCCAGGAGGCCTCACGGCCGCCGGCGAAGCTGAAATGCCCTCGGTCCGCAGTTCTCGCCGGCGAGTAGCGGAACCTGCAGGCACGGTTCCGGAGTCTCTGCAGGCTGCGCGAGGCTGGTTGCTGAAGAGGGTGATCTTCGGTCAACCGCCGCCCCCGCCGAGGCAGCAGGAAGTGGGTACCCTAGTCCGGAAGCGGGGGAGCCCCTTACTCCCTACTTTACTGTTTGCAGTAGGGCGGGAGAAAGAAGTGTAGCGGGGTGAGGAATGCACCCTCAGGGTCACTCAGAGCCCCTTGCTTCCCAATTTTTCCCCTCCATAATGGGTACCTGGGATGGAGACAGCGAGAGTAAACGGCAACCGCGGGACGGCTCTAGCCGAGAAATGAAACTTGCCGCCAGCCCCGACCTGATGGGACAGCTCGGGGCAGGGAGGAGCTGGGTTAGGACCTGGATGACTTTTCCGACTGTTCAGTCATCAGATCCATTGCTACTCGCAAGGACTCCGCCATGCCTCACATAGACAACGATGTGAAACTGGACTTCAAGGATGTCCTCTTAAGGCCCAAACGCAGCACCCTCAAGTCTCGAAGCGAGGTGAGCCAATGTCGGTTACCTGGCTCTTTTTTGACCTTCAAGTTCAAGAAAACCACCCGATACTTATCACGGTGCAAGTTTGTTTAGACGCTTGAGCTGCTCAGTTTCCTGTTCATATTTGCAGGTGGATCTCACAAGATCCTTTTCCTTTCGGAACTCAAAGCAGATGTACACTGGTGTGCCCATCATTGCGGCTAATATGGATACTGTGGGCACCTTTGAAATGGCCAAGGTCCTCTGTAAGGTAGGACTTCCGCAGACCTCTGTCGTCCTTGTAGTGTCCGCCTTATCCCAGCCAGCAGCAGAGGAGTTAGCCGCCTGGCAGTCAACAAAATGTTATATTTTACATTTACTATTTTCTCTAGCATTGAGGCTATTTTCACCTGATGAGGTCAAAGAGTTATCTGAATTAGTGAGATTAAAACTAAATAGATTTTTTTTAAAATATTTTTATTTTTATTTGAAAGGCATATTTATAAAGGAGAGACAGAAAGTTCCTCCATCTACTAGTTCACTTCCCAGAATGGCCAGAACGGCTGAAGCTTTGCCTATCTGAAGCCAGGAGCTTCTTTCACATCCCCTATGTGGATGTAAGGGCCCAAGGGTTTGGGCCATCCTCCACTGCTTTTCCAGGCCATAAGCAGGGAGCTGGATAGGAAGTGGAGCAACCGCAACATGAACCATTGCCCATATGGGATCCTGACACTGCTAAGCCTCCTGTACCACAGCACCAGCCCCCAAAGCTAAATCTTGTTCCTATTTTCCCAATATGTAAACAGAAAGTTCACCTTTTTTCTTATCTAACTTATTTACTAACTTGCCTGCCACTCAGATTGTTCCTTTCCCATCACACAAGTCCCTCTACCTATACCAGTATAGGTATTTGCTGACTTAGCCCAGAAGCTAAATACAATTTCAGCAAAAATCTCTAACTAAAACCAAAGAGAAAAATTCCCAACTAGAACGATTTAGAACTTTTATGCCTGCTAATCTTTTTTTCCTCCTTTAAACCTTTGTCTTGTTCAAGTTCTAGGTTTCTGGGATGTGTCCCAAATGGAATGTGTTTTTCTTATATACAGGTTGTTCACTTTGAACATGGAAGATCTTGTTCCTGTCAGTAATAGTAGCTGAGAAGGTAGACAGTTACCTGAGACACGTGTACTGTGCTGGTTGACCCATGGAGCCCTGGATCGTGGATTCTGCTGCTGTTTGCGGCTCTGTTAGCTTTAAGGACTTCGCCTCCCTTTTCCACTGGTGTCTTTGTGGAATGTGTGTGGTTTCTCTGAGGTGGATAGTTGCACAGTTGTATTACGTTATTCACTAACTGCTTAGAAATGCTGCTGTTGCCCTTGGCTGCCTGCCCTGTGCAGTAGAGTTGGGGCATGGTGAAGCTGTTGGCTGAGTTGACATGCAGTGAACGCTGGTGGGGTCTTAATGCTTCATTTAGATTGGCTTTTGGTATTATTGATGTGTGCTAACGAAATAGGTAGAGCCAAGTCTCACATGATGGTAGGAGTGTTGCCAAGAAAGCCAAATTCAGTATCAGAGTGAGCTGGTACTGATGATCCCTGAATGAATGTGGCACTCCCTTGCTGCTGGCTGACCTGGGACTTCCTTGGATTTCTTGTCAGCTGCAAGGTTTGTGTTGTCTCAGACACCTGCTGTCTCTTAGCTGTTACATGCTTGTACTTGTGAAGCACAAATGCCAACAGTCACATTGGCTCTGAATGCTCTTCTGTATTGGGATACAGTTTAAAATCTGTTGAGCTAAAGAATGCCAGCTGGGTCATTGGATCTTTGAACATAGCTGACTTAAGGTAGAAATAAGACTTGATCCATGTCCCAAACAAACAAACAAAAAAAAGTGTCCTTTTCTCCAATAAAGTTGGAAAAAGGATGGGGTAGCATGATTACTTATTACTTCCACTGACCTTATGGCCTTACCTTCAGTGGGCCTCTTGAGTTACTACTGGTAAGTGAACCATTTGTAGATGACTCAGTCCTAAATTCCTGAGGACTCTGGAGGGGCTTAGTGCAGGTGTGGCTGCCTCTGCTTCCTTAGGTCTAGTGCCTGTTCCATTGCTCTAAAACAGTGTTTTTTTAAAATCAAAAGCAGCGTGCAAGCAGATAAGTAAAATCCAACCTGGAAAACTCAAAGCTTGTTGCAAAAATTTGACAAGCACTAGTTTATGGCAGTCAGTCCTCCAGGGACTTGTAGGGAGAATAAAGGTTGAATTCAAATTCCACTTCAACTACTAGCTTCCAGTTACTTTAAAATTTCAGTCATTGTTTATCAGATAGAATACTATGAAAGTGTTCCTAGAACAGTGCTAACCAGGTTTTCTTTTCATTGATAATTTCTCTCTTTTTCCCAGTTCTCCCTCTTCACTGCTATCCATAAGCACTACAGGCTTGACCAATGGCAAGAGTTTGCTAGCCAGAATCCTGACTGCCTTGAGGTAACACTGGACCTACATGCTCCCTTATCCCACTGTTCCAGAGTCCTTTGGCTTCTTGGGGACCAGCCTTCACCCTTATCCCAGCCAACAGCACCCCATTTCTCCCACAGCATCTGGCTGCCAGCTCAGGCACGGGCGCATCTGACTTTGAGCAGCTGGAACAGGTCCTGGAAGCTATTCCCCAGGTGAAATATATCTGCCTGGATGTGGCCAATGGCTATTCAGAACACTTTGTTGAATTTGTGAAGGATGTACGGAAGCGCTTCCCTCAACACACCATCATGGTACGACTGTTACCCTGTAGCTGTACATTCCTCCTCTTCCATTTTGTTGCTGCTCCATTTCATTAGTTCACTTCTAATTATGATGTTTTCTAGACAACTCTCTTACATTACTGGGTGATTATACAGTGCTTCCAACTCAAAATGTCTGTTTATTGGTCGGTGCTGTATGTAACCCTTGAAGGATAAAGTCTTTGTCCCTGACATCACTCACCAAACCATGAGGAAACACTGTTCACCCTTGTGTCAAATACATATCTGTTCACTGAAATGGACATGTACTACAGCAGTATAAAAGGGGTCACAAGGAAACAATGTTTTATTTTCACAGGTATAGGAAGGTGAAGCCAGTTCTGTGACAGAACTGCTTAAGGACAGGATGTGTTGGCATCTCGGTGGGAAAGGGGAGTTAGACAAAGACAACTCTAACACCGTGCTTGGTCTAGAAACTCCTCTTGTTGTATTGAATGCGCCTCCCTGCTGCCTTGTGTCTCCCTGTTGGCTGAGGCCATGAAATGCATCCTGGACCTCAGCCAACAGTGACATTGCTCATTCACCCTCCTACCTCAGCTTGGTAGTGCTGACTAGGAGACAGATGTGAAGCAGGACCCTTTGAAGTAACTAGTGCAGTTGCCCTTAGGGAGCCCAAGAGCCCAGTACATTGGATCTAACACCCCACTTTTGTAAAGTCTTGGGAGGTCCTGGTTCAGGTATCCCACCTATCAATGCATGTAACCTTTCCCCTCCTGACCTTAAGGATGCTCTTTCATCTGTCTCAGGCCGGAAATGTCGTAACTGGGGAGATGGTGGAAGAGCTCATCCTTTCTGGGGCTGATATCATCAAAGTAGGAATTGGGCCAGGTAAGTTGGTTTATTGGGACCATTTCTCAGCTCTCTGGTGGCAAACACCTGTGGAATCTTTCCTCCCCACCTTTGCCATGTACTTCCCAGGTTCTGTGTGTACCACCCGCAAGAAAACGGGAGTAGGGTATCCTCAGCTAAGTGCTGTGATGGAGTGTGCAGACGCTGCTCATGGCCTCAAAGGCCACATCATTTCAGTAAGGCCCCAGGATGGGCGGGGTGGGAGGCTGCCACACTTCTGTAGAATAGGGAGGCTCTGGCAGGGTTGGATCAGGCCCTCCGGGTTCCTGGCAGCTCTGAGATGTTGCTGAGAGGGTTTGGGAAGATCTACTGAGTCCTTACAATGCTCTTTACTTTGCAGGATGGAGGCTGCAGCTGTCCTGGGGATGTAGCCAAGGCTTTTGGTAAGGAGGTTAGGAGGGCACAGGAGGACCCTGTAGAAGAGGACTATAGTCAGGCTAGGAGAGGCCAGGAAGCCATTTAGTTTTTTTCATGTTGTGAATTAGTGATTGTGAGCCTACGGAATCACCTGGACAAGCCAGCAAGGGGCAGTCTGGGGATGGGGACTCAATGGGCAAGGGCCATCTGTCCTCCCTGCCGGATTGTGGGACAATGTAGATTGCTGAGCCCTACTCTAAACTTATAAATCACTCAGGAATAGGGTTGCAAAGCTGTATTCTTCACAGCTTTCTGGGTGACCCTCACATTGAAGTAGGAGATCTTTGGGACACTTAGAAGCAATACTTGCTCAGCTGAGTACAATAAAATGAGATGACCAAGATGCCAAAAGTAGCAGAAAGAGCAAAAGGCAAATGGGGAAACCGCCAAAGGCTCTTCTCAAAATCCTGGGAAATGAGGCCTACTGAGTACGGGCCAGGGCACAGCAGGCCTGTGTTATAGACAGTGGAAGCAGAGCTGAGAAGAGGCTGGGGGGCAACTGTTAGCGTGGAGAATCGAGAATCTGGTGTGAGTGGCTTTTGAGTGTGGCCACGTGGACAACTCCAGCCAGTTTTATCTCTTGTCCCTTCTTTGCTGCTGGCAGGAGCAGGGGCTGACTTTGTCATGCTGGGTGGCATGCTGGCTGGACACAGCGAGTCAGGTGGTGAGCTCATTGAGAGAGATGGCAAGAAGTACAAGCTCTTCTATGGGATGAGTTCTGAAATGGCCATGAAGAAGTATGCTGGGGGTGTAGCTGAATACAGGTAGGAGCCAGAGGCCCAGAAGCTAGAGGTTCCTAGAGAATGGGACCATGTGGTGTGGTTGGCAGGATTCATGCCTCCTGGGATGGTGGCATGGCAACTGGGACCTAGATGCTAGACAGTCATTGGGCATCTAAATGGAGAAGCTAATCAAATTTTCTCTATGCCAAGGGCCTCAGAGGGAAAGACGGTGGAAGTCCCCTTTAAAGGGGATGTGGAACATACCATCCGGGACATCTTAGGGGGGATACGCTCGACATGTACCTACGTGGGAGCGGCCAAGCTGAAGGAGCTGAGCAGGAGAACTACGTTCATTCGTGTCACTCAGCAGATGAACCCCATCTTCAGCGGAGAGCACTAGATCCCAGCACTCTTACCATGGGGCTTCCTGAGCAGGCCCATCCCTGTCCCAGCTGCTGTGCCTACTCATGCATTGTCTTGTCATTTCCTAGTGGCTCACTCCTAAGCGCTCCTGTGGTAATGCTACACTTCCCTGTTTGCACACACAAAATACCCAGGGCACTCAACTGAGGAGGAAGCAAGCGAGAAGACAGTCTGAGGAAATGCAGAAAGATAATCCAGGGTGATCTGGGAACCCAGCACCCCAAGAGTACTACAAGGAAATGACACTGATTGGTCCATAAGTGTTTTACTAGCCCTTGTCTGGAAGAGTCAGGGCTTTCAAAATCATGTCATGTTAATGAGCTTCTTTAAATGGGACCTTCACATATCTAAAGAAAACAGAAGCTTTTATGTATTTGAAATACCTCAATAAAGAGACCCCATCTACTATAAAGAGACACTGGGGCTTTCTACCTAACACTGGTGCCCTGGTGCTGCTCCCAGTATAAGCGGACATGGGGACAGCACCAACTGCAGTGGTCAAGGACCAAGTACAATTTAATCTTCATTCTGGTGCCACCACCTTCAGATAACCTGGCGTCAGGACATACAAACCTTCCAAACAGCAAAAGGACATGGTTTCTGGTCTCAACCAAGGCTGAGAAGGGTTCTTCTGGATGCATCGGTACACCCCCTCCCCCAAGGGACATAAAAAGGCAGAGATTGTTCCAGCCTTGCAGAGTCTGGGTCTTCCTCTAGGGATTGACTGTACGCTGGCTTAGCCCTCTCCCTCACATCAAGACAATGTTCTAATAAAGCCAAAGTTTAATGATGAAGCATTACATGGTATTTTTAGCAGTGGAGATGGGTTGCCCAAATCCAGGTTTCTATTTCATACCCACTAAATGGCTTGCAGAGCTGAGGCAGTGGGAGATGGACAGGGTGCAGAAAACATGCCAGTGCTCATGGGGGTGTCTAGCGCTGTCACATCACATGGAGGGGAGGGCCCAGCACTTGGACCCAAAGAGGGGAAGTATTCACAGAAAGTGGGGATCAAGGTATCAAACTTTGTCTTTTGGTAGTTTTCCAGAGACTCCTGTGGAGAACGAGGAGGAAGGGGTGCAGGAAGATTCTCTCATCCGGAACCCTTCCCTGAGCCCTCTACATTCAGAGTTGTGGATTTCTCAGTCTTGCTCTACCCATCCCATTCCCCAGCTTTCCTCACTACTCACTTGTTTTTCCCTCTGAGCACTCTCTTCCTCATCAGAATCCAAGACCAAGTCCCCTATGGTAATGACAGAGCTGCACACAGATGGAGGACATGCTGCAAAAAGCAAAGCATAAGGAATGGGACTCCTCCTGGGTGGACACAGAGACCCTTGAACACTCCCCCGTCTGTCTGATCTGTTCCTGACAAGTCCACCTACCTGTCTTGGCCTGGGGCGGTGACAGTGCTAGTCTCAGGGGGTCTCTGTGGCAATCCGAGCCATTCCTGAGGTGGGAGCAAGCAAAGAGGACAGGGTAAGGGGATGCAGGCAAAGCACATGCTCTCCAGTGGGAAGAAGCATCTTGTGTTCCACTCACTCCTTCTCAGAGCCAGAGAAGTCAGCCAGGTCCTCCACTAGAGCCCTTTTCCCCAGGGTGTGAGAGGGACTCTTGCATTTTGCGTTGGAAGCTGTGCTTGAGCCTGTAGCACCTGCTGGCTCTTCTGTGTGACCCCCACCTCCTTCCCTCAGTCCAGGCTTGGATATAACTTGGGTGGCTGGGCCCAGGTTCCTAAATGGGAACAGCATGACGGTGGGACGCTCCTTATGGCCTCCCCTAGTAGACGTCCATCGGGATTGGATTCTTCTCCGGCCCAGAGGGGCCAGGTTAAAGTGACAACCAGTTAAGGGTTCTGGGTGCTGCCTCGAAGCTGGTGTAGGAGGGGAAGGTGGGCCAGGCTTGGCTTTTGGCAGGGGAGTGTGGGATGCTGGTCTTGGCTGAGGAGGAATCTGCTCCGCAGGCTCTGGCAGGCTCACTGAATCAACAGAACACTCTGCAAGAGAAGAGGCGATGTCTCACAAAGAGAAATAACAACTGAACTCTGCCAAGTGTCTCTGCTTCAGGCCAGAGGCAGGGCACATCCAAGCCCACAAAATCATGTGCCTGGACCTTGCCAAGATATCCACAAGTGGGACCTAAAACTCAATAATTTCACAGCAGGCTCATTTGTCAAGTTGACAAATCTTGTATGGTATGTGAATGATGTTATCAAGATGTTATCCAACTGGCTTGATGCCACACGTCCTCCCCAGGGCTGTTCCATGACAAGCACTGCATAGTTCCAAATGCCCAGTTCTTTCCAATGGCCCTAGTACCTGGAAGGGTCCACCCCATGTCAGCACAGTATTGGTTCAGGGCAAGACATGAGGTGACAGAAACTCCAGGCTGCATCCAAGTCAGTACATTCTGAAGCTGTGGGCAGGAAGAGAGAGTGAGAGGAGATGAAGATGACAGCTCTTGACACAACCTGCCCACCACCCTCTGCCCTTGAGCATTCCGCCTGCAACAAAACCTGCTGTGCCTGCAGTGGGGGTAGCGCCTTCTCCAGCTGACACAAATATTCAAAGAACAGCTTCTCCATGGCCACCAGAAAGGACTCCCCATACTCTTGTCCAAGTTCCTGCAGAGCAGCCGGAAGTGGGTCAGAGGGGGAATAGCTACGGAACAGATTCCCAGTTGAGCTGGTCTCACCTGCAACCTGGAGGCTAGATCTGCAGGTGCCTCTGACAGTTCCTTCACCTGTTGGCAGAAAGTTTCTTGTGCCTCCAAAATTTTGCTCAAATCTTGCTTCGTCTGGGAGAGGAAGGGGTGGATAGGAGAGCAGACAGGTTAGACGCATCAGAAGAGCTAGGATGGTTGTAAGGGCGCTGCTTCAGGTGTAACTGGGATCGGGGTTCCTGCCAGTGGCGGTTACTCACAGCTTTGGGGTCCCTCACCACAGGCCTAGACTGCGGAAAGTGGTCATTTAGGACGCTCAGGACCTGCTTCCAAGGTCGACCCTGCAGGATCAGTTCCACCACCACCTGCAAGGTACTCAACTCAGACTCGCCATTTCAGGGCTAGCTACCCCATGCCAACAGCTGTCGGTCGCTGTCAGGCCTAGCTTCCCCTGTCTGGCTCCCATTCTCCTTCCAGGTCCTACTAGCTCCAATACCTTGGCTCCGAGGCCCATACACAGCCGTTCATGATGCCGATAGCGCACCAACCCGGGGACAGCAGCGCGCAGGCTCCGAAGAAATTCCAGCACGCGTGGAAAATGCTCGACGCGACGTCCACGAACCACCTGCCAGCTGGCTGCCGCGGCCAGGCGCAGAGTGGCGGGACCGGCGCCCAGAGGCGTGTCCATGGCGCCGGTCCCCGCCCTGGGGCGGTCCCTCCAGGTGCCTGGCCGCGGCCGCCCGCTCCCTCCCAAGGGCGGGGTTTCCGGCTGCCCTCCGGACCCCGGTGCGGTCCACGTAAGTGGCGCTGCGACTCAGATCTCTACCATGGGTCATCTAGGACCCGGGAGTGGCCAAGGGCAGCTCGGGTCGCAGCCTGATGCAGGAGCAGGTCGTCACCCTGGGATAACCGGCCGCTCCGCTTTGAACACCGCAGTTGTCTTCCATCTGAGAGAAGTTCACTTCCGGCTATGGGACGGGTTGCTCTTGCCCGCGGAAGGGCGACTGGAGAGAACCAATGGGCAACCGGATAGCGGGGCTCGTGATGTCTGCGTAATAAGGCACCGCCCCTGCAGATCCGGCGCCTCTGCGGTCCTGTACCGCGGATGGGGCTGCATCTGTTGGTGCCAAGGTCGCTCCCGGGACCTCCTGGTCTCCATCCTTCTCGGGCCCACAGGAAGGTCATGTCACTTCTCTGAAACAAGGCTTCCTGGTCTGTAAAGTGGGGATCCCGTCGACCCCTTTTGATTAACGTCACCCACTGAATTACGTTCCTTTCTGGAAAGCCTTTCCGAGTAGCAGGCCCTTCCAAGGAGAAGTCCTCAGTTCTTTATCCCTCGCCTTTCAAAAATAAAGTACAGTGTTTGAAATGCAGCATTGGTTTGCTAGCCTGGTTTACGGGGGTTGGTAGGTTTATGCACAACTTTTGACTTTCTGTGTGGGTGTCATGTCTTTTCTGTATGGTGTAACTTCAAAATTATTAAAGAAGTATTTACTTATTTTGCTTGAAATCCAGATTTACACAGAGAAGAGACAGAAAGATTTTTTCATCTGCTGGCTCACTCCCCAAATGGCTACAAACGGCCAGTGCTGAGCTGATCAGAAAAAGGGTGTCAGGAGCTCCCTCTGGGTGCAGGATCCCAAGCACCAGCCCGTAAACAGGGAGCTGGATGGTAAGTGGAGCAGCCAGGATGCTAGTGCTGCGCTGATCCGAAGCCAGGAGCCAGGAGTTCTTCTGGGTCTCCCACGCAGGTGCAGGGTCCCAAGGCTTTGGGAAGTGGGGTTGCTGGGATTAGAACTGGCGTCCATATGGGATCCCGGTGTGTTCAAGGTGAGGACTTTAGCTGATAGGCCATGGCACCAGGCCCTGTATCAAAAGTCTTAAACATGCTCTTTCCTCTTTAGCCAGTCATTTTAACTTGAATGATTTATCTTAAAGAAACACTGACAAGGGCCCAGCATAGTGGCGCAGTGGTTAAGGTCCTCGCCTTGCACGCCCGGGATCCCATGTGGACGCCGGTTCTATCCCAAAAGCCCCGCTTCCCTTCCAGCTCCCTGCCTGTGGCCCGGGAAGGCAGTCGAGGACGGTCCAAAGCTTTGGGACCCTGCACCCACGTGGGAGACCCAGAAGAGGCTCCTGGCTTCGGATCGGCATAGCATCAGCCGTTGCGCTCACTAGGGGAGTGAATCATCGGACGGAAGATCTTTCTCTCTGTCTCTCCTCCTCTCTGTATATCTGCCTTTCCAATAAAAAAAAAATAATAAAAATAAATCTTTAAAAAAAAGAAACAAAGATGTGCTTGTACATAGATGGCTATCACAGCTGTATTTGTGATAAATAAACATTGAGACAATCGTTTGTCATAGCAAAACTTGAAATATCCATGGTTTGTTAATATGAAATAAATCATGTCACATGTATGTGAGAAACTGTGTTTATTTGTTATTAAAAAGCGTTGGAGCTGGTGTTGTGGCAAAACATTGCAGGCCATCGCCTGCGATGCTGACATCCTACAAGGGCACCAGTTTTATCCTAGCTGTTCCACTTCCTATCCAGCTCCCTGCTTATCGTCTGGGAAAGCAGCAAGGGTATGCCCAAATCCTTGCACCCACATGGGAGACCTGGGTGAAACTCCTGGCTCCTGATGCCCAGCCTCTCAAACAAATAAAAGAATAATACATTGTTCTGTAATATGAGAAAATACAACTACTGGGGTTTGGCTTATCGGTTCAAGAAACAACTGAATCAGATCTTCTAAGTTGCTGCTTTTCAGTTTGTCACAGGCAAATACCGTGCACCTCCTTAGCAGGTCCTCATTTGGGGCCTTGGCACATGGTTGTGAACAAGGCAAATGGGGGTCTCATCTCTCTGAAGCTGCTATTTTAGAGAAGATGGAATCCAGTAGCAAAATCAGCATGTTGATGTTAGTGCATTTTAGGATCCTAAACAAAGTAAGATGAGGAAGCAGGGAAAGTAACCAGAATGGGTGGCCCAGGAACTCTTCCAGAGGAGGTGACATTTGAACTACAACCTGAATGACAAAAAGACCTGGTCATAGACTGGAGAGAAAGTCCCTCCAGAAGGAAGACCAGACCCTATGCCCATAGTAGGAGAGCTGGAAGAAACGCCACCTGCCTGGAGCAGCCGTGGCCAGGAACATGCTGTTACAGGTGAGCTGGGCAGGTTTGGCAGGAGCCCAGGAGGTCAGGGGAGGACTTGGAGTTATTCCAAGGGTGGCAGGAAAGTGTGGGGAGAATTGAAAGAGGTGAGTCCGAGGGCTTATAGTTTAGGGAGATTGCTGACTGTATAGAAAGTGGGTAATGTTTGACAACAAGAGTGTCAAGCCACTAGAGGCTATGGCAGTGTGTTGGGTAGCAGGTGACCCAAGGGCACAAAGAAACAGCTGTGTTTTGGAGACTTTGATAGGCTCTGCTAGTGGGTTGACATTAGAAGGGAGAAAAAGAATAGTTGGAGAGGGACTTGCATGGTTTTGGTTTGAGTGGTGGGTCGTTATGGCAACAGTGAGATCAGGTAAAAATGAGGGAGAGAACAGTTTGAGGATGACATAAAGAGCTCTGGGGACCACTCCAGTCTGAGACAGGTCTAAATGCTGTAGAGCCAGGATACCCAGTTACATACTATTCTAGACTACTAGAAGATTTCTGAAGTACTGTACTTTACTTTTCTACTTCTATAGAAGGGGCTTAATCCAGCCTTTTTAAAATGAAGTGATTATGAAGATTATAAGGGTCATTACATATAGATTAGTACCTACATTCTTTTTTTTTTTAATCTTTAAAGATTTATTTATGGGCCCGGCATCATGGCCTGGTGGCTAAAGTCTTCACCTTGAACGCCCTGGGATCCCATATGGGCGCGCCAGTTCTAATCCTGGCAGCTCCACTTCCCATCCAGCTCCCTGCTTGTGGCCTGGGAAAGCAGTTGAGGATGGCCCAATGCTTTGGGATCCTGTACCCATGGGGGAGACCTGGAGGAGGTTCCTGGCACCTGGCTCCTGATCAGCACAGCATCAGCTGTTGTGCTCACTTGGGGAGTGAATCATTGGATGGAAGATCTTCCTGTCTCTCCTCCTCTCTGTATATCTGACTTACAAAGTCTTCCTTCCGATGATTCACTCCCCAAGTCAGATATACAGAGAGGAGGAGAGACAGGAAGATCTTCCATCCGATGATTCACTCCTCAAGCAGCTGCAACAGCTGGAGCTGAGCCAATCTGAAGCCAGGAGCCAGGAACTTCTTCCAGGTATCCCACGCGGGTGCAGGATCCCAAGGCTTTGGGCCATCCTCAACTACTTTCCCAGGCCACAGGCAGGGAGCTGGATGGGAAGTGGAGCTGCTGGAATTAGAACCAGCACTCATATGGGATCCGGGGCATGTAAGGCGAGGACTTTAGCTGCTGGGCCCAGTACCTACATTCTTTACTAAGAAACTTAGTATTTATTTCTCTTATGTGTGTGTTTTTTAAAAGATTTATTTATTTATTACAAAGTCAGATACACAGAGAGGAGGAGAGACAGAGAGGAAGATCTTCCATCCGATAATTCACTCCCCAAGTGAGCTCAACAGCCGATGCTATGCTGATCCGAAGCCAGGATCCAGGAACTTCTGGGTATACCGCACGGGTGCAGGGTCCCAAAGCTTTGGGCTGTCTTCGACTGCTTTCCCAGGCCACAAGCAGGGAGCTGGATGAGAAGTGGAGCTGCCGAGATTAGAACCAGTGCCCATATGGGATCCCGGCACGTTCAAGGCGAGGACTTTAGCCGCTAGGCCACCGTGCCGGGCCCTCTCTTGTGTTTTTTTTAGGAGGAGGGTCAACGCAATGATATAGCAAGCTGATTCTTTACCTGTAGCACTGGCATCCTATATGTGCACTGGTTCAAATCTTGCCTGCTCCATCTCCAATCCATCTCCCTGCCTATGGCCTGGAAAAGCAGTGGAAGATGTCCCAAGTCCTTGGGCCCCTGTACCACATGGAAGACCCAGAAGAAGCTCCTGGCTCCAAGCTTCAGACCAAGACAGCTCTGGCCTTCACAACCATTTGGGGAGCGATCATCCCCTATAGGGTCCAGTCCTGGTCCTGGCTGCTCCACTTTCGATCCTGCTCCTATCTCCCTGGTTATGACCTGGGAAGGCATTGGAGGATGGCTCAAGTCTTTGGGCCTGTGCACCTACAGGGAGACTTAGAGGAACCTGCTGGCTCCTTACTTTGGATCAGCTCAGCTCTGACTGTTGCAGGCATTTTGGGAGTGAACCAGCAGATGAAAGATCTTTCTCTCAGATAAATCTCTTTTTATTGGAAAGGCAGACTTCCAGAGAGGATGAAATACTGAGACAAAGACCTTGCATCTGCAGCTTCACTCCCCAAATGGCTGCAGTGGCTGGAGCTGAGCTGATTTGAAGCCAGGAGCCTCTGGGTTCCCCACACAGGTATTAGTTTCCAAGGGATTAAGCCATCCTCCACTGCTTTCCCAGGCTAAAAGCAGGGATCTGGAAGGAAGTGGAGCAGCTGGGACATGAACTGGTGCCCATATAGGACTCTGACACTTTTCAAGGAGAAGCATAGCCAATTGACCTATCACACTGATTCCCCAAAACGTAAGTCTTTAGAAATAACAACAATAAAAAGACAAAGAGACACACATGCAGAACAATAACTCCTACCTGCTGACTCATGTCCCAAATATAACTGCAACAGGCAGGGTTGGGCCAGACCAAAGTTAAGAGCTGGGAACTCCAACCTCGTCTCCCCCGTGGGTGGCAGGAGCCCAGGTACTTGAGCCATCAGCCACTGCCTCCCACGGTACACACTGGCAGGCAAGTGGAAATGGGACCAGAGTTAGAACCTCAGCCCGGGCTCTCCTGTGTGGGATGCGGTGTTGCCAGTGGTAGCCTGAATCACCGTACTCTTACACCTGTGCCACCTGTAGCAAGTATTGCT